ACTGACCTCTTATCCTATGCGAGACTTTGGTACTTTCACAAAAAGCGAGCAAGCTTGCGTGAATTACCAGTGAAAATTATGGACACTGGAAAACCACGAACTGTAACACGGCGAATATCCTCTGACTTCAGTAAAGGAAAGTACGCAATATTAATATGCCTCAATGTCAGTAGGATTGATTTTAGTTTTTGATCACATGATTGGAGAGACCATCAGTTTCTCAAGTTAAACAATGCTTAACAGGCATAGCGAATGAGGTTCAAATATATTTTATAAAATTATAAAGGTTTGAAGAAAACAATTTAACGGTGGAAATATGAGGCATCCATTCAACGGAAAAGTACGTTTTTACTATGTGTGCAATCACAGTGAATTTAAGAAAGTTTCAGTTTCTTTAAGAAAATTAAAACATCTCTCTTCGTGAGCGCGCAACGTCGTGATTTATCTTCTTATGTAAGACTGGCACTTTAACAGACAAAGAAACAGATTATGGCCTTAGAAAAATATGTACCGTAGAATCCGCTGGGAGTAACCAAAGATTTAAGGGAAGGGTATCTCCACCATGAAACGCTTGTGTACAAGTAGAAAACGGAAATTCTATTCGAATCTATCGCGATCTCTAAATCGTTCGTTAAACTCTTCTGATACAAAGTCAAGTCGACGCAGATCACAGCCACTGGAAAATCACGTAATGAGGCAGCACGGATTTCCTTCAGCGAGGGTCAGTCCACAACATAAATAGAGGTCTGATTTTAGTTTTATGATCATCAATTTATCAAATTAAACGACACTCAATAACCTTAGTTGATGAGGATAAATTATACGGTATGAAGCCACAGAGATTTGAAAAAGTCGCCGTAGAACGAATTTATCGGACCGTGGTAGTGATTCAATCGCCCCATAAACCGCTTTAAGAAGGGCTAACGCTCGAAATGAGACATAACTACATATGGCAAACACAAGGATCGAAAAAGTCGTCACCGGGCTTTGCCATTAGTGCCTTACCTCGGCTACAGTTACTAGATAACTAAAGCTGATAAACACCGAGTGACAAGAAAAGATTTTCAATCGCACTTACCATGATGTTGACAATGTGGCTGATGCTTTGAAAATGAAACAATAAAAATAACAAATTACAGTCGGGACGTTTCTCAACCTTCCGAACTTCCGCCCTCTCTGTGTTTTGGGTATCCAGATCCCTTGTGATTAAGGTTACTCCCTTCCCCTCTCTAGGCTAATCGAAATAAAAACGAAAAGTTTCAATTGCATAATTTTGTGTGTGTGCTCGTATGCCCGTCTATAGCGTCCCATTTGGGTTGAAATTTTGAACAGTTAGTGATCATATGGTAAAATGCTTATTGATGTGAGTTTTGTTTGGCTCTCGTTCATGAAGCAAGGACTTCGCGGCGCTCGGTCCATAGGTTATGAGCCCGAGTCAAGTATTAGTTCCCGTCAGGCCCTACCACTCAATCAAGAAGTACACAGTATTTTGGTTTTGTAAGTCACAATTTTTATCACTAATGATGTAATGGAACATGAAAAATGAAAAGTGTTCTTCTTTTTTTATTCTTTTTTAAATAGGGAGCGTCAGGCTCATGTGTTGACCTCTTTGAAAGATTTGATTTTAATCATAAGATCGATCACAGTACAACCTAAGTTTCTTTCTTGAAACGGTAAGCTACATGTGCGTGATAATCGACTCCTTGTCTTCGTGAACTTTTCACTTTCTAGCGGGTCTGATCTGCGTGATCGAGGCCAAAAATGCTTAAAAAAACTGAGTGACTGTATTTCGTTTTGTCACGTCACACTTTACTAAGCATGAAAAATGAAACAATTTACCCTGTTTCCTATGAAAAGTCAGGCTTAAGTGTTCATCCCTTTTAGAACGCTCGGATTGGCATGCATCACAAGATCGATCAGATCGAGAGTACAAATAAAGCTTCTGTCTTCTGTGCGTGAAAACTGGCCCGTTGTACTCATGAACTTTTCATTTTCTTGCGAGTGTGATTAACATGATCGAGGACAAAAATAGTAACTGTTATAATGCATACAACAACAAACGGAATGTATCGAGAATTTGCTCGAGAAGAACTACGTCACTTGTCTTACCTTTGAAGGTATAAATACAGTGACTGAATTATGGCAACAAGCAAACGACATCAGGGAGGGGAGGTAGCTTGACTTTCAGTAATAAACAATAGTCAACTTGATAGGCACAGGAAAAATTTTTATCAAAACAGCATTCATTTTAGGAGGGTCTCAATGGGGTCATCTTCCTTTGTAAGCCCGCAGTGTCATAGACTGACCTCTTATCCTTTGCGAGACCTTGGTACTTTCACAAAAAGCGAGCAAGCTCACGTGAGTTACCAGTAAAAATTATGGACACTGGAAAACCACAAACTGTAACACTGCGAATATCCTCTGACTTCAGTAAAGGAAAGTACGCAATATTAATATGCCTCAATGTCAGTAGGATTGATTTTAGTTTTTGATCACATGATTGGAGAGACCATCAGTTTCTAAGTTAAACAATGCTTAACAGGCATAGCGAATGAGGTTCAAATATATTGTATAAAATCATAAAGGTTTGAAGAAAACAATTTAACGGTGGAAATATGAAGCATTCGTTCAACGGAAAAGTACGTTTTTACTATGTGTGCAATCACAGTGAATTTAAGAAAGTTTCATTTTCTTTAAGAAAATTAAAACATCTCTCTTCGTGAGCGCGCAACGTCGTGACTTATCTACTTGTGTAAGAGTGGCACTTTAACAGACAAAGAAACAGATTACGACCTTAGAAAAATATGTACCGTAGAACCTGCCGCGAGTAACCAAAGATTTAAGTGAAGGGTATCTCCACCATGAAACGCTTGTGTACAAGTAGAAAAAGGAAATTCTATTCGAATCTATTGCGATCTCTAAATCGTTCGTTGAACTCTTCTGATACAAAGTCACGTTAATGCAGATCACAGTCACTGGAAAACCACGTAATGAGGTACCACGGATTTCCTTCAGCGAGGGACAGTCCACAACATAAATAGAGGTCCGATTTTAGTTTTATGATCATCAATTTCTCAAATTGAACGACACTCAATAACCTTAGTTGATGAGGATAAATTATACGGTATGAAGCCACAGAGATTTGAAAAAGTCGCCGTAGAACGAATTTATCGGACCGTGGTAGCGATTCAATCGCCCCATCAACCGCTTTACGAAGGGCTTACGCTCGAAATGAGACATAACTACATATGGCAAACACAAGGATCGAAAAAGTCGTTACCGGGCTTTGCCATTAGTGCCTTACCTCGGCTACAGTTACTTAATAACTAAAGCTGATAAAAACCGAGTGACAAGAAAAGATTTTCAATCGCACTTACCAAGATGTTGACAATGTGGTTGATCCCTTGAAAATGAAACAATAAAAATAACGAATTACAGCCGGGACGTTTCTCAACCTTCCGAACTTCCGCCCTCTCTGTGTTTTGGGTTTCCAGATCCCTTTTGTTTAAGGTTACTCCCTTCCCCCCTCTAGGCTAATCGAAATAAAAACGGAAAGTTTCAATTGCATAATTTTCGTGTGTGCGTGTTTGTATGCCCGTCTATCGCGTCCTATTTAGGTCGAAATTTTGAACAGGTAATGATCATATGATAAAATGCTTATTGACGTGAGTTTGGTTTGGCTCTCGTTCATGAAGTAAGGACTTCGCTGCGCTCGGTCCGTAGGTCATGACCCCGAGCCAAGTATTAGTTCCCGCCCGGCCCTTCCACTCAATCAATAAGTACACAATTTTTATCACTAATGATGTGATGGAACATGAAAAGTGTTCTTCTCTTTTATTCTTTCTTAATAGGGAACGTCAGGTTTATGTGTTGACCTCTTTGAAAGATTTGATTTTCAACACAAGATCGATCACAGTACAACCTAAGTTTCTTTCTTTAAACGGTAAGCTATATGTGCGTGATAATCGTGTATTCGTGAACTTTTCACTTTCTAGCGGGTATGATTTGCATGATCGAAGCCAAAAATGCTAAAAAAAACTAAGTGACTGTATTTGGTTTGGCACGTCACATTTTATTAGAGATGAAAAATAAATCATTTTACCCTGTTTAATGTGAAACGTCAGGCCTAAGTGTTCATCCCTTCTGGAACGCTTGGATTTGCATGCATCACGAGATCGATCAGATCGAGAGTGCAAATAAAGCATCTGTCTTTAAAGGGTGTGCTATCTGTGCGTGAAAACTCGCCCGTTGTACTCATGAACTTTTGATGTTCTTGCGAGTGTGATTTGCATGATCGAAGACAAAAATAATAACTGTTATAACGCATGCAATAACGGACGGAATGGATCGGGAATTTGCTCGAGAATAACTACATCACCTGTCTTAGCTTTGAATACAGTGACCGAAGTATGGCAACTAGCAATTGACATCTGGGAGAGGAGGTAGCTTGACTTTCAGTAATAAACAATATTCAAGAGGAGAGAGGTGGGGGAAATGGACTGCACTACAGTTACTTTGTAGGATCCGTGCATCCAGAAGACACTTTCCTAAAAAACTCGCAATGGCATTTCCCGCTGCTTTTACCTATTCGTTTCGCATTTTGTAATAAACTTTTTCGACATAAATCTTATTGACCATCTTTGAATGAAGAGTTCATTTTTCAAAGCTCAGTATTTGCAAATTCTTACGTTAAAGATTCAACTTTTGTTCATGGTAATAACAAACTACTGAGGATGGGCCGATACCGATACCGCCAGTGAGTCTACGTTGCCTTAGGCACCGTTGACTCGAAAATTCGAAACCAGCGATACCGAGGTCTACTTGGAAAATATCGGTACTAGCACAAAACATCGATGCTTTCGATACTGCACGGGATTTGCCCGCGCTTTCTCACCCAAGTGACCAACCACTAACAAGGAGCCCTGTCCTGTATTCAGGAGGGTCTACCAAAATCGTGGTATCATTTAATGATTGTGTACTGTTTTATTATTGTACTTGATGACTAGAATACGGTATCACTTCGTCCAGTTTAACAAATTTGTTATGGAGTTTACACATGACCCTGTGGCTCGCATTCCATTAAATCACATTGATAAACGCGTTGATAAATCAGTCGATGGATTCATTGAGTGATTTGGCTGATTAACTGACTGAATTAGAAAATCAGTCCGTGGGAGACAAGAAAAACCGCTGCGGGTACATGTAACTGCCTCAGATTCGAGTAAGAATTCCTCGCCAACATTTGAATCAACTTCCGACAGTTACCTATTGCACTGTATATCTTTTCCACCGGGAAGTATTGGTTATCCTTTCATACTGATAGATCAAGGCAAAACTCGACCGCAGGCTTTCCGAACTTTAGTCCCCAATCTTGATACAAAGTGATCTGATCAATACAAGGTCATTGAGTCCTCGAAAAGTCTTGCCAGTTCCTCTTCCCCTGGGGCTCCGGCAGGGGCAAGTTTTGTCACTCGATGCTGAGGCAATGTTCCCTTGACAAGCGCTGGAATATCTTCAGATTTATACCCGAGGGCTGCAAGCCCGTTATCTACCCCTGTGCTGTACATGAAATCACGGAGCGTGTCGGAGAGAAGTAAACCGGCGTCTGCTAGCTTTGCGTTAGATATGTCTGCGCCTTAATGAGAAAAAAAAGGTGTCAGGATAAGTAAGTTTGCCAAGAGGATGGCGGGAATGGACCACAGCATAAGCAAAACGAGATAGGAGATGAAAACAGTTCGCAAGAAATATTAATCAAACAGCAGAATTACCCAACAAAAACTCTAAGATATTCGAAAAAAATACTTCCTCTAGCAGCGGCAGGAAAATGTTTCTCGCACTGTGGATTGAAGTCAGTGGTGAAAAACCAATGCAGTCCTGTTTTCAACCTTTCACACGCTACCCCATCGCCGATATAGCTTGCCTTATTAGAATCAATATCAGTATCTGAGTAATTGCGCGCCTAACCCTTGTTATCAGTTGGGTGACTGGTTTTGGGTTGGGGAAGGAGTGCAGTTACTAAAATACTGACATTGATTCCCTTTTACAAGTACAACGTTTTTAATTTAAGAGAGCTTGTTGTATGACATCATTTGACTTACCGAGAATCTGCGCAGCCTCCAAATGTCTTTCGGGACAAGAGGGTGCAGTGAAGCGGAACACTGCTGGTGACGTCATTATTACGGACAAACCATGAGGCTGACGAATAAAAACATAACGTAAACAGCAATAAATGTGTTATTTCCTTCTAAAATATCAATCCCTTTCAATGCAGATTTGGGAAGAGTATCGTGAAAATTATCACCTGATGATGAAAGCTTTGAGAATGTAATTTTGAGGTTGAGTTGCAAGATAGCGAAACTGCGTGTTGTGTTCGCAACAAAATAAATTTTTTACTCACCACAAGAGGATGATCGACCTCATAATCTTTGGCTTTGTAAGACTTGACGAGTCCGGATATAGGATATGACATTCCATGACTGAGTAAAGGGCAAAACACCTTAATTAGTTTTTCTCCTCATTTAGAATTTTAAAATCAGGAAGCTGGATACCTAGCGACGAAAGACCAACTAAAGACGGGATTCTAGTGGACTGCACTTAATGAAAATGCAAGAAAGAAGCCAGAGGAAAAAATTCAGGTTTTGACGGGATTCGGACTCGCACGACTACAACTTGAGCTACGAAGCCATCTTGTTGGGAGCGAGGCAAACTTTGTTGGTTTCTTCGTTCCCGTAAAAGAATGAACATTAGTAATTTTGAATTGAGGTGAAGTGGAAAAGTTGCGCATATTTACCGAGCCGCGTAACGAGACACTGGTTTGGTGCAAAGTAACGCAAGATAGCAGTCAGTGATTTGGGGCGATTTCCTATTAAGCCTCGTGAACTCAGAGTCAACGTGATCTCAACAGCCAAGCAGAGCAAAAGTGAAAGATCATGAGCAGCCAATGAGGACAAAAATTGATAAGAGAAAACTGCCTGAAGCGAGGGAAAACGCGAGTGACAAAATCACGTTTGGTTTAAGTTTTATCGGCGTTTCATTGATTGTTTACCCAGTAAGGAAGCCATTTTGGAAGTTGACTGTTTTTCTAAAGACCCTCGTATAAAGAAACTTAGATGTTACCAAAGATGAACCCCGGCATTTCCAAATCCGACACCAGCGTAAACACTTGCCAAGTGCATATTGGACCGTGCTTCCAGGTCACTTGCGTCCTTAATTGATCTATTGAAGGCAACAAAAGATTACTTGAGAACGATTTTCAGTCGCGTGTCCGCTGTGCTGACGTACGCGTTTGAAATAAACCACACCAATTACAACAGTCAATCACAACTAATATGACATACAATATGAACCAATCAGAACTCAAAGCGCGCACGTGACCCATGCCAAGCGCGGAAAAATTGAACGGGCGCTGTGATCCATTCGTGTGGTATGAAACGTATTATCGCAAAGTCGAAAAAACTGAACAATTTTTGGGATACTATTTAAGAAAGAGGGCATGAGGTTCTGTTTTTTAATTTTTTAATTAGTTTCCGGTTTTTTTCCCTCAAATTCTTCCGCATTTCATTTTCGGTATAACTATCCTCTCCGTTTTTGGGTACTTTGCGTTTGAAAGGCCGTCGGTTTTCGGTTGTCGTGAAAAATTAATTAAGCTCAGTGGTATTACGGTCTTGATTGCAAGCCTCGGCGGTTTTTTCGGTCCTGGAGGGGATTTCGGCCAACTTCTTGGACAAAAACCAGGAGTATTAAGTATTAGTATGTTACCTTTTCAAATATTTGGCGACAATACCGAGAGCGTGTTTGGACCAAACATCACTGACAGGGTTACTGCCCTGGTACGCTGGCCGCATGTTGGGGTTTAGAGGGCGTGGTCCTCTCTTCTGATAAGGTATGGCTGTGTATGACTCGATAGCATGACTATAAAGAACAAACAAGCACAGAAAATGAATAGGTAAATACATGAAAAAAACATGCTATAAGGATAAACACATAATCACATGACACTCTAGTTATAAGCCTCAACGGGTAACTCCCCATCCTTCCACCCCTTACCATTAAAAGTCCTAACATTTGTAAGCCTTCTTTAAGTAGACTATCCAAAAGGATATTTTCTTACGAATCCCAGCTTTCTGAACCGTCTATACTTTACGGCTGTTCACCCAAAGTTATCAGCCCACCCAAAACTCCTTACAAAATCACATAAGCCCAAAGATTATAAATTAAATGTTACGATATCCCTTTATAACGATAGTATTTCTTTAGATCTCAAGCAAAAGTTGGGGACTGTGGATTCTTTGGTAATTCTTACCACAATACGTCATAGCCACTGTTAGCTGTTAACCTCTCAGACATGTGCAGGGTATGTAGTGGATCCACAATGCCTAGCGTTGGACGTATGGCTCTGTTTGCAATGCCTGAAAAATGACAATCAAATAGACAGGATGTAAGTTGAGGAAAAATTTTCCTTACGTTGCGCGCAGTGAAACATTTGATCTCGTTGTAGCTCAAAGATTGAATGTCGAAAAACCAACACCAAAAATAACCGAACGGCTAGGCGGAATAAAGGTGGAATGATAAAGGTGATGGACTTCGTCCGGGTCTGTTTAACATATAGATTACATGCGTCTCTGTTTAACCCTTTAAGTCCCACAAGTGATTAACATGAAACTTCTCCCCGTAATATCCATACATTATTCTGTAAACAGGTATTGGGAAAACTCTATCTTATCAGGTAGAAGTTGTTACCTTGATCTAACACTAAATTCTCATTACTTATTTACAAGGAAATGTCCTTGCAGCTAGAGGGAGAATTAACAATCAGATCTTGGGAGTTAAAGGGTTATTTAACAAACAGATTCCATGTTGCTGTGCATCTGTCCAGTAATAGATCACAGATGACGTGTACGATCTAAAAAGAAACAAAAAAGACGCAGCCGATTGTGTGATGTTGCTAGCACATTCTGAGTCTTTTGTGATCTATTACGGTGCAAATCCACGGCAACACAGAATCTTCGTTCTATATGATATGAAAAATGTCATCGCTGGGTCTGTCCTCCAATAGATCATAAGTAAGATAAAAAATGCGCGTATAATTTAGCTTATCATCAGTTCTAGATCACAGATGACGTAAACGTGTGGTTAGAACAAAAAGCAGCACACGAGAAGAAGTAATCCAGGATTGCATATTGCATTGGTTTTGCTTTCCCTTGCCAAGTGACTGGTCCAAAAAAAACTCGCTTCATCCTCTCCACCAATCAGATTCAAAACTAACCAAAATCGTAAATCGGCTACTCGCGTTTTCCCGCGCTTCAGGCAGCTGGCTTGTTTTTCCTTTCCATTCTAATTGGCTACTTGCGCTATCTTCCTTTCTCCTGATTGGCTGTCGTGATTACGTTTTACGACACGCAAACGTTATGTACTCAAAGAAATGCGCTGAAATTGTAATACCTGTTTTTGCATTCATGGGCTCGTAGTCAAAAATAGCCACTCCTGTCGTTTCACTACCTATAACAGGTTATTAACAAAAGTGTATCGTTAAAGAGAGAGGATATACAAGACTGTTTGTTAAAAAAGCTTCAACTATGAATGATATTAAGATAAAGTCTTCAACTGCAAAAATGATTTGAACCCAGGAGTAACATTTGATTGTGTTGTCTAATCGTCCGGGTCAGAGGAGTCCTGGAAAGGACTGTTGTCAATTGTTGTGACAGAAGTTTGCTTGACAACCTGTGTGGAAGTCATCATCAGAAGTCAAGGATGACTTCCACTCAGGTTATCGAAACATCAGTCACATCTACCAGCTGCAGTCCTTCTCAGGACTTCTCCCATTCAGACAATCACACCACATGAATGTCCCTTCAAACAGTTCTTGAGTAAGGAGATTTCAATGCTGTTTAAGTCTGCCTTCCAAAGCCTTAACTTTGAGTTTTAAAACCCAAAATTATCCCCAGGGTACCAATGATGGCAGCTCCATAGATGTGATTCACTGCTCTATCTGGAGGTTGGTGAGGGAGGGGCTGGAAGGTAGAGGGCTTCAGGTATCTCACCACTGACAAAATTTTTGCACTCAACCCTCTCTGAAATTTTGGATCCACTCAGGAGTGGTATTTAATACAAAACCCCCTACCATTTAGCAAATCATGTAACTTTCCAGTTATGAATCCAACAACTATTCAAAAATAATCCAATTTACTTACCTGTTCCAGCAGTAGTTGGGACTGTGGATTAAATCACACATCCTTAATCAGCAATTAAATTTAAACCAAGATAAAAAATATTAATTGAAAAGGGAAGGTTTGCTTTTCAAAAAAAAACCTGTTAGCTTGACTTACATATAGATTTTAAAATAGCATAAAACAATGATTTGACTGAAAGTATACGGCCAAAAATTGATTTTTAAAAAGGGTTTTAAGTCTGAGTCTGTGGGAGTTTTGAGCTCACAAATTTGAGTAAGCAAGCCTACAGAATAGGCAGCCTTATTTAATTTTTTTTCTCAGATGAGCAGACTCAAGGTCTGGGCAAGATTGGCCAAGTTGCTTGTTCTGTAGGCTTAAAAGTTAGCAATGTTAGATGTACAGGACCTGGTACAGAATTTTTAATCCAGTCAGATAATTAAAAGTAAAAAAATATAAATAACATCCTTACTGATATTTAGCCCACTCACTTGCTATAAGTGGTTTTAAAGGCTTGTCAATAGGCATTCCTTTACCAACAGGCGCATTTACAAAATCCAGGAAATCATTCTCTGGATGGCAGAGATAAAGGTTGGCTGCTTTGGCAGTGTCAATCACAGAGCCGCCACCGATGGCCAGGAAAGAATCGAAATTACCCCGCTTGGCAAAGTCAATGGCAGCCTTGAAACTGGAGAAAACAAAGGAAAACAAAAAATAAGAAATACTGAATAATAATCAACCAGGGAACAAAATTGGTCTCCAATGAATCTGTAGGATAGTTTACCTCACAGACACTTGTCCACTGATTAAGTGTTACTAATTATCAATGAATTTTTTTTATTAATATTATCTATAATAGTTAGCTGAAAGAACACTTACCTGGAGTCAGTTGGCTCAATTCTAACTTTGTCGAAAAGTTCATATTTGATTTTGTTGGTTTCGAGGGATTCAATGGCTTCCTTGACAGGAGGCAGAGTCACCAGCTAAACAAAAATATCCTTTCTTAAAATCATTTTCACTTCATGTTCTTATCTCTATTTAGGTTAAAATACCCTTTCACAGCCATTAGCTGATCAAGATCACCACACTATTTTTCTACTTGTGTAATAAAAATCGCTTTTAAGTATTGTAACACGCAGAAATTTACTAAAATTTATTGACATCATAACTCATGCTAAAGCTCTAGATAGATAGTTTCTTCCAGTTACTTCTGGATTTGCTTGTATTTTCCAATAAGTCTTCAGTTTATTTGATAAAACAGTCGATATCATTTGGTGAGGGAGGTTAAATTCATTCCCAAATCTCTTATTTTCAACAAAAAATTGTCAATTAGTAACCAATTACCAATTAATCATAACCACGACAATTAGCAAAAACAACAAATACATTTAGGACAAATACAGTATCTCTGGTAAAGATAATGTCTAAAGTAAAAAATTCCTCCATCTTAACATTCCCCAGTTTTTCTTCAGGATAATGTGGTTGTTGCTACGGTTATTATGAGCACTGCTGTGATTGGTGGATTAAACTGAGTGGACTTAGTGTGATTGGCTGCTTCAACTGCCTCATTAAAGGTGTTCAATTACAGCCAACTGTCCCATTACACTGTGTGATTACAACTGTAAAGAATGATACCTGAAGAATAAAATAGCTGATGCACCAATCACATTTGAGAAAATTATAACAGTTATGATTAATTTATTTACACAAAATATAATACACAGCATAATCAATTCCTCTACCTTTTGATCTGTGATCACACAAACTTTCTCCAACCCGCGGTTTTCAAAGTCCTGTTCAAAATAATGCAGAATGAATCACATCTTTGCTATAATATCAAGTACAATCATACTCCCAAAGAATTCTGTATTTCAGTTTAATTATTCTTAGTTCAAAGCTTAATCTATCTACCTTCCTTTGCGAACAAGTGTCTCAGGGAGCCACAAAAGGGTCATGTTAGAAAATAAAAAAATTTAAATATAATTTAAACAAAGGATATAAAGTAAAAATACAGTATTAGTGTATAATTGCAATAAGCGACAGCAAACTCACCATGCCAACTTCCCTAGTAACTCCTTCTCCATACCTAATGCTAGAATTTGCCACCTGGAAATATAACAAAAAAAAAACATATAAAATCTAAAGACAAAAAAAATCAGGTAAGTCATTTCTCAAGCCATCTGAGTGTGACTAGCAATTAATTTCTTCCTACAGGGTGATGAGAATAAAGGAAATTATAAAAAAACTAAAGAATGTCTTCATTGTTAAACAAATTCTTATTGTCAGTACCATAAAATATGTATGCAAAATAGTATGGAGATTATGCAAACTGATCTAAGCATGTAAGGGGTTAATGCAGCTGCTCATTTAAAACTTATCACAGCTTAGTAACTTTTGATTGGGTATCTACTTCTCCTTATATTCCCAAAGGGCATACAATCACAAAAAGTGGCACAAAATAAAATCTTACAAAATTTTGTTAAGGTTTCACTTAAGCATAGTGAAGTAAACTAATACACTACTCAATAAATACTGTAAGGTTTTTGCCAACCTCAAAAGCACATTCCGGCTCCACATGATCTTTTGCCGCAGATGATAGTCTTGGTACTAAACAAAAAAAAAGACAAAAGAAGAGGAGGAGGAAGAGGATCAAAACAATTCACAGAGGAAGCGGGAGAATTAGTAAATCGGGCAATTTCTTGATGCAGAACTTTCACATTTCTTAAAAATGAAATTACATAGCGAGATTGAAAATAAAAAAATAAAGGCCGAGAGACCCAAGGATAGGCTTGCAAACCTGGTGAGAAGTTTTGAGAGTGAGCAGGGCATCTGCACCTGCAAAAATAGAGCAAAATTAAATGTTTCTGATCCTTCTGAAGATTTAGATTACAGAGACACTGAGATGGTAGCCTTTGAACAGGTTCCAGCCGGAGAGCCTGTTCACATGCTAGGGGAGGAGGGTGTTGCAAAACACACCCCCATCCCAAATTTTAAGTCCAGTCGAAGGCTTTCTATACCTCTCGCCAAGATAAACAAAATTCTACAGACGTATCATTACGTTATCAATATGAAATTGATGCTCACGATGCTGTCGCAACAAGCCTCATCAAACGTAACGCTTGCTCACGAAGGTTCATCGAAGCCATTACGGAATGCTTTGTTGATGTTTTTCCAAGCGTTGTAAATAGAACGATCTTCGAAAAAAGACTGAGTTCGAGTTGGTTCGAGTACCAAGATGGCGGTTTCGGCCTGGCTACAAAGTATGAATAAGACGTGGATACTCAGTCACTTTGGGGGTTTAAGATGGCGGCGGTTCTCTCCGAAGAATCGCACTTGAAAGATACTGACGAAATACAAGAGAATGGAGATGACGAAGTTGAAGACATACAAGAAGCTGGCGGAGATTCTGTGAGCAAAAAGAAAAAGAAGAAGAAGAAAAAGAAGAAGGGTCAGTTGTGTTAATTACACACGCAGAGAATCGTTGATAATGTGATTACAAAACTGATACAAAAATATCAACTGAAAACAAAATGACATGCGTGTGCCACTCTTATGCCCTGTTCAAACGGTCGTGATAGTTAATGATAGTCAATGATAGTTGCAACTTTCATTTCCTATCGTTGACTATCATGGTTTAGTTCAAACGGCACAATAATTGATGATGGTTGACAAAATCACGCGATGAGATCGCGTATTAGTAAACAAATATGGCGCGCGCTGAGGTCGGCAATTTCGGTGGCATTTGAAATTTTTAGTCAAGAAGTTGCGATTTGAAGATAATAAAGCTAAGCAGAAGACGATGAGAATGAAATACGAGATAATCTGCGAAATTTTGATGGCTATTTAAGTCATTTTACCATTTTCAATTTCGGTTTGAGCCCGTTACTGGCAAACGATAATTTTTGCCGGCCCAGCATTGGGCCTGCATGGACATTGGAGTGGTTGGGGGAGGGACTAAGAGTGCCTGTTGTTGCTTGTTGTTGCGTTGGCACCTGGAATAAAAAAGGGCCAGATGGGCCATGTTGAAGACGTGAAAAAGCTGTAGCACGCTTCCTTATTGAGTCACGCTTTATTCACTTGATTTAACGATTTTACCACAACACTTTGGTTAACTCCCACTCACAATTTTCGGCTTATTAAAAAAAAACTACACAATGAACACCCTGGTGTAAGCTTGTGGAACAGTACTATACATGGGGTGATAAAACACATGCTGCAAACATGTTTGTTTGGCCATGTAAAGATGAACAAAATCACTTCAAATTATCAATCTAATTAAGAATAAGTAACGTATTGTACAGTTTCCAACAGCTCCTTGACATTCCTAGTGGTGTCATGTTATAGAAACCAGGAGAAGCTCCAGGTAGATTTACTAGTAAGTTTATTAGCTGACTGTACTTTTATACAACAGGAGGTGGTGAACAAAATGGTACAGAACATACTAATGGTGAAGCACTGAATGGAGGGGAAGCAAAAGACTCCTCAGCACCTGCTGCTGAACCAGAAGTGAATGGAGAGCAGAATAATGCAGGTAACTTATCACATTGTACTCCATCTCTCTTGGCTTGAGTGTAATTCTTGTGGTTGTGCTTAAAGCCTTTAACCCTTCAACTCCCATGAGTGACCAAAATAGAATTTCTCCTTACAACATCAATACAATATCAGCTAGATAAGTAATGAGAATAAAGAAAATATCAATTTGGAGATAATAAGTTGATCCAATGCTAAATTCTCTGCACTAACATCATAAGAATTGTATGGTTGACAATAAGGAGGATGACAAATTTGATCTGGGAGTTAAAGGGTTAATTATTACCCTAATTTGAGCCTACGGACCAACTTTTAACATCTGACAGATGAACTTTTACTAATACAGCATCAACTGACACATTTTTGAGTCAAAGGAAAAAAAAAGCAATAAATTGCCTCCCTCCCCAAAATACAACTAGTTGATTATATTTCTTGTATACACAGATGGTGAAGAATTACAAGATGGAGAGACCAGCAACACAACTTCTACAAAGAAGAAGAAAAAGAAGAAGAAGAAGTCAGCAGGAGCAAAAACAACAGAAGGGGAAGGCCAAAGTAATAAAAAAAAAACTATTTATCCCTAACCAGTTATAGTAAACTACTGAGATTTAAGGGAAGAAAACTGACTCCTAAACTCCCAAAATCTAACTGTTAATTCTCCCCTTAAGCTGCTACAAATTTTGTCATTAATTAGTTATGAGAATTTGGTGTTACATCAAGATGACTTTTACCTGATAAGTTGAGTTTTCTCACTACTTGTTTGGTGGATGCTGTATGGAGATTATAGAGAGAAATTAAATATCAAACACTTCTGGGAGTCAAAGGGTTACTGAATTCCATGGAACTTTGATCTGATAAAAGTTAAACTGACTCACAGGAAAGTTAATCTGAGTTCTGAAACTTTACAAATAAGTTTATATGACAATTGTCAAAAGATTAATTGGGATTATTTCTGTCTTATTTTTGTGTCAATTGATTGGAGACAACTATCCTGATTCAAGCTCAGGAGTGGTCAGGGTCTTGTGTTCTTTAGAAAAACACTTAACTTTCATAAAGCCTCTGTCCACCTGGGAGTTTTATTGGGTTGAAGCAAAACGTCAGAGAACCCTGAAAAAATGTGGGATGGAGTGAGTGTGGCAGCACAGGGAGCAATAAGCTGATCAGAAAGATAATCATGTAACCTTTCAAAGTAGTTAGTAATGATTTTAATTTTGAATCTTTCCAAATATCAGATGGTACTTCCCCCTCTGCCAGGGAGCAGACTGATCCTCCTACTGTGGCCATATCAGAACTTTTCCCAAATGGCAACTTTCCTGTAGGACAAATAATGCATTATAAGGATGAGTAAGTATAGTGAATTATTTATTGTTATTCTAACTTGATGAAATAAATTTTTCTGTGATCATCAATAAGAAGGGTGTCTGAACAATGGCCAGTAGAGTTTGAGTTGTAAATTTAAATAGGAAAGGGTTATAAACTTGTTTTAAAATACAGCTCTTGTTTTAGCTCCAGTCTTTTGGGATTTAACCCTTTCACTGCCAATATCTCAATATCATTTTTGTTCACTCTCAGTTACAATTTTCCTGTTAATTCCAGCTCTGAGACTTTGATCTAAATTTAAGCAACATCCTCTAGTTGTTTTTTTTTTCTGCTCTTGTCACCTTTCTGCTTGACAATGCTTTGATGCGGCAAAGAAAGATTAGCTATTGGTCAATGACTCTTGGGAGCCAAAGGGTTACACCCTGATAACTTTTGATCATAGGATGTCTGTGGAATCTTCATCCAAGGGATTGAAGATTTACTGCTTCCATTTCCAATATCATACCACTCAAAATAATAATAATAAAACAGTTTATTCAAATGTCACCACACTTAAGCTACACACTGTATAAGCTAATTGGACACACTTTCCCTTTGTTCTCCCAAAGTACAAAACTGAAAGAAAAGGAAGCAAGTGAAATTTTTTTGCTACATTTTCAAATTTTTTTGCCCACTAGCAATCTGTGGCGTGAAACAAACGAAGAAAAGAGAGCCCTAGATCGAGCACAAAATGACATGTACAGTGATGTGCGACAAGCTGCAGAAGCTCACAGACAGGTAATGAGACCAGACAGTCATTGTAGAGCTTGAGTGTACAAGACTTCTGGTAAAGTAAACTACACATGGCATTATGACAATAATACATCATTATTATGATAGGATGAAAGCACCTTTTTTTTTTTTTTTACAACTAACTGTAACATATAATTGCAAATCATTGTACTGTATACCAGATATATTGGGATGTTTGTAAAGCATCACTGATCAGTGAAATCTCCAGCTTCCATGCAGAATCCTGCTACTAGATTTTGACAGTGATGGAAACACTGATAAACCTGGCTAAATAATTCCAAACATACAATTTCAACTAGATGTAACTTAATTTATATAAAAACTTCAACTAGAAGTAGGGAAACCAGCATGCTTTTTTATCTAGGATCTAAACTGAGGTGGCCAGGGTGAGACTTGATCCTGATACTGTACTTCCTGATTGTGTGTGTAACACTCCCAGTACCTGATTGTGTTATGCTGTACCTCCTTCTCTTAGTTCCTTGTGCCTCTATTTTTTTTTCTTTTTTCCTCAGGTCAGAAAGTATGTGCAAGGCTTTATCAAGCCAGGAATGACCATGATTGAGATTTGGTAAGGACAAAAATTAGAAAATAAAATAAGGAACTGTGGTAGGGAAGGCATGTACACCATTCTGGATCATGTGATCTTAATTTGTTATTACCTTACAGACTTCACCGAGTAGGAGAGACTGCTGGTACATGTAGTCTAGGGAGAATTGCCCATCAGATCTTCAGAGTTTAAGCCTTTGACCCCTTAGAGTGACCAGTGCCTAATTTCTCCTTACAATATCATACCTAAATCACACAGTAAGGTCACAAAAATAAAGGAAATGATCACTAACAAAAGAAGTTGTTGATTGCTAAACAAATTCTCCTTGCCAGAACCTTAAGAAATGTATAGAGAACAGTATGGAGAATATAGATACTGATGTTAGGGTGTAAAGGGCTGAGGGTTAAAGATTTTGCAATAGCCATACCTAGAAAAGCATTGATTAGAAAGTGAACAGTCATGTCTCTTAAGAATTTTGCAAGTAGCTTTATATGCTCAGTAATACCTTTTATGGTGCTAGATCTCCCCTTGATTATAACATATTAATTGTTGTACTTTTTTTGGCTGGGCAGGGAATAGAGGAAATGTTGCACTTTGCTGTTTTTGCTCTATTTTAACTACTTGTGGTTTATTTTCCCTTTTTCGCAGTGAAAAATTGGAGGGAGCTTCTAGAAAACTCATAAATGAAAACAAACTCAAAGCAGGTGAGTGATTTTACTTATTAACTGGTAAATGTTTTATTTTCAATCATTTGGTACATGATTTGAAATGGTAAAACTTATTTACTGCCTGTGTTTTGTGGAGTTACAAACAGTCGTTAATCCTTTACACCCTCAGACTGGTATTCATTCAAAAGTCATGGATTTTCCCCACTGTTCTCTTTACATTTCCTGTGATACTGACAAGGGGAATATGTTTGACAATCTGGAGCATCTTAAATGGCTATTCGTTTTCTTTATTCTCATGGCCTTTACTTTCGATGTAAGGGTGATGGTGTAAGGAGAACTTAGAAACCAGGAAGTAGTTGATGCTGCGTCAATAAAATCACAGGACCATATATTCAGTCTGTGTTTCTCTTAAGTTTTTTTTATGAGGGCCCCATTGAACAATCCCCGCTGAAAACTGCTGTGGTGGCGAGTTGGGCTCCCTCGTTAAATATTATCATCATTATCATCATCATCATCATCATCATCATCATCATCATCATCATCATCATCATTATTATTATTACCCCGGTATTAATATTATTATTATTAAGTTTCACTGCATCACTGAACAGACATCTCAAAATAGAAGAGTGTGTCTTACAATTAAGATCTTTTTTGTTTCTCTAGGTTTGGCTTTTCCCACTGGATGTTCCCTGAATCACTGTGCAGCTCATTACACTCCTAACGCTGGTGACAAGACAGTTCTACAGTATGATGATGTCTGCAAAATTGATTTTGGAACTCACGTGAATGGTAAGGTTAGGGTTGCGTGGGGGCTGGGGAATCTGGGTGCCTCTCTCCTTCTCCCATCGGAAGTTAGGGGTTTTTTACTTCTTGCCTGACACCAAAATTATTGTAATGACAGGATGGCATGTTAGTACATATTATGGAGAATTGGCTCTTCTGTATAACAAGTTCTCTATTCTGGATCAAAAGTTTTTTCGAGGGCCCAACCCCCCCCCCTTTCCTCCTTCTCTCCTTCCCTCCCCCCCCCCTTCTACCTGATAAAAAATTTTTGGATCAAAATTTTTTTTTTCTTATTTCATTGTATTAGATTGTTTTGAGTGATTAGTTTTTTTTTATTCCCTCTTTTCAGGGAGAATCATAGATTGTGCCTTCACTGTATCATTTAACCCCAAATATGACAACCTGCTTGCTGCAGTTAAAGATGCCACAAATACTGGAATAAAGGTGCAGTGTTAAATTCATTGTGTTCTTAATAGTTGTTTGTGTGTTTTTGTTTTGTTTTATTCTTGATGTGAATTCTCTACTTACTTCAGAATTTTGAATATGCTTATAGTCTACACAAGGTATCTCTCCAGAGATATCCAGCAATTCTAATAACATGAAATTGTCTTTATTTATTTACAGGAAGCTGGAATTGATGTGAGGCTTTGTGATGTTGGTGAAGCCATACAAGAAGTGATGGAATCTTACGAAGTTGAACTGGATGGAAAAACTTACCGAGGTGTGACTATTGTATTTTCTAAAAAAAAAGTATCATATCCTCAAGATAATTCTAGAGCCCTTTGCTAATTATAAATTGATATGTTTTACTCAACAGTGAGACCAATAAGGAATCTGAATGGTCATTCCGTAGCACCGTACAGGATCCATGCTGGAAAAACAGTGCCAATAGTTAAAGGTGGAGAAGCTACAAAAATGGAGGTGAATTTGTGTTCATCGCATGATGTTGAAATGTTCTTTACCTTTTTGTGATTGTATTTTAAACTGGAATGTTTTATCTCTCTGCCTGCGTGTTATGTTTTTTGGCATTCATGAGAAACTATTGCATTGTTGACCATTTGGCACCATTTTGTGTCCCGATCACATCACTGACATGCAGGCTCTTTCACTTTAGGAGAATGAATTCTTTGCTATTGAAACATTTGGCAGCACAGGGAAGGGTGTGGTTCATGATGACATGGATTGTTCACATTACATGAAGAACTTTGAGGTTGGACATGTTCCTTTGAGGTAAGACTTGAAGCAACAAGGCCATGGAATGAAAATAAAATAATTTGCTCCCAGAGACATCATAGAGCACAACCCGAACTTGATTTATTGGCATGTGATGCAGGCATCTTATTAAGGCAAGTTCACATTACAAGCTCCCAATGGTTGATTTTGAGTTGAAGTGAACAGTGGGAGGGTGGGGTGGGGCAGACAAGATTTTTATTACCCAATCCCCTCCCCCCTCCATCCTCTTTACTGGGCTCTCAGCCCTTCAGTACTAATTAATTTCTCTCTCCAGCTTTCCACTGCTATAAAAAAAAGTGGCAGCTATAATTATCACCAAGAAAATACTGAGCACTCTCTTGCCAAAATCACAACTGCTCTGCAGGCTGTTGACCTATATCTCTTTTTCACAACTTTACATTCCTTAGGTTGCCCAGAGCTAAACAACTTCTGAATGTCATCAACGAAAACTTTGGCACCCTGGCCTTCTGTAGGAGGTGGTTGGATCGGCTGGGACAGGTACTTTCAATGATAGAATAGCATCTCTCTCTTTGTAGGACAATAATTGTATGTGTCAGATTTTATAAAAATTTAGAATGATCATATTATGAAATTTTGCTGATTGTTTCTGTTGCTTTGAGTGGTATCCTCTATAAAATGACAGCCTCTGCTACCAAAAACTTTCAGGAAAAAGGCACACAAAAATGTGTCTCTCTCATTGGTTGAGTTCACTGTACCCTTTTGCTGATTGGTCTGAACTCTTTGCACATGACTTTGAACTTGGTAGATAAACAACCAATCAGGGACTGTTTCACTTAAGTCTTAAATCTTACTACTTTACTGCCCAAAAGGACTGACTAAACAACAGGATCAAACAAGAAAGCTTTCCTTATACTCTTGCCTTCTTGTTTTAAGTCTTTCATTGGATCTTTTTTTTGTAGCTTTTCATTGCACCGCAATCCACTTGTGGCAGAATGAGGACAATTTGCATAATCCCCTAAAACTAAAACCTGCTTACAGCTAGTGCATGCCTGCCAAATTACTGTGCTCTAAGAATATTTTCTACCTTGCAGACAAAGTATCTTTTAGCTCTGAAGAGCCTGTGCGATGCAGGAGTGGTTGATCCCTACCCACCCCTCTGTGACATCAAGGGTTGTTACACCGCTCAGTTTGAGCACACAATACTGTTGAGGCCAACAGTGAAAGAAGTGATCAGCCGAGGAGATGATTACTAGGAGTTTTGTTTTAAACCCTTTCACTTTCAAGATCTAAATATAACTTCTCAGCACTGTTGGCTACACATTCTTAGTAATTAAGTAGTGAGGATCTGGTTTTTAATCAAGTAGTATCTGCTTGTTGATAATTTTCTTTCTTCTCATCACGACTGTGCTCAGAAGTGTATTGCACTTGTAAGGAGAATTTCTTTTTTGGTCACCACTGGGAGTGAAAGGGTTAATCCTATCTTAACTAACTTAAATACTTAAATTAAAGTATTAAGAAAACCAAAATTAATTTGCAACATCCTGGGAAGCGAGCAGACCATTTGGTCAGGAGAGGGGCTAGGAAAGTGCATTGGGTCTATTTAGCCTGTTCCATGCATTCAGCGAGAAAAATGGTCAGAAATAAGAGTTGTAAGTTTATGCAGTTGTCGACAGGGGTTATAAAACGAACAGAATAATTAACGATTAAATATAATTTAATTGTTTCGACAGCGACTCTGGTGGGTCAGGCAAATGAAAACAAACCTTCGAATGGCATCGCAACAGTTCTTTTGATCGATCATTCTTTCTTCTTTATAATCAATTTCAACTGGTTTAAGCTGATGTGCTAACCACAGGGAAACAACAGATACCAGATTGGCTTCACTTTTTGAACAAACTACAACAGATGTGTAATTGCGTTATTGAGGGAGTCTCCTCAATAGACCGTTGAAACACGTATTAAGTTAGTTTGTTTACCGTATAAATTGCACGTAAAATTCCTATTAAGACTTTTCCAGTTTTTTTTTCTGGTGAGAGCAGAGGGTAAAGATATATTCTTGGCGCCTGCTAAGAAAACAAATTTTTCAGCTTGTGGAAAGATTGGAGAGAAGCGACGATGCATGGTTCGAAATCTTTCGGTAAAAAATGTTGAGTATTTGATAAGAAGGCAAAGTTATGGTGAAGATAGGTGGGGGGGTGGGGTGGGGAATTAAAATCTGTTTGAAACGAGTATTTGTATTTTACGTCACCTTTCAGGACTAACATGTTTAAAAACGATTGTGCTCTAAAAATACTTCTTCTCGTATAATTATGCTATTGAAGCTGTAGAATGCGAAATATTTACGATATTCTTACGAACACGTGGGATATTCATACAATCAGTAGATCTGGGGCGAGTGTAAGAAGGGAGTGTGAGACTGTCTCGCTTCTCGCGAGGCTTCCAAGAGGCTCGCGCGCGTACGGTTAATAATACTAGCCCTTAGTGTATACTGAGCTTCAGGTTTATCATAATCAGTATGGAGTCACACCTTGGCTCACAAACATGTATTAGTTTTCCAGCTGGGCTTTCTCGACAAACAACATTTTACCAGCTGGAAAGGAATTTTATTGCTCGACCAAGGAGGACGAAGTTCGGTTATAATTGGACCTCATGAGAATATCAACTGCTGATATTCTCTCCCTGGACCTCTAACACCTGCATGCCCCCCCTTACCATCAGCCCGAAGGTAAACCAAAAGTGAAGGCTTGGGTTGGTGAGGCCTTCGAGATCTTTTCATCTTCCTTATGATTTCTTACAACGTAATTAACTTCAGGTGAAATGTTGCAACGTCCGACAAATTCCTCGAGAAGTACCCAGAACAGAGCTGCTTTACCCCACCCCTCCCTTCCCCGTCTTCCTCTAACGAGTCCCTCCTACTCCCCTCCCTCTCCCCTCCTTCTGCGATTCACAAGAGCGCTTCGTGTGCGCTCTTAAATTGCGCGGTTACCAATTTCCAAATGAAAGAACAGATGATCCCGAGCGAGGCAGTGGTTGCTGTGCTTGACAAAAACACCGGTGATCAGAGGAGCTTTCTCTTGAAGATGGTCCATATTGTTGCTGTAGGACTCTCTTTGCTAGTGATCTGGCTTGCTCAGCCTGGATCAAGTAAGTTTGTTTAAATATTGTTTAATCGTGAAGCCTTCTTAGACCTCTTTAGCTTAAATGTTTTGTTTTCTTCTTGATCGAAGGTCTCAAGGGGAATTTCGTTCTTTGTATTTTGTAAATTACGCCTACATATACATGCACGTGAATAAGAGGAAATTTGAAAGAAACAGTGCTCTAGTATTATCACATGACCTACCTTCGGAAGGCTGAACATACGAACTAAAGAGCTTCATTTGGCGAAAGCTCAGTGTTACATAATGAAGACTAAGTTATCCCTAACAATATGTTCATCATTACTAGTACTTCATTGTTGCTTTCAATGATCCATCGTCCAGTTGTGCTTTCTTGATAGTTAACACATAAAAATTTTTTGCTACAATATGTTGATTAATGTTACAAGTACATCTATCCGTGATTTTTTTCATTACTCAGGTCTGTTTTCGTGGCATCCAACTCTGATGGCCTTGGGTGTAAGTAAAATCTGATCCGTAGTTGAAAGCTCGCTCGGTATCTTAGAGACATTTTCATAACAAATATTTTTGCCTTATTTGCACTCAAAAGCGCTTATTTATTCTCCTGTGCTGATTCTGCTGTGTTGAAGCTTGAAAAGTTATAAATAATGAGGCAATCGAAACAGTTTTTCCTTGTATTCGTACTGCTTAAGAAAGTGAGGGAGAAGGGGGGGGGAGGGGGGGGGAGAGAGAGTGCTTGTTTGATATTTGACCAAGGGGGTAGGAGCCTATATAGGGAGGGTGCCTATTAGAATCTTGGTGCTTATTCAAGGAAATACAATAATCATATTAAAATTCTAATATAATTATTGTGCTCATACATTGGCAAATTTCCTTGAATCATTAGATAGCCTTGAGTAGTTTTTCTAACTGCAGACTTTTTTAATGTAGTTCAGTTTCCTGATGATTGAAGCGATCCTGATGTTTTCACCTCAAAGTTCTCTCATTGCCTCAGCTCCTCGTGCCACTAAGGTCAAACTACATTGGATACTTCAAACCTCAGCTGTAGTCGCTGCCGTGGGTGGCTTTGCTGCCATCTACTATAACAAAAATATTCACAACAAGCTTCACTTTCAAAGCTGGCATGGATGCCTGGGGTTATGCACTGTGATTCTCATCTGTCTCCAATCTCTTCAAGGTGTTGGAGTTTTGTACTCCAAGCTACCACTTGCCAGTATGATGAAGCCTAAACAATTGAAACAACTTCATGCCATGTGTGGTTCACTAGTGTATCTTGTTGCCTGTATCACTCTTTGCCTGGGTTTTTATTCAAACTGGTTTGTGAAGAACACCAACATCTATGTCCAGGGGGGGAGTGTAATGTCAGCTATATGTCTGGGCAGTATTGTGATAGGGCAAGTTTATACAGAGTATGGCTTAAAGAGACGTCCAGGAACATAATTTAGTTGAAAATAGGTTCAGCTAACATCTCTGTGAATGGACAGCCTTGGAAAGCATAAAAAATACTCATAAATTAGGCTGATCACCGCAACAATTTTCAGATACAGCAGTTCAACTTTGACTTAGTTTGTTAACTCTTAAGCTCTCAAGATTCAATTGTAAGTTCCCCTCTAGCTGCAATATATTTCCTTCTAAATCAGTTTCAAGAATTAGTTGTTAGATCAAGATAAAAAGTTATACCTGATAAGTTTGAATATTCTCATTACCTGTTTTCAGGGTAATGTAGGGATACTTTAGGGAGAACTTACATGCCAATCACTTCTGAAAGTTAAAGCTGTTGTTAGTTGAAGGAAGACTGTCTGTCTTGGAGAGCATTTGCAATTCAACATCTTAAGATCATAACATATATTAAATATACTCTGTTTACATGCAAGTGTAATGAATGTGAAGGATTCAGAAGACTAAACCTGTCAACTACTATTATAACATAGCTAGTAAATTTGTGTAATCAAATCAAATTGTGCGAGCATGCTTCATACTCCTATTGTGCCCGCTCACAATGTCAGCAAACAAATCCCTCAAGAAAAAAAATTTTCCTTCGGGTTGAAAATGTTATAAAAGAATTGGTTCATACATCAGCTGTGCATTCATTGAGATATGAAGCACTTGGGAAGTTTGGAGAACACTTGAGAAGCTAGAGTTGCTCTCAGCTACGCCTCCAGCAACTCCTACACATCTTTCGTACTCTCCAAACTTCCTGGGTGTTTCATATCTCGATGAACGCACGCTGACGTATGAACCAATTGTTAAAAAAGCAGGTATTAAATTCTTTCAACTGCTATAAATACATTTCTTTGTTAACCCTCTAACTCCCAAGATCTCTTTAGTAATTCTCCTTACTGTCTGCCATATAAATCTTGTGATGTTAGTTCAGAGCATTTGGTATGGGATCAACCAATAATCCCCTAATATATATCTTTCTTTGATCTCATCACTTGTCTGTTTGATATTGTAAGGAGAAATTCTGTCTTGGTCACTCCTGGGAGTTAAAGGTTGAACAGCTCCAAAAAATTTGGTGTCATTGCTTTGAAAACAATGTTTTTCTCTTATCAGTTGTTTTCCAGTACTAAGGGAAAATAATATTTTTAATTGGTTCAGGAGTAGAAGGATCGAATGCTTGTTAACAATGCATTTGATTGTTTTTCAACTGGTGCTTCTAGCTTTACCTTGCACTGCTGTTTAAAATATTTTTGAGGGAAAGTTTGACTGAAGAAGCCAGTTGTCCTCACAGTACTGAACAACAAAATGTTGCTCCTATCTGCAATAATGTATCAAGTAATCATTTATGTATGGCTATCACTTTGAAAATAAATAAACCCTTATATATTCATCCTTTTCTTGCTTTGTTAGTAAATTCTGCTCACAATCTGTTTTTTACCATAAACATTGCAGCCAATATCGTCACTGCAAAACTGACCAATCAGTTTAAACAAACCAGACTTAGAAAATTTGACTGACAACAACTAATCACTTGACTCTGAAGATGACTTTGTAAAGGATGAAGGAAAAAAATCCACCTTAGCTAGAAGGAATTGAACCCCAGACCAGCAAATTTTTGTGGTGGTGATTTGACCAATATAGCAGATGTGACTGATTAGTTTTTTTGAAACAGGGGTTTAGCTTAAGTTGTGAGAAGTGTTGTGATGGAAAACTGGTAAGTGTTGCAAAGGGAAACTACATAAATATATAGAAGCAATGGTCTTTTCTGCCTAAGTGACCAATGTATCAATTTTATTGGGAACTAAAGAAACTTAATCTTTTTCATGAACACACCCAAGGAGATAGCAGAAATGCTGTGGGAGTGGTCTTTTCAGTGATATGGGAAGAATGGAAGACTCAACCTTTATAGTGTAATTGTCAGTGATTTATCTGTAGTCGAAAGTCAGGTAAAAGCAACACATGCATGATCGTCAATTAAAACCCCAAAGAAAGTTTGCATTTAAAGAAGTTTACAAAAAAGTTTACAAGAAATAAATCAGCACACAAGGAACCCAAGTTGGTTGTTTTGCAGTAAACCGATAGGAACTGAGTTCTGATCCTTTTATGGAGCAGCTATAAAAGGGGCTGTGCGGATGAGCCTTTACAACTTTATTTAATTAACTTCTTTAACCCCAAAAAGTGATGCATTTAATTTCACCTTACAGCATCACACCTGAATCAAACATTAAAGTCAAGAGAATGAAGAAAATGACCATGGACAAGACTCTTTGACTGCCACAAATTCTCCACGTCAGAATCTTATGAAATGCATAGAGAACAGTTTGGAGAATATGCATACTGACTGTATGCCAGCAGGTTGTCTAGCTAGTTTCTTAGCAATATGTCAACTAATCCTTCATTACAACTGATAATTTAATGTAAGAAAAACAAAGCTACCGCAGTAATTCATTCTCATTGTGTTCAAAAAAGAAGGTAATCAGAAACTAGTGAAAGCACAAAAACACTATAAAACTCTCCCAACACAGAAGTAAATTTATAAGCACACTCTAGCTCGTGTAAAATAAGTAACGCATTTATTGCAAATTCTGTTAATTACCATGTTTACGTTTTTAATCAAATGCAAAGGATGCTTTTACCTGTTAAAATTTACTCTCAAAGTTTTCCTATGTAAATGTCAGACTGCTCTCTCTGAATATTAAATCTCAAGTATATATTAACTAAACCATTGATACTATTAAGGGGGGAAAGTTTCTTAAGAAACCCTCTACAGTACTGCATCAGTAAGAGGTATTACAGGATAATTCAGTTTTTCTGTTTTGGTTTTCCCTTTTTGTTTCTTGAGCATATCATTCCACCTTGGTTTAGAACATTAACAACAGCAGTTTCTAGGTTTTTCAGCCATAACTATTACCTTTTTTATTCTAATGAAAATAAAAGCTAGTTTTCTAGTTTCTAGTTTCTAGTTTAAGGAGGCGAGCGTGGCCTAGTGGTTAGGGCGCTGCCCTTGTAAGCCAGAGGTCCTGGGTTCAAGTCCTCCTCACTGCCACTGGATGGATTTGTCTTCGGTGGCCCCGAATTCAACTCCTGCACGCTTTGTAAATAGCCAACTGGTCTGCCTCCTACCAGTTGGGGTTTTTAACGAGTTTCTGTTCATTTACGATATTTGTTTTTGTAGCACAGCAGTGCTAAAATACACTGACACTTAAATAAAGTTATTATTATTATTTATTATTATTATTATTATATTTATTATTATTATTATTATTATTATTATTATATATAGTTTCTGATTGATCCTAGCTACAGTCCCAGTTTCAGACATCACTGAGTAAGACTGAGTTAGTAAAATGAAGTCCAAGAGTAAATGTGATAGTACCAGAGGCGTAAAAAAAAAGCGAGAGGTTTGGAAAAGGCACATAATAAATATGACCCAACCCAAATCTCCCTTTTTGCCTTACCATTATAATTGTGCCATTAAATATTTCTGACCATTTTTCTTGCTGAATGCATGGAACAGGCTAAATAGACCCAATGCACTTTCCTAGCCCCTCTCCTGACCAAATGGTCTGCTTGCTTCCCAGGATGTTGCAAATTAATTTTGGTTTTCTTACTTTAATTTAAGTATTTAAGTTAGTTAAGATAGGATTAACCCTTTCACTCCCAGTGGTGACCAAAAAAGAAATTCTCCTTACAAGTGCAATACACTTCTGAGAACAGTCATGATGAGAAGAAAGAAAAATTATCAACAAGCAGATACTACTTGATTAAAAACCAGATCCTCACTACTTACTTACTAAGAATGTGTAGCCAACAGTGCTGAGAAGTTATATTTAGATCTTGAAAGTGAAAGGGTTTAAAACAAAACTCCTAGTAATCATCTCCTCGGCTGATCACTTCTTTCACTGTTGGCCTCAACAGTATTGTGTGCTCAAACTGAGCGGTGTAACAACCCTTGATGTCACACTGGGGTGGGCAGGGATCAACCACTCCTGCATTGCACAGGCTCTTCAGAGCCATAAGATACTTTGTCTGCAAGGTAGAAAATATTCTTAGAGCACAGTAATTTGGCAGGCATGTACTAGCTGTAAGCAGGTTTTAGTTTTAGGGGATTATGCAAATTGTCCTCATTCTGCCACAAGTGGATTGCAGTGCAATGAAAAGCTACAACAAAAAGATCCAATGAAAGACTTAAAACAAGAAGGCAAGAGTATAAGGAAGGCTTTCTTGTTTGATCCTGTTGTTTAGTCAGTCCTTTTGGGCAGTAAAATAGTAAGATTTAAGACTTTAGTGAAACAGTCCCTGATTGGTTGTTTATCTGCCAAGTTCAAAGTCATGTGCAAAGAGTTCAGACCAATCAGCAAAAGGGTGCAGTGAACTCAACCAATGAGAGAGACACATTTCTGTGTGCCTTTTTCCTGATAGTTTTTGGTAGCAGAGGCTGTCATTTTATAGAGGATACCACTCAAAGCAACAGAAACAATTAGCAAAATTTCATAATATGATCATTCTAAATTTTTATAAAATCTGACACATGCAATCATTGTCCTGCCAAGAGAGAGATGCTATTCTATCATTGAAAGTACCTGTCCCAGCCGATCCAACCACCTCCTACAGAAGGCCAGGGTGCCAAAGTTTTCGTTGATGACATTCAGAAGTTGTTTAGCTCTGGGCAACCTAAGGAATGTAAAGTTGTGAAAAAGAGATATAGGTCAACAGCCTGCAGAGCAGGTGTGATTTTGGTGAGAGAGTGCTCAGTATTTTCTTGGTGATAATTATAGCTGCCAATTTTTTTTTAATAGCAGTGGAAAGCTGGAGAGAGAAATTAATTAGTACTGAAGGGCTGAGAGCCCAGTAAAGAGGATGGAGGGGGGAGGGAATTGGGTAATAAAAATCTTGTCTGCCCCACCCCACCCTCCCACTGTTCACTTCAACTCAAAATCAACCATGGCTGGTAGGATAAACCATTGGGAGCTTGTAATGTAAACTTGCCTTAATAAGATGCCAGCATCACATGCCAATAAATCAAGTTCAGGTTGTGCTCTATGATGTCTCTGGGAGCAAATTATTTTATTTTCATTCCACGGCCTTGTTGCTTCAAGTCTTACCTCAAAGGAACATGTCCAACCTCAAAGTTCTTCATGTAATGTGAACAATCCATGTCATCATGAACCACACCCTTCCCTGTGCTGCCAAATGTTTCAATAGCAAAGAATTCATTCTCCTAAAGTGAAAGAGCCTGCATGTCAGTGATGTGATCGGGACACAAAATGGTGCCAAATGGTCAACAATGCAATAGTTTCTCATGAATGCCAAAAAACATAACACGTGGGCAGAGAGATAAAACATTCCAGTTTAAAATACAATCACAAAAAGGTAAAGAACATTTCAACATCATGCGATGAACACAAATTCACCTCCATTTTTGTAGCCTCTCCTCCTTTAACTATTGGCACTGTTTTTCCAGCATGGATCCTGTACGGTGTTATGGAATGACCATTCAGATTCCTTATTGGTCTCACTGTTGAGTAAAACATATCAATTTATAATTAGCAAAGGGCTCTAGAATTATCTTTTGGATACGATACTTTTTTTTTTTGAAAATACAATAGTCACACCTCGGTAAGTTTTTCCATTCAGTTCAACTTCGTAAGATTCCATCACTTCTTGTATGGCTTCACCAACATCACAAAGCCTCACATCAATTCCAGCTTCCTGTACATAAATAAAGACAATTTCAGTTTTAATTATTAGAATTGTCTCTCTTTCTTCTCAAGACACACTAGTCTCCTTTAAAGTCACCCTTTTGGTTATTATCTGGAGAGATACCTTGTATAGACTATAAGCATATTCAAAATTCTGAAGTTAGTAGAGAATTCACATCAAGAATAAAACAAAACAAAAACACACAAACAACTATTAAGAACACAATGAATTTAACACTGCACCTTTATTCCAGTATTTGTGGCATCTTTAACTGCAGCAAGCAGGTTGTCATATTTGGGGTTAAATGATACAGTGAAGGCAGAATCTACGATTCTCCCTGAAAAGAGGGAATAAAAAAACTAATCATTCAAAACAATCTAATAAAATGAAATAAGAAAAAATGAAGAAATTTTGATCCAAAAATTTTTTATCAGGTAGAAGGGGGGGAGGGGAGGAGGGAAGGAGAGAAGGAGAGAAGGAGGAAAGGGGGTTGGGCCCTCAAAAAAACTTTTGATCCAGAATAGAGAACTTGTTATACAGAAGAGCCATGTAACAAGCCAAATATTCCAAGACAAGTAAGTTTTTAATTCTCCATAATATGTACTAACATGCCATCCTGTCATTAAAATAATTTTGGTGTCCGGCAAGAAGTAAAAAACCCCTAACTTCCGATGGGAGAAGGAGAGAGGCACCCAGATTCCCCAGCCCCCACGCAACCCTAACCTTACCATTCACATGAGTTCCAAAATCAATTTTGCAGACATCATCATACTGTAGAACTGTCTTGTCACCAGCGTTAGGAGTGTAATGAGCTGCACAGTGATTCAGGGAACATCCAGTGGGAAAAGCCAAACCTAGAGAAACAAAAAAGATCTTAATTATAAGACACACTCTTCTAATTTGAGATGTCTGTTCAGTGATGCAGTTAAACTTAATAATAATAATATTAAGAATAATAATAATGATGATGATAATGATGATAATATTTAACGAGGGAGCCCAACTCGCCACCACAGCAGTTTTTAGCGGGGATTGTTCAATGGGGCCCTCATAAAAAAAACTTAAGAGAAACAGACTGAATATGGCCCTGTGACTTTTTTGATGCAGCATCACCTACTTCCTGGTTTCTAAGTTCTCCTTACACCATCACCCTTACATCAAAAGTAAAGGCCATGAGAATAAAGAAAACGATCAGCCATTTAAGATGCTCCAGATTGTCAAACATATTCCCCTTGTCAGTACCACAGCGAATGTAAAGAGAACAGTGGGGTGAATCTATGACTTTTGAATGAATACCAGTCTGAGGGTGTTAAGGATTAACGAGAATCACTTTGTGAATTTTACCAGGGCCACTTTTGCCTTGGTAACCCACGTTTAGACTAGCATGCATAAGGGTTGTTTACATCACCAAGTTTGTCGCGCGATATGAAAGTCTATTTTATCACAAATATTCTTTTGAGAAAAAAATTGTAATACCAAAGTCATACTATGACAATGATTTTGTCACAGCAGAAAGTGGGGCCCTGGAAACGAGACATTGAAAAAACGAAAGGAACAGACAGCATTTTATAACCGGTTCCAGCCTTTGGCTGGCCCTGGTAATGACTGTTTGTAACTCCACAAAACACAGGCAGTAAATAAGTTTTACCATTTCAAATCATGTACCAAATGATTGAAAATAAAACATTTACCAGTTAATAAGTAAAATCACTCACCTGCTTTGAGTTTGTTTTCATTTATGAGTTTTCTAGAAGCTCCCTCCAATTTTTCACTACGAAAAAAGGGAAAATAAACCACAAGTAGTTAAAATAGAGCAAAAACAGGAAAGTACAACGTTTCCTCTATTCCCTGCCCAGCCGAAAAAAGTACAACAATTAATATGTTATAATCAAGGGAAGATCTAGCACCATAAAATATATTACTGAGCATATAAAGCTACTTGCAAAATTCTTAAGAGACATGACTGTTCACTTTCTAATCAATGCTTTTCTAGGCATGGCTATTGCAAAATCTTTAACCCTCAGCCCTTTACACCCTAACATCAGTATCTATATTCTCCATACTGTTCTCTATACATTTCTTAAGGTTCTGGCAAGGAGAATTTGTTTAGCAATCAACAACTTCTTTTGTTAGTGACCATTTCCTTTATTTTTGTGACCTTACTGTGTGATTTAGGTGTGATATTGTACTTGGAGAAATTAGGCACTGGTCACTCTTAGAGGTCAAAGGCTTAAACTCTGAAGATCTGATGGGAAATCCTCCCTAGACTACAGCAGTCTCTCCTATTCAATGAAGTCTGTAAGGTAATAACAAATTAAGATCACATGATCCAGAATGGTGTACATGCCTTCCCTACCACAGTTCCTTATTTTATTTTCTAACTTTTGTCCTTACCAAATCTCAATCATGGTCATTCCTGGCTTGATAAAGCCTTGCACATACTTTCTGACCTGAGGAAAAAAGAAAAAAAAAATAGAGGCACAAGGAACTAAGAGGAGGAGGTACAGCATAACACAATCAGGTACTGGGAGTGTTACACACACAATCAGGAAGTACAGTACCAGGATCAAGTCTCACCCTGGCCACCTCAGTTTAGATCCTAGATCATGCCTGTAAAAAGCATGCTGGTTTCCCTACTTCTAGTTGAAGTTTTTATATAAATTAAGTTACATCTAGTTGAAATTGTATGTTTGGAATTATTTAGGCAGGTTTATCAGTGTTTCCATCACTATCAAAATCTAGTAGCAGGATTCTGCATGGAAGCTGGAGATTTCACTGATCAGTGATGCTAAATACAAACATCCTAATATATCTGGATATCTGGACTATACAGTAAAATGGTATGCGATTATAAGTTACAGTCAGTTGTAAAAAAAAAAAGATGCATTCATCTTATCATAATAATGATGTATTATTGTCATAATGCCATGTGTAGTTTACTTTACCAGAAGTCTTGTACACTCAAGCTCTACAATGACTGTCTGGTCTCATTACCTGTCTGTGAGCTTCTGCAGCTTGTCGCACATCGCTGTACGTGTCATTTTGTGCTCGATCTAGGGCTCTCTTTTCTTCATTTGTTTCACGCCACAGATTGCTAGTGGGCAAAAAAATTTGAAAATGTAACAAAAAAATTTCACTTGCTTCCTTTTCTTTCAGTTTTGTACTTTGGGAGAACAAAGGGAAAGTACATCCAATTAGCATATACAGTGTGTAGCTTAAGTGTGGTGACATTTGAATAAACTGTTTTATTATTATTATTTTGAGTGGTATGATATTGGAAATGGAAGCAGTAAATCTTCAATCCCTTGGATGAAGATTCCACAGACATCCTATGATCAAAAGTTATCAGGGTGTAACCCTTTGGCTCCCAAGAGTCATTGACCAATAGGTAATCTTTCTTTGCCGCATCAAAGCATTGTCAAGCAGAAAGGTGCAAGAGCAGAAAAAAACAACAACTAGAGGATGTTGCTTGAATTTAGATCAAAGTCTCAGAGCTGGAATTAACAGGAAAATTGTAACTGAGAGTGAACAAAAATGATATTGAGATATTGGCAGTGAAAGGGTTAAATCCCAAAAGACTGGAGCTAAAACAAGAGCTGTATTTTAAAACAAGTTTATAACCCTTTCCTATTTAACCCTTTCACTCTCAAGATCTAATTAGTAATTCTCCTTACTATCTGCCATACAATTCTTATGATGTTAGTTCAGAGAATTTAGTATTGGATCAACTAATAATCCCATGATTGATATTCTTCTCTATTCTCATCACCTGCCTGCTTGATATTGTATTGATATTGTAAGGAGAAATTCTGTCTTGGTCACTTGTGGGAGTGAAAGGGTTAAATTTACAACTCAAACACTACTGGCCATTGTTCAGACACCCTTCTTATTGATGATCACAGAAAAATTTATTTCATCGAGTTAGAATAACAATAAATAATTCACTATACTTACTCATCCTTATAATGCATTATTTGTCCTACAGGAAAGTTGCCATTTGGGAAAAGTTCTGATATGGCCACAGTAGGAGGATCAGTCTGTTCCTTGGCAGAGGAGGAAGTTATACCATCTGATATTTGAAAAGATTCAAAATTATAATCATTACTAACTACTTTGAAAGGTTACATGATCATCTTTCTGATCAGCTTATTGCTCCCTGTGCTGCCACACTCACTCCATCCCACATTTTTTCAGGGTTCTCTGACGTTTTGCTTCAACCCAATAAAACTCCCAGGTGGACAGAGGCTTTATGAAAGTTAAGTGTTTTCCTAAAGAACACAACACCCTGACCACTCCTGGGCTTGAATCAGGATAGTTGTCTCTAGAATCCAATCAATTACAACAAAAATAAGACAGAAATAATCCCAATTAATCTTTTGACAATTGTCATATAAACTTATTGGTAAAGTTTCAGAACTCAGATTAACTTTCCTGTGAGTCAGTTTAACTTTTATCAGATCAAAGTTCCATGGAATTCAGTAACCCTTTACCTCCCAGAAGTGTTTAATACTTAATTTCTCTCTATAATCTCCATACAGCATCCACCAAACAAGTAGTGAGAAAACTTAACTTATCAGGTAGAAGTCATCTTGATGTAACACCAAATTCTCATAACTAATTAATGAAAAAATTTGTAGCAGCCTAAGGGGAGAATTAACAGTTAGATTTTGGGAGTTTAGGAGTCAGTTTTCTTCCCTTAAATCTCAGTAGTTTACTATAACTGGTTAGGGATAAATAGTTTTTTTTTTATTACTTTGGCCTTCCCCTTCTGTTGTTTTTGCTCCTGCTGACTTCTTCTTCTTCTTTTTCTTCTTCTTTGTAGAAGTTGTGTTACTGGTCTCTCCATCTTGTAATTCTTCACCATCTGTGTATACAAGAAACATAATCAACTAGTTGTATTTTGGGGGGGGAGGCAATTTATTGCTTTTTTTTTTTTTCTTTGGCTCAAAAATGCGTCAGTTGATGCCGTGTTAGTAAAAGTTCATCTGTCAGATGTTAAAAGTTGGTCCGTAGGCTCAAATTAGGGTAATAATTAACCCTTTTTTCTTTATTCTCATTACTTATCTGGTTGATATTGTATTGATATTGTAAGGAGAAATTCTGTTTTGGTCACTCATGGGAGTTGAAGGGTTATTAAAGACTTTGAGCACAAGCACAAGAATTACACTCAGGCCAAGAGAGATGGAGTACAATGTGATAAGTTACCTGCATTATCCTGCTCTCCATTTGCTTCTGGTTCAGCAGCAGGTGCTGAGGAGTCTTTTGCTTCCCCTCCATTCAGTGCTTCACCATTAGTATGTTCTGTACCATTTTGTTCACCACCTCCTGTTGTATAAAAGTACAGTCAGCTAATAAACTTACTAGTAAATCTACCTGGAGCTTCTCCTGGTTTCTATAACATGACACCACTAGGAATGTCAAGAAGCTGTTGGAAACTGTACAATACGTCACTTATTCTTAATTAGATTGATAATTTGAAGTGATTTTGTTCATCTTTACATGGCCAAACAAACATGTTTGCAGCATGTGTTTTATCACATCACACCCCATGTATAGTACTGTTCCACAAGCTTACACCAGGGTGTTCAGTGTGTAGTTTTTTTTAATAAGCCGAAAATTGTGAGTGGGAGTTAACCAAAGTGTTGTGGTAAAATCGTTAAATCAAGTGAATAAAGCGTGACTCAATAAGGAAGCGTGCTACAGCTTTTTCACGTCTTCAACATGGCCCATCTGGCCCTTTTTTATTCCAGGTGCCAACGCAACAACAAACAACAACAGGCACTCTTACTCCCTCTCCCAACCACTCCTATGTCCATGCAGGCCCAATGCTGAGCCTGCAAAAATTATCGTTTGCCAATAACGGGCTCAAACCGAAATTGAAAATGACTTAAATAGCCATCAAAATTTCACAGATTATCTCGTATTTCATTCTCATCGTCTTCTGCTTAGCTTCATTATCTTCAAATCGCAACTTCTTGACTAAAATTTCAAATGCCACCGAAATTGCCGACCTCAGCGCGCGCCATATTTGTTTACTAATACGCGATCTCATCGCGTGACTTCGTCAACCATCATCAATTATTGTGCCGTTTGAACTAAACCATGATAGTCAACGATAGGGAATGAAAGTTGCAACTATCATTGACTATCATTAACTATCACGACCGTTTGAACAGGGCATAAGAGTGGCACACGCATGTCATTTTGTTTTCAGTTGATATTATTGTATCAGTTTTGTAATCACATTATCAACGATTCTCTGCGTGTGTAATTAACACAACTGACCCTTCTTCTTTTTCTTCTTCTTCTTTCTCTTTTTGCTCACAGAATCTCCGCCAGCTTCTTGTATGTCTTCAACTTCGTCATCTCCATTCTCTTGTATTTCGTCAGTATCTTTCAAGTGCGATTCTTCGGAGAGAACCGCCGCCATCTTAAACCCCAACATGTCCTCCTCATCTAAATTATCTGATATCAATAATTGCTAATATTCTGGTGGATGGAATCTAATGCTGACCCATCTGGAAATTGGTAACCGCGCAATTTAAGCGCGCACACGAAGCGTTCTTGTGAATCGCAGAAGGAGGGGAGAGGGAGGGGAGTAGGAGGGGCTTGTTAGAGGAAGACGGGGAAGGGAGGGGTAGGGTAAAGCAGCTCTGTTCTGGGTACTTCTCGAGGAATTTGTCGGACGTTGCAACATTTCACCTTAAGTTAATTACGTTGTAAGAAATCATAAGGAAGATGAAAAGATCTCGAAGGCCTCACTAACCCAAGCCTTCACTTTTGGTTTACCTTCGGGCTGATGGTACGGGGGGGGCATGCAGGTGTTAGAGTTCCAGGGAGAGAATATCAGCAGTTGATATTCTCATGAGGTCCAATTATAACCGAACTTCGTCCTCCTTGGTCGAGCAATAAAATTCCTTTCCAGCTGGTAAAATGTTGTTTGTCGAGAAAGCCCAGCTGGAAAACTAATACATGTTCGTGAGCCAAGGTGTGACTCCATACTGATTATGATAAACCTGAAGCTCAGTATACACTAAGGGCTAGTATTATTAACCGTACGCGCGCGAGCCTCTTGGAAGCATCGCGAGAAGCGAGACAGTCTCACTCTCCCTTCTTACACTCGCCCCAGATCTACTGATTGTATGAATATCCCACGTGTTGGTAAGAATATCGTAAATATTTCGCATTCTACAGCTTCAATAGCATAATTATACGAGAAGAAGTATTTTTAGAGCACAATCCTTTTTAAACATGTTAGTCCTGAAAGGTGACGTAAAATACAAATACTCGTTTCAAACAGATTTTAATTCCCCACCCCACCCCTCACCCCACCTATCTTCACCATAACTTTGCCTTCTTATCAAATACTCAACATTTTTTTACCGAAAGATTTCGAACCATGCATCGTTGCTTCTCTCCAATCTTTCCACAAGCTGAAAAATTTGTTTTCTTAGCAGGCGCCAAGAATATATCTTTACCCTCTGCTCTCACCAGAAAAAAAAAAGCTTGAAAAGTCTTAATAGGAATTTTACGTGCAATTTATACTGTAAACAAACTAACTTAATACGTGTTTCAACGGTCTATTGAGGAGACTCCCTCAGTAACGCAATTACACATCTGTTGTAGTTTGTTCAAAAAGTGAAGCCAATCTGGTATCTGTTGTTTCCCTGTGGTTAGCACATAAGCTAAAACCAGTTGAAATTGATTATAAAGAAGAACGAATGATCGATCAAAAGAACTGTTGCGATGCCATTCGAAGGTTTGTTTTCATTTGCCTGACCCACCAGAGTCACTGTCGAAACAATTAAATTACATTCAATCGTTAATTATTCTGTTCGTTTTATAACCCCTGTCGACAACTGCATAAACTTACAACTCTGGAGTAATGAAATGTTACTTTTAACGGCGCTCGGAGGCTTTACATTTAAGTCTTTCACCCTCAGCTTTAAAACAGAAAGTGTGGAATTAATGCAAACCATTGACTTTTGAGCGAAAGACTATCAGTCATTTTGATTGGATGACATATTGTGATACTAAAGGTTTTGTCACCGAACCGGATAATTACAAATATTTATCATTAGCGACAACCCACTTGAACTTTACAAGGTAAAATATTTTATTTTCGTACGAGTCCTCGAGAGACAGTGAATTCCGGACAAATCGGGTAAAAAGGCTTCTATTTGCAATGGCTTTTTTTCAGAAGGCGCGAACGAGTAGTTCATCTTCAGCTGACAGTTTCTTATGCCCAGTCTGCAATGAGGAATATCAAGATGAACCCAAACAACTTCCTTGCTTGCACACGATCTGTCAAGATTGTCTGTGCGATGCTGCGACCGGGAAAAATGCTCTCAAGATCTACTGTCCCATTGACGGCCAAGAATTACCTCTTCCGATGGGAGGAATCAAAATGTTGCCGACAGATTTTCGTATTTTGCGGCTCGTAGAGGCTCATCGCGGCCAGAACAAGACGAGGAGCGAGCGAAAGCCAAGGGAACCTAGAAAAGAAAAACCCGAGAAGGCCGAGCGCAAAAGACGCGGAATACTGACGAAGATTCGGGCCCACCTTTGCAAGAGCAAGAGGAAAGAATGAAAAAACAGCTTTCAGAGATGATGGCAAAGCTAAGAAGTTTGCTGGATGAAAAGGAAAAGGCGCTTTATAAACAGATCGACGACGCAATGGCTAGAGAGAAAAGAAGCTTGTCTATGAATGGGGCAGAGGGCGAACAGAAGAAGAGAGCCATTTTTCTTCTTGATCTTACGCTCAGTCGGAAAATTTTGCAGAGCATCAAAGAAGAAGGTTTAGCGGCCATTCAAGGCAATCGCAAGGCCCCCACCCTTCTTAGGGAGCTTAACACGGCCGGTATCACCCCGTCTGGCAACAAAACAGCCACCCCTGACGCGAACTACCGCGAGGCAGCTGAGGTGATTCGAGCCTTGAATGTACCTCTTCAATTTAAGAGCATGTTCAATCCTGGCGCTGTAGCTGTTGGCAAGAACGGACATATTGCTGTCACAGACTACGGTAACGAGTGCGTGTGGCTTTTCAATCCGGAGGGGTCGTTTCTGTGTCAGGTTAGTCACGCGTTACAAATTGATGTTACAAAGCAAATAGCGGTCATGGGCAGATCCAGGAAATTTTGATGTGGTGATCACGAGGGGGATGCGGGGGAAAGATGGAGTCCAAACTTATCTATAGCCTAGATAAGCAAGGGAATATTTCAAGACGAATTAATTTTTTAAAACTTTATATAGGGTAGTGATGTAAGATCCTGCCGCTGTTAGGATTTTGGTGTCAGAAAAAGACCCAAAAGGTCTGATGGGGGTTAGAAGGGAACTCTTAACCTCGAACCCCGGATCCCGGTGATCAAGCCATTCCCCCTTTCCCCTCCCCCCCATCAGCGCAGCGCACCCCTCCCCCTTCCCCCCATTTTGAAAATAAATGAAGTTGTTTTCATTTCTTAAAATCTGCTACCTGCAGATTGGCGAGGATGGCGAGGGGTCCATGGAATGTCCCGATGGAGTCTTCTTCTTTCCCGACAACAACATCATCGTATCCGATGGGCCTTTTGAGGGACCTCAAAGCATCCAGATGTTTGATATCACCGGCCGATTCATCCGCTCTCTTGTGGAGGTTGATGATGATGAAGACATCAGCTTCAGCAACATATCCGTGGATGATAATCAACGCATCTTAGTGACGTGCAATGGAACCCGTCCTTGCATTCAAGTCTACAATGCGTATGACAAAGAGGAATACAGCCTTGAGATGGAGCTTGGTGGAGAACATCTTGCCAGTCCAGGGAAGGCAATTTTCTTTGATGGGAAATTCTACGTTATTGACTCCGATGGCTCTAAAAACAAAACCGCGATCAAGGTGTTCAACGAAAAGGGCTCCTTATTGCAGACCTTCGATGAGGACAAGCATAATTTGGGCCAACGAGACAACATGGGAATTGATATCACGTATCCAATCAGGCTCGCTCTTGACAAGTCAAACAACACTTTGTTGGCTTACCACGGGATCCCGCGCGAGATTCGCATTCTTCGCCCCGACGGAACTCAAGTATCATCAATTAAAACAGTTTCAGGCGCGCGTGACATTGCGTTGACAATCGACAAGAAGATCGTGGCGACATGTGGAGAGGATAGCATTTTGTCGAGAAGTGTGCAGATGCTTAAATTTAACAATAATTAAACTTAGCCTTTAGAACTTAAAATTTTATGGAAATGCGTGACTGAGACTGCGTGACCTAAAGGTTTTGTGACTCATGGGTATGTAATTTGTAAGAGTGACCCTCTTTTGTTCGTGTGTTTCACCAGCTTAACGTGAACTTTCATGAATTTTTGGACTTCTGCCAAAATATCCCTGAGACACTTCTAGCAACTGTTTATGTGTAGAACACAAGTTGTTCTTCCTTTTCGGCGAAGTCCGTTGCGCAAGTCGAAAAAACAAATCAGTGAAATAAAGAATCGATGTTACCACACCGCAGAGAACTCTAGGAGTGCGCCTCCCTCCTTGAATTCGACGCGGTTTTTTACTTTTTTATTTTTTTGACCCGCACGACGTGATGTTACGGAAGCCAAATAAATTTTAATAACTACTGAAGTTTTACAATGTTGCAACACGGAAAGAACGAAAGTGCAGAATGCTTAAAAAAATCTTGACATGATGATCTTGCTCCTCAGAGATATCTTTATTTCAGCAGTTAACAGTTGGAGGACAGGTAAAGGTTTCAAACTTATGGTACTTGCGGATATAATAAACTGCTATTAAACTACAAAATATATTCGTTTTATTTACCGAGTGGCATCTTTATTGGAAAGATAATACTCAGATTTCAGAAATACCTCTCATTGTAAAGAATCTTATAAAAAGCACTCTTAATAGATATCAATTTTCATTTAAATTTGTAATTTCATTCTTTGAAATGATGGGTGGAAATTTATAACTTTATTTCAGTTAAATACAACATTTCGGTGAAGTGAAAAAACTTTTGTTTGCTTAATTTATCTTTGGGCGTAACGCCGAAAATTTGTCAATGAACGCACAATGTATCAACACAAAAACATATGAAAAAATGTATTTTAGCGGAGATGTATGCTCCAGACACCGGATAATTTACGTCTCCGCGTTTCGTGATTGTAAAGCATAACCTAACCGTTCGAAAATCTTCTTCAAAAGTGCTTCAAAATCGATTGTAAATGCAGCCATTTTTTTAGGTTATCGCAAAAATAAGACTATTTGGTCACTAACGTATTTTTGTGTAGCTTTTGATGGTTCAAACAGAAAAACAAGTCAGCGGTCAGGCTGCTGAGCAACATTCAAAATGGCGGCTTTCATGTGATATCTCTATCAAATTCCAGGACAATTTTAGAAAGGTTAGATTATCCTTTAGAATCTCGCAAAGCTTTGAGATTCATAAATTCGTATGTACTTTGTAACGGCGACGATAAAAGTTACATGGTTCCTGGGGAATCTATATCCTTCTCCTTAAATATGATAATTGATTTAGCGTATATGACATATATTAATTTACGGAATGTTCCCGCTAATCTCCCACGTCAGCGTCGCGGTCCCCTACGAGCCACAAAAGATGGAACGACACGGCCAGGAGCCCGGTGCCGAGTAAGTCACCCAGCGCAGTTAAGTAAGGGATACTGTAGTTGTCGGGATCTTTGCCTTGTTTCCACATCCAGTGAACCAACCAATCGGCTGTGAGGAGAAGAATGGCGACCTGCGAAACGAAGTTGGAGAATGTCCTTGGAAAACAGTGCACAGGAAAAGAAGGATTTCCTAAAAACATTCGTGACTCGCGGGAGGGGGGAGTAGGGCAATGGGGAAATCTGAGTTTCCATGATGATTAGAGCCCGTTAGCAATTTGGATTTCGCGGGTACAAGCTTAGTGGAAGTACATTATAATATATTTGATTCATTTGTGACACGCATCCTGTATACTGCTTAGCCTACGACCAGGCCCTCATTAATAGTGCTGCAAGACGCGCGTTTCTCCGCCCGCGGAAGGTTTGAGATGAGTCGGGGAGAGGTTTCCTGGAGTCTGGGTTTAATAATTAGGCTCGTTTGTTACATATTGCTAAGGTCAGCAATGTCAAGAGCTATGGACGCGTAAGTAAGATAGTATTAGGAATACTGCAAATTTTGGGCTCGGTTTAGAAACAGAGAAATATCTTATTCATGTTCTTACGCGCATGGCCTGTTTCAGCCGTTCAGTTAAAATGGAGCGCAAAAGTTAAGGGCGTGATAGCTCGTTGCAAGCGTTCAGTTAGTGAAACGATGGGCGATGGTAAACAGCGTAATACAAGCGGAGGAGTTAAAAAAACGGGGGAAGTTTGGGTCGGGTCGCTTTCCCGACCCAAACCTCCTCATTGTCGTTCTGCCGCTGCATCGTGCCATTTATTATTTCGCTTATTTCGCTCCGTTTCTGAAAGAGGCTAAGGGCGCGAAAGCAGTAACGGAGCAAAAAAAAAAGAGGGGGGGGGGGGGCTAGTAAAAACCAGGCTTAACTGAACGCCTAGAAAAGGCTTTCATAAGTACGTCGATCAAAGCTGTAAGCGAGACGCTCGTCATATATGAACCTGGCTTGCCATAGGATTCGCTATTGCTTAGCGGTAAAAAATTTGAGCTTCGAATCAATTCTCATGGCGACTCATACAGATATCTATGCTCGAGACAAGAAGGATAACTCCTGAGCTCTTAGTTAACAAATACCTGTATCAGACCAGCCAGTAGATATCCAGAAGTGAACATTAGCGTTAGAGTTGTATGTCCCGCCTGTAGTACACGGATTGTGTACAAAAATATCAGATTTCCAGGAATAACCATGAATAGCAACACACGAGTGGTCCGAGCGTGCACTCCTAGGATGGGGAAAAAATTGGTGAAAATTTTTATCTGATAGACTATCCATAGTTCTCCAAGGAGCCAATAAAAAGACTCTATTCCTAAGTCTCACACAACAAAAAGGAAAAAAAACGCTTTCGTACATCCATGTAATCTGACAAGGACACTAGGGGAACTGATACATGACGGTCCCCCATACCCCACGCAAAACGAAATGGTTCAGGAATCACGTTTAACTCAGTTCATAAATCACAGGTCAAGTTTAAATTTTAAAAAAAATTCATTCATGCAAACATAAAAGGATCTTATCATCTTTAACCACGATTCACGAGGAAAAATTAATCGCTCAATCACATTTCATGTAAAAAGTATAGGGGACCCTCTTTCTCCCTGTGAGTGACTGGCATACAATTTCTCCTTACAATATCACCCCTGAATCACACATTAAGGTCTTGAGAATAAAGGAAATGATCATCAACTAAAGAAAGTCTTGATTGTTTAACAACTTCTCCTTGTCAGCATCCTAAGTAACGTGAAGAGAACAGTATGGAGAAGATGCCGACTGATGTTATGGTGTAAGACGCTAATGCAGGATATAGGCATACCTGATCCAAAAAACGTATCAATGCAGCCACGAAATTTACTTGATTCTTGTACCTCACCAGGTTTGCCAAGTTGGTGCAGACCAGTTGAAAGCCGGCTTGCTTGAACAGCGACCAAATTGCCTCCAACACCTTAAAAAACGATGCGCACTCTCGTTTAAACTTTTCAAAACACACTCTATTTCAGAAGTACAGAGTGCAATTTTTCACTTGCCCGTACGCCAAGTGCAATTTGTAGTCTTTAAAAATTTACAAGTGAATATTACATCAAATAAGATGAAAGAGAAATCATATTATTGCTTGTTAATAACGAACATGAAATGACATCACAGAAAGTCAAAACCGACAAAATTTTAGAAGTATGCGCACGCTATTTGTAATTTGCTCTCGTTTCAGCCAATCAGAAGCGCGTAATTTTTTTCATGTACATTATTAACAAGGTTTTACGTGACTAGGGTTGCAATGAACTTCTCTTGATTCGACTGTTCAAGTCACCTGAACATGTTGACTGAAAGCGTTCGAATACATAAGTTTCACCCAATCCTTAGAAATATAGTATAACTTATTATGATTTCTATGCAAAATAGAGCGCTTTACGACTGAGTGTCGTGAAACCAATAGAAAAGTTATCACATCGGCCGAGAAAATTGTATATTAATATGAATTTATCAACTGAGTGGAAAGGCCAGATGGGAAAATATTTGACTTGAGGTCATGACGCACAGACCGGGCGCAGCAAGGTCCGTAAGTCATGAACGAGAAACCTACCATTCATAACTGGACTGAAAACTGCAATTCCATGGTACTTATCCACTGCATAGTCAAGAATGAGACCACCAGAGCTGCAAACACAAAGAGAACACCCAAATTTTATGTCGTTAAAAAAATCAGCTCGGTGAAGAAAACGTGGAGATAAATACACGATTAAGTAAAATATTAATTCTGTATAATTTTCTTACTCTGTCTTATATGATTTATTCCGACCGATAGAGCATAACCGTACATTAAGTGTACCATATAGAAGATTGGCTCTTCTGCGGAGAGAGACAAAGTTTGGCACAAGTAATCTCTCCCCCCTTCACCAGCAAGATGGGAAAAACTACCATGATAACATTACCTGCTAATAACCATTGCGCTAAGAACAGGGGTCCACCCAGTGTAGAGTACGTCATGTGTGAAGGTATTGTGATGTGTGATGTACACCCACAGGGGGAGAATGAGGAAGAATCCCAAACAGATGACAGGTGCTATCCAATGATGGGTGCCATCTTCAGAATCTAAGATATGAAAGGCCTTTCTATAGTTAGCTTTAAAATCAATCTGAATCAGAGTTACTTGAAGTTACTAAAAAAACCTGCCTCAACTAGTAAACCGCCACAAGTGACCAAGACAAAATTTCTCCTCACAATATCAATACACTATTAAGCAGAAAGAATCAGAATCTAAGAAATGAAAGGCCATTCTTTAGTAGCTTTCAACTCAATCCATATCAGTTACTTCTAAAAAAAACCTTGTCTCAATCCTTAAAGAGTCATGAGTGACCAAGACAGAATTTCTCCTTACAATTTCAATACAATATCACACAGACAAGTAATGAGAAAGTACCAGTAATAAAAGAAAAATATCCATAAGAGGATTATCATATAAGTGGATTTAATAACAAAATTCTCCATACTAACATCATAAGAATTGTATGACAAACAGTACTTTAGGAGGATTACTTGTGCCATCTTGGGAGGGGAAAAGGGTCAATATATTGCTTATCATTTGGTCTACTTGAAAACAAATTGAAAATCAGACACGCAAAATTCTTCCATCTATGAAATTCTTCTCACTATTTCTTTTCTGTTTAATGAGAAATTTGCTTTTTCCATATCTACTCTGTTTAAAGAAAAAATACCTTAAAAAGAATAACCCCTTTTTAACTCGTGAATTGCGCGCATGCGCAAGAGCGAGTTATAGATACCATGTGGGGAATGGCATTCGCTCGCTCAATTGGTCGATTCCTGTAAACTTTTTTTAGATTTTAGGCTTTTGAGTGCATTTGATAGTTTTGTTGCTAAGAATAGTGGTGGGGTGAAAAAGAAGCCAATGATAATCTTAAAAGAGTTTTTTTTTCGTTTTAGTTTCAACAAGCGGCGCCAGCGACTGGCAGGCATGCAAGGATTCACACTGAAATAACAGAACAACCTTCGTTTTTCATAAAATTGTAATTTACAATCCTTGAACTCGAAAACAATCCGAAGATTCATTGAAAATATTACTTACTGCGAAGCGCTCGAAGTTTACAGATGTTCAAAAGGTTTTTCTGTTATGGCGTGAGATTGAGGACAAAATTGATCATTACGTTTCGTCGCGTGTGTTTTTCCTGTGTGAAGCAACAGAAGATGCCGGCGACTGACGAAATTACAAGTTAACACGAAAATCAGATAACACCTAAACAAACAATTTTAGCTACCGATTTTCCGTGAATATTTAAAGAACAATTTTCTTTTAAGTTTCAAGACAATTTGAAGATTCAACATACATACAACGTACTAAAATGCGAAAGTTACACATCACAAAATTGATAAATAGGCCTGAAATGAAATTCTATCTTGTTATTGATTATACGTTGCCTAGCACGTGACTTAAATCTACCCAGGTGGAGATCCAAAATGACGGTGGTAGGCTTGGCTTAGTTATATCACTCAAAACTCGTTCCAGTTTGTCTGATTTGATAAAGAGGGAATCGTTAAGACAGTATTGCCTTGATTTTCTAATATTTACAACGAAAGACAGTAAATTTCACTTTTCACCCACATTTACCTCCAACCTTTTCTTTTGAACCAGAAACAAAAATGATAGACGTTTAAAACACATGACATCATCCTGCCTTCTTATCCCAACGTTACTTTGTTTCTTTGCTACATTAGCGAACACTGAACTACTGCTCGTACTCTAGATATGACAATCAACCACAAAATTCCCTAAACCAGATAACACTAAACATCATGTGTCAAAATCATGTGTCAATTCACGAGTTTGCTCACAGAGCACTTTCATTTGAAGTTGCAAGCAATTTTGGTTGAGGTTAAATTGGAAAAAAAACACTGTCAAGAACATAAAAGGGGCTATTTCCAAACTTTTAAACATCAATGCATTTCTAGAAAGCTTTCTTGTCAATATTTAGAAATTACAAATTATTACCAGAACCTATAGTGTATCAAGTTTTAAGCCTTTAACTCCCAGTAGTGATTAAAATGTAACTTCTCCCTAAAACATCCACCCATTATCCAGCAAACAGGTAAAGAGAATAATCAAGCTTATCAGGTGGAAGTTGTTATCTTGATTCAACACCAAATTCTCATCATTTATTTACAACAAAATGTGTAGCAGCTAGAGGGGAGAATTAATAACAGATCTTGGGAGTTAAAGGGTATTTAATGATAGAATGAATTCACATCACTATTTAACTAAAACTTACCAATACAACTATGTAGGAATCGACTAATTGCGGACAAAAGTGCAAGTGTGATGAGATCTCCCAAACTAGCTGCGATGGGCGTTGCTACATTATCAGGATTAATGTTAAATTTTCTGGAGCTGAGAACAACTGCAACCATCACAGAGCCGAGAACCAAACTGGCTAACGTTGCTGTAACCAAACTGCTAGCACAGAGCAGAGTGGCATGATGAATGTTGAATTCTCCGTCAAGTATCCATCCCATGACTACTGCAGCAAATGCCGCCAGTGCTCCTACTACAGTGGCCTGAACCTAAAGCATAAAAACACATCACTTTTTAAACCATTTACACTCCAACATCAGTATCCATATTCTCCATACTGTTCTTTATAATGTGCTGTTCTTTATAATGTGCTGTTCTTTATAATGTGCTGACAAGGAGAATTTGTTTACCGATCAAAGGCTTCTTTTGTTGGTGATCATTTCTGTTATTCTCATGACCTTAATATGTGATTCAGGAGTGATATTGTTGGGAGAAATTAGATACTAGTCACTCTTAGGGTTTAAAGGTCTAACAAATAAGTACTGAAGTGAACATGGGTTCTGATTGGCTGTGCAAGAGCAGCCTTTGCAAGCAGGGATGGTGCAATGTTTTGACAACAAACTCAACCAGAAAGCAAGCTGCATGTTGCATTTCTTGAAGGCATTTACAAGTAGCAATGCCCAACTGTTTTCTCCTCTGAGACAAACAGTGAAACTGAAAAACTGAAACCTCCTCTTTGGTAGAAGATTTTGCTTCCCTCTGACGGTACAACTCATAGGGAATTAGAACACAGTAGATGGACAATTTCGCATAACTTTTCAAGAGCCATGCTCTCAAAATACATCCCAAGGCCTTACTTGCCTTGGTATTGCGTAACTCAATCAGGGCCAACTGCCATATTTGCATCAAGAGTATGGAAAAATCCAGTTGGTCGCTTACAGAAAAGGCTAGGTACCAAGAGTTGTTTTAAAGATAAACAAACCTGTATCAATGCAAGGTTTCCTCCTATCAATTTCCATTGCCGTTTTGCACAATCCATGTTTCCTACATTTGCCTTGGAAACAAAAAAAAATAATGAACTTTTGAAACATTCCTTAGATTCTGACAATAAAAAAAATTTGAACACATTTACTCAACAACATTGTATTTAATGTGACCTAAAAAATAAATTGTGGTTCATAAAGTAATCTGAACTATTAATCCTTTAACTCCCAAGATCTGATTGTCAATTCTCCCCACTAGCTACTATACATTTCCTTGCAAATTAGTTATAAGAATTTGGTGTTAAATCAAGATAACAACTTCTACCTGATAAGTTTGAGTATTCTCATCACCTGTTTGTGGGATAATGTAGGGATATTATAGGGAGAAGTTACATGTTAATCACTTCTGGGAGTTAAAGTGTTACATGTCTCAACTAAGCACAAAATTCAATGAAGAAAGAATAAGCTTAATCACAGACCTTTTGATCCAGAGTCCAGCACACTTTTGACTCCTCTGAACTAATAATCAACCTTACATTGTTGCTAACCTGTATTGTGATCTTTTCATTTACTTACCGCAGTTGAAAGCCTTGATGCCAATGTCATTTCCAGATTTCCTTTTAATCCAAGAAGAGCAGGAACCAAAATGAAAATTTCTGAAATGTCTTTGTAAACTTGCCAATGCTGAAAGAAAAAAGGTAACAAAAGAGGGCTTAAGAAAAAAATTCTGCATTGTAATTAATCCAGTAAAAAAATGCTTATTTGTGATTAATAAAATTCTTATGTTCTCGGAAAGCTGACTGATAAACTGAAGAGGCAAGATGAGAATTCATAAAATTGATTAACCCTTTAACTCCCATGTGTGACCAAGACAGAATTTCTCCTAACAGGAACAATACAATATCAATCAGATAAGTGATGAGAATAAAGAAAAATATCAATTTGGGGATAACTAGTTGATCCACTACTACATTCTCAGAAGTAACATTATAAGAATTGTATGGTTGACAGTAAGGAGAATTACAAATTTGATCTGGGAGTTAAATGGTTAACCCCTTACACCCTAACATCACTATGTATATTCCCCATACTGTTATCTGTAAATTCCTCAAGGAGCTTAAAGGGAGACTGTGTAACAATCAAGAGTTTCTTGAGTATGCGATTACTTCCTTCATTCTCGTGACCACAATGTTTGATTCAGGGGCAATAACGTTGAGGGAAATTAGATGCCTCTCACTCTTGGGGGGTTGAAGTGTTATCTAGGCAGGTAGCATTCTATAAAAAAGGAGAGTTCCCTTGTGTGGATACGCTGCCGTTAACTTTGACCCTAGGTTTAAATATCACGTTCCTTTCATTTAATCTCATTATCATATATCAACAGATCAACAGCAAAAGATAAAATAATATTTTAACCAACGGTAGCGTAATTTTAACCGATTAGTTACCACAGACTTCGAAGGTTTCTACCTATTACCTTTTCAAAAATAATTAGCCACCTTATTCCGTTTAACCAAATTCACTCAATTAGTGAAAGAAAGTCATCGTTATCATTGTTGTCGAAGAAACGGAATAATACCTTACCTGAACAACATCAAGTAGTATTCCAGCTGAAACAGTTCCAAATCCCGCGATCAGAAAAGGAAAAAAGACTTGAAGTCCAATGGTGAAAGATCCTTCCTCTACATTTGTATCACTAGACCCCACTATATCGGTTTTAAATTCATCTATTCCTTCTTCTTGCAACAACGGAATCCGTTGATCGGAATTTTCGTAAGAAATATCTCCATTCAAATGTTCGTGCGATGACGATGAAATATCACCATTCCGTTTGCCAAAATGTTTATTTTCGAATGACTCATCTTCCCTGCTTTCGGTCCATTCGTTCAACAAGTGATGTGACTCTCCATTTTCACGATCGCTCAAATCCTCTTCGTCGTACGAAACGACGGCGATTTTCGGAACCATTCCTGTAGTCTGTTTGCCGACGTCGTCACCTTTGGATAGAAATTTCGACTTTACTCTTTTCCTAACGGACGTTTCTTTGGTTTCAATCTCTAAATTAACACAATATTGGAAGAGGCCAGTTACAGATAGTGAATTCATAAGTGTCTGGAAGATCCGTAATCGATATTATTCGAGGATCGTAATTAACAAATTCAAAGTACAGACATTTTTAACCCATGATCGTCACTGATCTCTGTAAGCGGACTTCGACGTGTGTTTGCCTTAGTAACCCAGCCTGAATTTTTTTTTTTTTAAATTACCCAACACTACCCTAGAAAGAAATCTTGTACAAAACCCTTCTCCAGCTCCCTTAAAAATAAAGTGACTAATTCAAATACCAGTTCTATTTGAGAGATAAGGCGAGATTCAGGAAAATAAAACTAAACAAGCCAGAAAATTCAAAGATGGATTTAACCGACCATTTCTGTCGAGTTTTCCCTCAATTTTAGCTTCAGAATAACAAAAAATAATCTCAGGGAAGAATGGTATAAGCAGGAACCCATCACCCGGAGCCTCCATGCCAGTTGTATCTTTTTATTTTTAGAACTGAGATATGTGGGGGGGTTCTTTAATTTCCTGCCAAAACACGCTGACGTTCGCATAGCCGGCCCCAAAAAAAATGACGGCCAAAGACGAAGGCTTTCCTTCTCTGCGTGTGACATAAACAATAGAAGACTGAAACGCTCGAAACGTCAGCTTTTTTACCCTTTACGGTGACCAATTTACGTTTTCAATTCAGTTGTTAACACTAAATTACCAGCGGTAGCGTATGATCACTCGGAACAATAATTTAATTTGTACCTATGGACTGAGTAACGTCGGGCCCTCGGGGGAGTAGGGAGGGGTTGCTAGTGATAGGCTAATGGAAACGTGTCTCAGTAAGACTGGATGAGGTCGCATTTCCACTTCTGGATTGACTATGATGGGCTTGTATTTTCAATGAAGTTACTAAAATGGGGTCGCATATTTTCCATATTTTGGGGGTAAGAAAATTCTAGTAAGTAAGGATTTAAAAACAAAGGACTCGCGGTTAAAAAGTTGTTATCGTATTACCAAAGGAGACTAATATAGGGTCTTTCATTGACCAAGGAATAGACTATTATAGGGTATAGGAGTTCTGAGAGGCCAGCGGCACAAACTCAGCAAAAATTTACTCAAGTACCCCGTGAGTAGAGCTAGCTTGTACCAGGAGCCCATTACCCGGAGCATCCATCTTCCATACTTACCCTCTGAGTCAACCCTGTCCCGTATCTTTTTATTTTTAGAAGCACCTCCCACGGGGTTTTTCGCGGGTGTTTACATAGTAGCCAATCATAAGAGAGCTGTGGTCCTCTACTGTTTACGTCACATGCAGAGAAGGAAAGCCTTCGCCTTTGGCCGCCAGTTTTTTTGGGGTGCTATGCGAACGTCAGCGTGTTTTCGCAGGAAATCAAAGAATCACAGCAGAGCATCATTCTTTATAAGATCACACATGACCAGTCGGCCTCATCGCCTGAAGAAGACTTGCAGTATGCAGTCGAAACGTCGCGATCTACATCACACGTGACTATATCGTGAGACAAACGAAGAACTTAACTTTCATTGCTATTCACCACGATGAATAACCGCAACCTTTTCTACTAAATTACCTGCCTTACTCTCCCACCGATGCAGCACCACAGTTTCTTTAGAAACTTTACTTACCCCTTTTTTATACTACCGCTGCCGATTTGTGCGCCAGTGCGCATCAGAGCCAGGGCGGAGAAAACCCTTGGCGACCGACTATTATGTATTGAGCTTAAGTCTTCCTTGGAAAAAAGCCTTTATCACTTGATGCGTTTAGGTGGTTAGGGCGGATTGAACTAATAAATGACGCATCTTTTCATTTATATTTTTTTTAATGCACAGCTTTTTAAAAACTAAATGACATTGATGTTTTCCCAGTCTAAAGTCCCAGTATGACAAATCAAATTCTGAGGGCTATGAAAACTCTTGCTCAAGCTGACGGCCGTGTTCCTGTCCTTTTTTCATCTCCAGTTGTTGTGTCCAGCTTTATAGTTGTACATGCTACCTACATATGCAACTACTGCAAGAACAAATGTTTATAATTCCAATTAGGACGCTTGAAATGAGCTAGAACGAAATGGATCGAAAACGAGGACGAACGAGGACAAATTATGTGAGCGACTGGGCACGAAAAATTTAAGTCGCCTTCCCTTCTTCCTCCCTTGCACAACTCAGCAGAAGGAGTTTGGATACGAGGTAGTGAAGCAGCTACTCTGAGAACGCACGCGCGCGTCTTCCTAAGGTTTTTAAACCTCATCATACACGCGAGGATCAGTTGATTGATCATAATGGTGTCCTATCCAATCTTTCGATTGAGGAATGAACGAGCGGGTGCGGGAGAACGACTACTTGAATGAAACCTTACCGTCTAATTTCTCTCCTTGAGTCCAGCCCCCAACGATCGTGCACAAGGGAGACAGTAGCCTTTTCCAAGCAACCATTTGGTAGTGACGAGCACACAGAAAAGCAAGGTAAACAAGAACAAAAATCTTTGGTAACTAAGGAGCAATCCTTGGGGATCAATCATTATTTGTCGTCAGGGGGAGAGGGGTGGTCGGAGGATTTTGAAAGGATCACGTGGTTTTCGGTTGTAGAGGGGGACTCTAGAAAATTTGCTGCCAATGGAATACCGTGAAGCCCTATAAGGGTATCAGGTAAATTCTATTGTGATACAACCAAAATACTCGGAACGCCCTTCCTCGGTGATACTCAAACTGAATCTACCTAACCACTCCTACCCCCCTCCCCCCTTTGTTTCCTCACTTAAATACGCGCTCTATTAGCGGTTTCGGCTGAGTGAAAAAAAAAAAGACAGACAAACACGCGTGGGGGACGCGAGGAGCACACATGGATCGGGGTCGCACGCTTCGTGTTCAAACTGAATCTACCCAACCATTCCTACGTCCCGTCTGTGTCCTCGGCTAAAAACGCGCTCTATTAGAGGTTTCGGCTGAGTAAAAATAAATACGACAATTCAAAACTTGTTTACCGCCCGAGATCGAGGCAATCACAATGTCCACTGCAGCATTTTGTAGGTTGGCCTGGCCGTTGGCGCAGACGATTACATGGGTGGTGGGCCCCCAAACAGACATGACCTTTGTCCTGGAAGGAAGGGAAATATACTTGTGAAGTGATATGATTGCGTTTAGTTCTTAAAGTCATACTTCCGAAATATAATCTGCACTTGAATTTTTTTTCAAAAGAGGGGCCAAACATGATAGCAAACATAAATGATTGCAAACGTAAATTGGCAGATTTGGCCATCAAAAAACTCGCTGGCTTGGAATTTTTCCCGAAACATTTGAGCGGATTTTAGGATTTCAAAGATACGGTGGATCATGGATCAACCTTAAAATTCTGCGCCAAATTTCGGAATCTTTCCGCTATAAAGTTGTTTCAAGGGTAGCTTCATTAGCTCCCTGGAAACTCCGATCGGCATGTTGGTGTTTTTTGGCCCACTAGACTTTTGGTTTCCACAGTTAATAACTTATATGCGGTGAGGAACTGACTACACCGTAGGTATTATCAGCAGCGCTCTAAAATGTATGCAAATGCAACGCCAGAATTACAACACAGATTTCATACCTACCGGAGCAGCCATGCTCGCTAAAACCATAGCGGAGACCAATAGTAGCAACAAAAAACCCTTACTTGCCATGGCCGTGATGCACCGCTCTCGATCTCTAACTGAACTGAACGCTTGAGTTGCGGGGCTCCAATTTAATCTTAACTTTTCCAAACATTGTAGGTAATCTTTACCTTTTAAGTACAAATGTTTGAATAGTTACAGGTGTTTAGTGAATGTTTCCTCTCTTATCAATAACATTTCGCCATCTTTAAAGATAACACGGGTCAAAGTAAATTAGCTTTTGAAAAACGTTCATCTTGAATAGCGTTATCTCTTGTTTCTTGTGCCAAATAGTTTTTGAACGTATCTGTTTTATTTGGAATGTCATATTTTACCCTTTAGGGATCCGAGGGGGTTAAACATTTTTATGTGTCTGAAAAGGATGGGCTGCTGTGAAAGTAATATTTGCAACCATTTCTGAGTGGTCCTGTTTTTTCATTTTTATACAAAAAAAAATAAAGCACTAATGGGAGCAACAGCTGGTCACTCGTAGGTGGGCTGCATTAGTTTATGCGCAGGCGCTGGCTGGCAAATCTCACCCCTATAATTAGTTACTAGTCCCTCAAGCTGTTTCAATACTTGTCGTTGTTTAGTTATTAGGTGTCGTTGTTTACATTTCGCAAATATGTCAACAAGGATTAAGCCTTTGCACCTAACTTTATTGTGCTTATTCTCCGTACTGTTCTCTGTACATTTCATATGGTACTGACGAGGAAATATGTCAAAAATCAAGGGCTTCTTTCGGTGGGTTTTCTTTATTTTCATAACTTAAATGTTTGTAGCAAAAGATGCTTTAAGGAGAGTTTTCCCTTCCTACTGGCTCTGACCAATTCAGTTTTGAACTTGTGTGTTTGATGGAATTTTATCTAACCTTTTACACCTCATGTCACCAATGTTTGAATACTTGTGGGTGTTTAGGAAATGTATCCTTTCCCACAGATAACATTTCGCAATAATGATAACAGGGTAAATTTAAGCCTTTGAAAAACTTCTTTGACTGCTCTAAATAGTAATTGAACGTATGTTTGGTGATATTTTGTAAAACGTCTTTAATTAAGAAATAATAATCGCCTTACTATCATGGGCTATTCTGTTCAAGGAAATATTGAAATACGTATGAATTAGATTAATGAGGATTCAGCCACAAATTTCAGTGTGGCCCGAATGTCATAAGTACTTGGTGGTGTAGGAGATGAGAACGAACAAAACCTGTCTTTGATCCTCTAAACATGTCATCATAAAATTGTTGGGATTGTTTCATTCGTGTAAACAAGAGATAAGCGATTAAAAACAACACAGAGCGGTCAGTAAACTTGTGCCCAAGTAAAACAAAAACAAAAAATTCTATACGCGCCAGCTGTTAGTTAGGATTTCTTGAGGCTGTTTTGCAAGAAAAGGGTGCCGCGTTTCGTACGTGGTCTGCGTAGTTCCGACACAAGCAGCTCGACTCAGCGGCGACGCAAACGCGTGAGAAGTGCGCAAGGGTTCTGGCACGAAAATGAGATCAGTGTCAGACCCCTAACCAACCTCTCACACGCTCGCATGTTTGAATCTAGATCTCGCGGGTTTCATCGCTTGTGACTGCAGCGCAGCCGCAGCGCTATAATATATAAAGCAGTGCATAGGCATAGCCAAGGTACTAACATACACGAATGTTTCTAACTCCCAAAGTCTGAAAATACATCCTTTCACGATTTAGTGCCCCCCATCCCACAGAATAAATAGAAACAGATGAAATATGTACTATGCGGCAGAGAAAAACAGGATTATCCTTTTTAAGCGGGTTAGACATCCATCAGTAAGCGGCTCAGCTGGGAAAAAGGGTACAGACAAATTTGCTTCCTTTCATCTTCGTTATAAACGTTTAATTCCCTGCAACAAACTGACTTTAACCTCGGCCATGGCCTTGACATTTCATCAAGAATTGATGGATGATCTTGCCCCACCATCTTAAGGCTTAATCTTAACCCAGGGAGTAACCCAGGGATATCCCATGGGAACACTGTTTCATTTGGGTTTGGAGAAAGACTGGAGACGAGTGTAAATGAAAAAAAACAACATGGCGGCAGCTGTTGAGGGAACTCCTCGGAGGGTTCGTGCCTTGCTGTCGAGTTTTCTTCACTCGTCGGACAAAAACGGAAAAGCCAGGTATGCATAACGAGAAACGATAAAAGCCATTCCGTTAGTTGAGATGAACGGATTGCACAGAAAACGACGTTCTGACGCTAGTGATATCAAGTTATTCCAAGAATGCAGCATGCAACTGTAAAGTTTGAAATGCGTACACGCTGTCTTTGATGTGGTCGTTTGCCCGTATTGTAGCGATCGAACGTTCCCGAAACGTGTCAAATCTATTTGATTTAACTATTTTTTTATGTGGATTTTAGATTTTCCTTCACTAACCAAATATTTCCGTGGAACACTTGATCAATGATTATGTGGTGTGCGTCACAGCTTACAGCTAGCTTTTATCGATCATCGTAAAATAATTTTGATCTGTTTGAAGTTTGAGACAGTCATGACAAGTTGTTTTTAAATAACGATACTCTACTGGAATTTAAAACTTAACTGCACTGTGTGCCATCAGAACACAGATATAAACTTCATTTGGTTATACATTTGGTCCTATCATGGACGATTGTTAACAGCTGTAAGACTTTTCATTAAAATTTTCTTGTTTCAAAATTTTAAGCTATCTTGATTTAATCAGTGATCACCTGAGCACAAAAAGAAAATTTGACAAATGTAGACATTTTCTATCTTAGAGTAACAACAAGTAATATTGATAAGAAATGTTGGCATCTGTGAATGACACTCAAGAACAGGCAGATATTATCCGTTTCGATGGTCTTCTTTTGTATTCTCTTTCATAATCTATTTTCTTTGATAACCTTGCAGGTATCATAAATTCAATTCTTAACCCTGTAACTCCCATGAGTGACAAAAAAGGAGTTCCTCCTTACAATATTAATACAATATCAAGCAAAAAAATTATGACAATAAAGAAAACTTTTAATGAGGGGATGAGTAGTTGATCCAATACCAAATTCTCTATACTAACTTCATAAGAGTTGTATGGCAGATGGTAAGGAGAATTACTGATGAGATCATGTGAGTAAAGGTGTTAGGTTCCTTACTTATATGTTTGTTTTTATTTTTACTGCAAGTTTGAGGAGGATGTGCAATGTGCTCTTTGTGTTAAAGCTGCCAATTTGTATTTCACTGTAAGAGGAACTTACATTTTGTTTAAGAATACAGCTGTTGAACAAAGTAAACCACTTTTTTTTCTAGAACTCTCGAACAAGATGATGCCTCTTTGGACTCAGTTTGTAGAAGTCAGCCAAGAAGTAAAGAAGCATTTTGGAATCGTGTGGAAACCTTCTCTGTATCTTTAACCAAATATACTTCTGATATACACCACTGTATACTATTAACTCTTTAACTCTTAGCAGTAATAATATTAACATGTAACTTCTCCTCATCATATCCATTCATTGTCTAGCAAACAGGAAATGAGAATACTCACACTTAGCAGGTAGAAGTTGTTATTTTGATCTAACACCAAATTCTCATAACTGATTTATAGATACATTTGTAGCAGCTATAGGGGAGAATTAAGAACCAGATCTTGGGAGTTAGAGGATTAATTTTCTCATCAGTTTTCTTACTACTTTGACCTTCCCATTCCATTATTTGGCGCTTGCTGGCTTCTTCTTCTTTTTCTTCCTCTTTATAGAAGTAATTGCTTAGGGTAAAGTTTAAGGTTAGGGTTAAGGTTAAAGAACTTAATAAGCAGTTAAAAAACCACAACAATGGCTGAAAGATTGAAACTCAATAATCAGGTTGGGTGGCAAGAATTCAAACTTTAAGGTCATGAGATTAAATGAAATGATCACCAACTGAAGAAACTCTTGATTGTTAAACAAATTCTCACCTTCATCATCTTTGGAAATGTATAGAGAACAGAATGGAGAATATGCATTTTGATGTGAGGGTGTGAAGGGTTGGAATGCACATCCTAAGCCACTGACATGCTCACTAAAATTTCTGCTCTCCTGCACTTTTTTGATCACCATTATATCTGTTTATACAAAGATCCTAAATCTCTGTTACCCAAACACTGCTTTAATTATTATCCTCTTAACTAAGTCCAGCCATTTACATGGTTTGCCAAACCTCTTGCACTTTCACCTCTCCACTGTGCACAATATGGCTGGGAAAACAGTGAAGTTGACATCCTACAGTGTGTTAGCTGCAGGGCATGTCTTGATGCTACCATATCCACTACATGGGATTCTGAAATTTGTGAGTATTTTATATATTGATATTTGACTAAATATACTAAATTTAGGTCTTGATGGTGGCTCCACCTCTGTCCCACCTCCAGATATATGAACGTGAGACAATAGCATGACCTTGTGGACAAAACCAAACCTAGTAGGGGAAGCAGGGGATAATGCATGTAATCCACATAAAGATGTAAATTAATTGTCTAACAGATCAGATTGGAGCAAGTGAGGGAGGATTTTTTTAAGTCCATACCAAAAACTTCATAGTATGGCTAATGTCAATCCATGAGGTAAAAATAGAGAGTTAAAATAAATATTTTAAATTGAGTACTTACCATATTTAGTTACAAAAATGTAAATGTTGTGCTATGGCAAACAGGATTTTTTTAGAGAGTGGACAGTGACTGTCGGAAAAATCAATCTTGGATTAAAAGCAAATGTTCTGATAGTACCTTTTTTGGTTGAAGATATAGGACATACATGTGCACATATACCCTTGGCATCTAAGGCTCATATATCAGGACTTGTATTTACATAATTTTTTGTCCACAGTTTTCAAATTGTTTGTAACAAAATACACCCCTCTTTCTTATTCAAGTGGAAAGTTCAATGTATCAACATGCAGTCTCCATGGCATGGAATTGTTTCACTGTTAACTCAATTTAATCTTTCACTTTAGATGCCAAGACCTGTGAGCAGCTAAGAGAAGCACTTGTCAGTGGTCATTCTAAACTGTGTCCATGGCCGGATAATCCTTGCCCTGGTTTGTAATAATAATATTACATCTCTTGTTGTGTCAGAATTCTGTTTTACATTTACTACATGTGCTACTCAGGATTGAAATTAAAATCAGCCCTCTTTTGGTAAGCTTTTGATTCAGGCAACTCATGACCTGCGGTTAGGAAAAATGAAATGAGCATCTTACTGTAAAGGATACATGTCAATTTAACAGGATTCCATATGATCATTTAGTCTGATTGTTCTGGTGAAGGTAGTCCTGGGAAAGACTGTTATCGGTTGTGGTGACAGACATTTTGACAATCTGAGCGAAAGTTATCGTCATAGTCTAGGATGTGGAGACATCAGTCACTACTACCCATAGCAGTCCCTGTCTGGACTACCCTCTCCTAAAAAATCAGACCACACAATCTAATGTTACCATGGGTTAAAACCATTTACTTTTATTATTAACACTTTACACCCTACCATCAGTATGTATATTCTCTATACTATCATCTATACATTTCTTAAGGTTCTGAAAAGGAGAATTTGTTTTACAATCAAGAGCTTCTGTAGTTGGTGATCATTTCCTTTATTCTCGTGATCATAAATTATTGATTCAACAGTATTATTATAAGGAGAAACTAGATGCTGGTCACTCTTAAGGTTTAGAGGGTTAACAGGATTCTATTCAATTCCTCTTTGTCAAACAGAGTCATTTGTAAAGTTGCCATTATATAGTTATTCACAATGGCTTGAAGACTACAGGGCAAGATGGAAATCCATTATTACCCTTGTCGACGAGATCCCACTTGTTGATGAGCAAGCCATCAAGGACATGGTAATGTCTCTTGACCTTTTCATTCCCTAGATGGAATTAGTTATTCTCCTTTCCAGCTGTCATACATGTTCTCTGAAATTAGTAGTGAGAATTTGGAAACAGCGGTATTTAAAGGTGTCACCCTTCAGCTGATGATTTTATCAACTCTCATTACCTGTTTGTTGGATAATGTGTTCAGATTGTTTGGAGAAGCAGCAGGTCAATCACTGCATTTTGTGATTGAAAGATGTAATTTCTCCACATAACATCTATACATTATCCAGCAAAAGGTAATGAGAATGCTTAGACTTATCAGGTAGAAGTTGTTATTTTGACCTAACACCAGATTCTAGTAACAAATTTACAAGGAAATGTGTAACAGCTAGAGGGCAGAATTTACAAGTACACCTTTGGAGTAAAAGTACATTTAATTTAACCCCTTACACAATAACATCATTATATAAAATTCTGTGACAGTAAGACCTGTACAGAAGTTTGAACCCATGACCTCTGCGATACTGGTGCCATGCTCTACCAACTGATCTAACAAACCAACAGGTTGATCAGCTCCCAGTTAGCTTGTTAGCTCAGTTGGTAGAGCACTACACCAGTATCACCAAGGTCATGTGTTCAACTCCTGTACAAGCCTGAATTTTTATTAGGCTTTATTCTTCTTTCTGCCTAAAGTAGTGTCTATTACTGCAAAGATCTTTCTCATCTTCATTTATGAATCTGTTGTTCCATTATATGATATTCTAACATTCACAGCAGGTAAGTCTTATGTTTTCTTGGCATACTACTTCTTTCATTTTTTTACTCTTGTGAAATAATTTTTTGTAATTTCTTGTTCCCCAAGGATTGTCTAACGCCAGGTCACATAGAAGGACTTCAGAATTTAGTTGACCCTGGATGTATCAGCTGGACAAGGAACGAACTGGACTTAGAACAAGCCTCCAAAGCATCTTGTATTATAGCACTTTGTGGTTGGAGGAGCAGGTAGTTATTAATCCGCGAGCGGCCCCCAAAAATTAGCGCCTCGGCATGGGTGTGTCTCCGCCCCGCGGGAAAGTGTGAGGGCTTGAACAACGCGTACGGCCGAGAGATCAGCAATGGGTCCGGAGATTCGAGAAATTTGAGATTCGTCTCAAATCTTCCCGCGGGCGGAGAAACGCGCGTGTTGCAGCGCTTATAATGGGAGCCTGGTCGCTGGCTAGGTGGTGGTCTGCATTGCACACAATATGTCATCTCTCTTGAAGTGTTATCATTCAGTTGAGGGTATTAGTGGAAAGGAGAACTGGTGGTGAAAGTATGTGGCATCTCCTCATTCTAAACTGAAGTCATCATCGGAGTAGCACAATGCAGAACTCTCAGTCTCACTGGTGGTGAAAGTATGTGGCATCTCCTCATTCTAAACTGAAGTCATCATCGGAGTAGCACAATGCAGAACTCTCAGTTTTAATTTTCTTAACCCTTAACTCCCAAGATCTAAGTAAATTAGTTTGGAGAATTCGGTGTTAGATCAAGATGATAGCTTCTACCTGATAAGTTTGAGTATTGCAAATCTTATCTAACAAACAAGTGTACGTCAGTATAGACTACGATCAGTTCTTCCTTTTCGGCAAAATCCGTCGTGCGAGTAAAAAAACAAAAAAAAAATTAGCGCGAAAAAAAAATTGATGTTTGTGCGCTGGAAGAAAAGATGGAAGTGAGGCGCACGATGAGTATCACTCCCAAAGTTCCACGCGGCGCACTGACATCAATTTTTTTTTTCGCTGACACTTTTTGACTTTGCCGATAATGAAAGACTGCTTTTAGTCTAACGTCAGTAATGATATGGAATCGTTTAACCCACACATAAACTTATTTTACTTAACCTTCATAGCATCACCAGTGATCCTGATGTGAATACCATATCTTGTTCATTGTGTCGTCGAGAGCTGGGTGTGTGGAATTTTTTCCCTTTGACACACGTCGCGACAGAGCAAGATGATGGACAAGTCCATGATGCCCCGTCATATCTGGACACCGGACAAATGTTTGCGGAGGATACGAGTTTCAGAAACATCACACACCAGGAAGAGTCTGGAAGTAGAGAGATCAGTGGAGAAGGCGACAACCAGGGAACAAGCTTGGCGGGTAATGGAGAGCGTAGTACGGAGGAGGATAAAGGTGATCCCACAGAACCCATGGAAGAGGGTGATAGTTTTGAAAAAGGAGACAAATCCTCAACAGAAGATTCCACAACGGAGACAGTTTGTGAATTAACAGAGACTTCACATACATTGACTGTTAAATCGACATCAGAGCCAATGGGGCTCAAGTCTCCACTGCATCGGTCATTATCCAACCTGCCTGGGGAAGAAGCAACTGAATCCCTCTGTGTGGAGGTCGAAAATGAAAGTTTAACAGAGAGACTACAAGATGTGGAATCTGAGCTGGAGTTTCTGGGGTACGGCCGGGAGGGTGTTCCTGAGGAGAACGACGGCCGGCCAAGAGCGAAGAAGAGGAGGCTGCAGGTGAGCGAGTCGATGACAAGCGCGCAGCGTTGATAATTAGCGAAAGGTCCTGGTTTGATTCCTGGCTGAGTTGTTGTGTTAAGGTCCTGGGAAGGACACTTATCCTCAGACCCCTAAGAGTGGCTCGCGTTGATTTAATTTTTCCTTACAATATCACCCCAGAATCACACATTGAGGATACGAAAATATGGAAAACGATCACCAATCAGAAAAAAAGCTCCTGATTGTTAAACAAATTCTCTTTGTCTGCACCTAAGGAAATGTATGGCGAAGAGTACGGAGAAAATTCATGTTGATGTAAACGGTGTAAAGGATTAATCTTATAGTGCCTCTCTTCACTTTGGAGTATGAAAGGGGACTGGTAAACTGTCAGGGAAGCCTGATGGAATACTGGGATATAACGTCGGGTGGAGGAGCAAACCATCAAGGGGGGTTGGGGGGAGAGTAGCAGTACCTCTTTTTCATGCGGAAAGTCAGATATGTTCAAACAAGATAGGTTTAACTTGCAGTTTTAGTTTCTTAGTAATCTGATGTGCTATGTCGGTGGGTAAGTGATACCTTTCAAAAGGCTTCAACTTTTATATTATGACACCCCAAGTGCTGGTAAAACGGGGCCCAATTGAGGGACATAGCCTTGCAGAGCAGGCGTGATTTTGTTAAGCGAGTGCTCAATGTTTTGTGGGTGGAAGTTGTGGCTGCCATCTTTGGTTTTTACAGCAGCAGAAGGCTGGGGAGAGAAATATGTGAATGACGGTCAAAAAGAAGGAGAGGGGAGGGGTGGGGTTGTAGAATTCAATAGAAGTCTTTTCGTCGTTGCAGGCCTAGCAATTCACGCTAACAGTTTATCTTCTAAATGCGATGTCTAACTTCTTTTACTCCTAGGAGATCGAAAGGAACACTTTTCATGTGTTATCAGAGCACCGCACGTGGTGTCCGTGGGTAGTGACTATGCGTGGTAGTGACGGTAACACCACACCACCGGGGTGGAAGGTACTCCTAGGAACACTTCTTCCTTCATTGAGTCCATCGGCAACACACTTCATTCATGAGGTACCACTGACGATTAAGTAGTTGCCCTTTCAATACCCTCGTACTATGCTTCCCAAGGATGCCTTACCTCGTTTCATAGCAACTCTCCCGTGTTCACCCCCCTGTGGAGTGAGAGAAGGGGATCAGGGAGGGAAGTGAGGTTAGAGTAGCCTCGAGGTGCAGAAATATGGATGCAACTTGAGTAGGGCAGGTGAAAGTGTCTGATAAAGGAACGCTGTGAAACCTTTCACTGGCCGGATCGATCTGTGCGTTAATTCGCTTCGTGATCTCGAGCAAACATTCGTAAGAATAAAGAATATTATCGAGCAGGAGACTTATAACGTAAAACCAAATTCTCTTGAATAGCTATCAATGATCTGTTTGCTCATTAGCAAGGGGAGAATGCTTTCATTTCATTCTTAGTAGTTTCTGATTGGCCGATGAAAAGGGAACCGCGCTATGATTGGTTGAGCTGTTAGGCGACCAATGGTCGCCGAGGGCGGGAAAACTTGTATGCGTACAATCCTCGTCGCTTTTGATTGGCTGACATAGAATCAACCCGTCTATGATTGGCTGTAGTAACAGCTGAGCTTTTTGAGCGCAACTCGCTATTGATTTGTAGGTTTTCCAAAAAATAATTTCTTTTTCTTTTTTATTTTTTTGTTTCCAATGTAGACTCATCCACAAGATGCGTGGAAAACAGTGAGAAAGTTACTCGGCGAGTGCTATTCCCCAGCGAAACAAACTTGAGGCCAAGAAGTACAGCCGTGAAGGGGAGTTGAAAAAATATTAGTCCATGATTCGGAGATTCCCGAATGTCACGTAGTTCATGAATAAGCTCAACCCATGTTGTAATGAAACCATGTTTGAGCAGCTGCTGATGCTCTTTACAATACCGCACAGTCAATTGAAAATAGTGACATTTAATCCTTTGTCTTACAGCATATTTAAAGGATTGTTTGAATTTTAAGGCTGTGATTTGAGACAACTTAAAATGTATGTAAACACTGTTGTGTTACATGGATGGCGTGACCAAGTGATAATGAAGTGGTCACGCAATTGCGAGGAAGAAAGTGTTATTGAGAAATATTTCGATGTAGTCAACGTGACAGACCTTGAGGATGCAGCCGCTGTGTGCGTTACAGGATGGATTTGGATTTTTAGAGGACCAAATGAGGTGGAAAAGAACATAATTTGATGGTCGTTTTTATAGTTTTATTCGAGAGCCCATTACCTGGAGCCTCCATACCAATTGTACCCTTGAGTCAACCCTGTCTCGTATCTTTTTATTTTTAGAACTGAGATACGTGGGGGGTTCTTTAATTTTCCGTGAAAACTCGCTGACATTCGCACAGCACCCTTAAAAAAATGGTAAATTTCCCGCGCTTTTCGCCATTATTGAAATACTTTCGTGCGGCCTGCATGTGACATAAACAATAGAGGACCACAGCTCTCTTATGATTGGTTATTATGTAAACACCCGCGAAAAACCCCGTGGGGGGTGCTTCTAAAAAAATACGGGACAGGGTTGACTCAGAGGGCAAGTATGGAAGGTGGAAGCTCCGATAATGGGCTCCTGTTTTATTGTAGAGCATTGTAAGATAAGAGGATGCCGTTACGACCTCAAGATCTTTTGTAAACATCTTCATGCAAGTTATTTACAAATGCTAAATATTTTAAGGTTATTGATAAACTTTTATGCGCTCTTAGAGCGCGTTTTAAATGAGTATCGTAAAACCAAAACCAAAGTAATTGCAACGGAATCAGAATCGAAAATATTCAGAAGAGTCAAAGAGAACTCAAAGTCGAAAGAGGCAAACTGCCTGAAGAGCGGGAAAACGCGGGCGACCAAGTGGAGATTGGTGATATTCTTGCCTCTGATTGGTTGAGAGAATGGCGCGAGGTTTTTGAACCAATCGTGGAGTGAATCAAGTAAAAACCAATGTAACTCCAGATTTCTTTCGACACTCGATTGAAATTTCACTAATTCGGACAATTATAAGTAACTGATTATAAGTAAGTTTCGACCACTTTCTATCCTGGCTGACGGAAAGACAGACATATGAATCGTCGAGCGGGCGCATGGGCGGAAGGAAAGACCCTCAGCGAATAGATGTACAAACGGAGGGAGGACGAACGAAAACTCAAACGACAGAACTCATGGGTGAAGAGATAAACCATAACACAGGCAGCCTTGAAGTTATACATACGAACAGTTAGGAAACGAACCAGGCCCGGATGTCAAAGGGCGGATTACGCTATCCATTGGTTAAATATCTATTCGGTGGATAGCGCAGTATGTTTTGTTGATATTTATTCGGTGGATAGCGATTTTTCCGTTGGAGGCGTTATGCGGCCTCTGAACAACTGGGCCTCAGTACTGCACTGCTTTGTTAATGGCGGTTATGCCAGAAAGTATTTCGAAACTCGACTTTTACCTTAGGACTGAGATTTGTTGCCCTACCCTCATGAAGTAGTTTTGTTTCATTCGTGACATACGGACAGTGAGAATTTTAAAAAAAACAGCATGTAGCAAAAGTTAACTAAGAAAAACTTTTTGAACCTTTCTTGACTGACATTTGTCGTTTCTCTTCTATCTATTGATGCTGAAATTATTGTAAAAGGTTCTGTAAATAAACAAATAATTAATTTATTCCTAATAAATTTCTGTCTGGCTGATCTCTGCCTATTGCCTATTAGGATAAGGAGTATGTATACAAAAGACAGTGCTTTCCGTACGCTCTGGGGTGGAGGAGGGGACCATGTTATCAATTAATGTTTTATAAGATATATATTGCGTAAGAGAAGGATTTTTAATTGAGCGTCGAAAGGAATCCAAGACTGATAGAACTGTGCTCAACTTCGCTCTGTGATTGGTCCAGAAAACTTGCCCCACCTTCACAACTCTAATTCCAAACCAAAAACAATCGAGTTTTGATCACTCTTGTTTTCCCGCGCTTTTAGTAGTTTGCTTGATCTCACTTTGAGTTTTTATGGGCTCTATGTGACGTTTTCCTTTCTACCGGCTGGCTGTTGTGATTACTTTGGTTTTGCCATTACGACTCTCATTCGAAAAGCCGGCCTATTAGTGCGGATAGGTAGAAAATATTGAAGCAGCGATGATATACCAAGAAAGAGCTTGGATGCTGAGCAAGAACAAAGTAAAACGGACCTTACTCTCGGAGTTCTGCGCGGCGTGCGAACATTAACTTTTTACGGCTAATCTTTTTGGACACGCACGACCGACCTCACCGAAAAGGAGGGACTCCTCGTAGTCTAGAGGTCTCCGTAGGATATTTCAAACCATACTAGAAACAAGACGCAGCCAAAGAAAAGAGTGATCTATCTCGACCGTTTAATCGCCTTATTTTCATACGGAACTGTAGATATATCTCTTCTCAGCAGATGTTACGGTATAATCTAACCGACAGAAAAATACTACAATCCTACAAACTCAACTACTTTATGAAACAGCGAGTAATGTTCTTAACAAGGAGCGACTCCTAAAGCAACATAACACTTATCGTTAATAAACTTAATTAAGCTAACCAGAGTCTATATCCCAGTTCACCACTGATGACACAATCTCACTGCTGTCTCCAATATTCCTTGAAATAAGCGATCTTCCGCAGTAACTCTCTCTCGATATGGCTTCCAAAACAGTCCCTAGTGAGTCTTTTCTAAAAGCCTATATTTACAACAACTACTATAACGCAAACAGATTCCATTTTTCCATGCGTCTGTTCAATAACAGATACGGGGATACGTTTCTAAAGAAACTGTGGTGCTGCGTCGGTGGGAGATTATAACAGGGTTAATGGTATTATCAACTGAATTAATAACGCAAATTGGCCACCGCCGGTAAAGAGTTACAAAGCTGTGCAACTCTTTACAGTGGCCAATTTACGTTATCAAGTCAGTTGATAACACCAAATTGCCCTTTTCAGTAATAGATCACAGATGGCGTCAAAATGTGATCAGAACAAAACTGTGGCCCCTGAAACCGCGGCGAATGTCTCATTTAGGTTCAAAGTTACCACATTTTGAATTCTCTAGCTAATTTCTGCATAGACTTACGGCAATATGGAATCTATTTTCTTTTAAGATAAAAAAAAAGCCAAAGGGTACTAATGGTGACGTCATCGATACGTCTATCCTCCAATAGATCATAGGTAAGAACCAATAAAAATTCGTGTCTAATTTAGCTTATTATATAATAACAATAAGATTTTATGTAGCCGTTGGTCTGTTCAGTAATAGATCGCAGATGACGTTAAATATGGTAAGAGCAAAAAAGTGGCACATAAGGTGTAGGTATTACTGTACAGAACAATGATAACAGGGAGACCATTTGTTTTACGAGATAAAAAAGAAAAGCGTTGTTTGTGATGACGTCATCTGTGCTCTTCATATCACAGGTAAGAACCAATCAAAATGACTGTAGGATTCTGCATACTTATAAAATCCAGTGACAAAATTGAGCTTAGTAAGAATCGATTCAGACTTCGTTGATATTCCAAACATTTGCAGGTCTAAGTGAGTTTCAAGTGATAGAAATAATTTGCTCAATTTAATAAGCACAGGACTCGCGGGAATAGATACTTTAAATTCAAATAAGTAAAAAGAATTTCATGCAGCTCCGGAACTTGTGTCAATGATTCTTTGTTACACAACAAGAAATGCTCTTTGATCAAATGAAACCGAAATCGACCTTTGAGCGTTCCTTTTAGCTGTTTAACAGTTTCAATATTTTCTTTAACCTTGTTTTGAGGAAGGTTTTCAGTATTAGTAAAGTGTCTCCGTTAGGCGTCTCTCTCCGAGTGCAAACCACATATTTCAGAACTTTTCCAGTCTTTTTTCAAGACCATGATGTTGAAAACAAAACTTTTTCATTTTCGTTTATTCATTTAATTCTCAGTGTTCCTCTTTCCGGTACGTGGTCTCATTTCCGCTCACGAGATACATGGGGGCGGAGCGTAGCTATTCACGTGATCAAAATAATAATGTTACGTCAACAAACCAACCAGAGAGTATTATCGTCCATTGTTGCTTGGGGAGAAGGGAGACAGAAGGAGAGATTTGAGCTTGTTGGACGGACATTATGTCGTCTCCATCGCCTGGGAAGAGACGAATAGACACTGATGTCATCAAACTGTATCCTTGTCAAAATTTGCGCGTGATTTTGAGCCAATTCGTTTTGTTTTCGGCAGGAAAGTTGCGAGCCAAAATGGCGCTCGCTTGGTGATCGTTTTGTATTTATGGTATGAGCACTGCTTTCATGATGATATTCCTTGACGAAGATGTCATCAGGATCGAAAGCAAGCACGAAGTGACTATACTTGGTGGATTGAACGAGTTCATTGTGAAGTTCTTTGGTCCAAGTGGATGTAAGTTCAAGTTTAAAATTCATATGTTTTCGGTCTCGAAGTCTCGTGTTCACTACACTTTGTTTTCATTCGTGATCGGTTTTGGTGCAGTGAGAAATTCATGTCGGTGAAATTTTGATGAGATAACTCTTGTATCAGTGATATTCCGTTCAAATACTGACGTGTAAATGCAGGGAAAGTTTAATTGCCTTGTCAAGCTATGTTAATCCTGCCATTATAAATTATAAATCGATAACTCGAAGACATATTTGCACCAACAAGAAATTTTAAAGGTGACATCGGAACCGGCTGAAAACATCTAATACACAGACTCCTAGAATTTGATCCGTCTGTTTAGTAAATTCTTCTGATAAGGAAATGAATAAAGATGGATATTGGATCAAAGACAATGTCCAGCGATTTCTACGTAAGTTGTGCTCGCAATGTTTGTTGTTGTTAGGAAAAAATGTTAAAATGCCGTGTTTTTGTGGAGTCTATTGAATGTATTTACATGTCCGTTCGCTGTTGTAAACATTAACAGCTGATGCTCTGTGCGGAAAAAAGAAACTGAATATCCTAAGGCTGTCTTCGTTTTCACATATTGTAAATACACGTTTAGAATTTCATCTCATTATGCAGAAATCGTCTTTTACAGAGTTAATTTTGAGAGATCTCTGTCCTGCTTATTATTCGAGATACTTGATAGGTTAGTGTGTTGATGAGCTGGTTACCAATTAAAACAGAAAACTGATGATCTCAGATTTAAACAACAGTTGATTTAGTGGTGTCCCTGTAGAAGAGTTGCTTTATGGTATCTTTGTGGGCAATATGTTTTCTTTTGAATGCCTGCAGGTTTTAACCATGATATGAATATCCATCTCAAGGACCTGTTTACAATTGACTTATTTTTATTACTCTTGAAAACAATGGATATTACCGGATGGGTTAAAATCTGGCAAAGGAAAAATAGTTTCTCTGACAGAGAAAAAACGGCCTTTGTTTTGAGTTGTGACAATTCATATTTATTGTTTCAAGATAAATATGTAGGCTTCTGTAGAATTTTAATTATCAAGCCATTATACAGGTCCTTAACCCTTTAAACCCTAAGAGTAACTTGCATCTACTTTCTCCTTACAATATCACCCCTGAATCACACATTACAGTCATGAGATTGAAGGAAATGATTACCAACAAAAGAAGCTATCGATCAGTTCACAAAATCTCCTTGTCAGCACCCTAGGAAATGTATAAAGAACAGTATGGAGAATATGCATGATGACATTAGGGTGTAAAGGGTGATATGATAATCCTAAACCTGATATGATTATCCTGGATGCATTTAATTTACAAAACACCACATTAATGTAGAACTGAAAGTAGCTTTCTGGCATTATTTGGGGTTGTCTCAGAGAGCATCAAACAAAACAGTTGCTTTGATGAATTGCAACTTTTGCAATCCAAGAAAGAGACTGCTTCCTTTTTGAGTTCCTCTATTTGCATGAAAACAAATGGAGTACAGAAAAACACAAATAGACCAAAGGGAGCAAGCCTGTGAATTTTCTTTAGTCATTTGCACTTGGGTGTGCTTTGGGTGTAGTTGCCACCTACAAGTGACCAAGACAGAATTTCTCCTGACAATATCAATACAAAATCAAGCAGACAAGTGACAACAATGAAGAAAAAAATGTTAATTTTGGGATAATTAATAGATCCCATACCAAATTCTCCAAACTAACTTCATGAGCCTGTAGGGAGAATTACTATCCAGAGCTTAGGAGTGAAAGGGTCAAAGGCAAGGTATTTACTAGTCAGCTAAGGGATATCACTCAAAATATCTCTCTTATTTTTTAACTTACTCTGCTATTGAAAGTTTCCTTTGTCTTTGGCAGCACATTATGAAGGGGGCGTTTGGAAAGTTAGAGTCGATTTGCCAGAAAAATACCCATTCAAATCACCCTCAATAGGTGAGTCTGTGCCTTGAAAGCATTAGAAATATTCCATGCATGTAGAACTTAAAAGGCAGCTGTGTCTGTTGGCCAATTGGGCAGTGGAGATGATTAGGAGGGGGGTAGTCTATTTATATTTTCAGAAGCAGGAATTTATGGTCATTCGTAAATCATGTGCAGGGTTCATGTATCAGAAATTTGAGAATTCTCTGGCTAATATTCAGAACTCTCTGACTAAATTTCAATAGCCTGAGCCAATTTTTATTTAGTCATAGAGGATATTATGTCACTTGACACTCCTGCTACTGTATTTCTCATTGAAAACCATGATGCCATGCACGATTTTGTGTGCTTTGTTTCTGATATACTGACCTTCTCTAGATTTATTTTCCATGTCTGCCTGGATTTTTGTATACTATGATTATTATTATTATTTAAAAAAATGATAATAATAAAATAAGGGTGTTGTGTTGTGTTGTGTTTTTTATAAATATAAATTATGTGATGAAGATTTTGTTTCTCTCTTTATGAAGGTTTCATTAACAAGATCTTTCATCCTAACATAGATGAAGCGTAAGTGTCCTCTGCAGTTTAGATCACTTATTGTTCCTTTACATTTTCTTGGCACAACATATTAAAATACAAACCCTTACTGACACCCAAATTTTTTTTGCCCTCTAAAAGTAATCATATTCTTATTGTTTTTTCTCTTCTTTATTTTCCCATAACCCTTTAGCTCCCACGAGTGTCCAAGACAGAATTTCTCCTTACAATATTAATACAATATCAAACAAATAAGTGATGAGAATAAAGAAAAATATTAATTTGGAGATGATTAGTTGATCCAATACTAAATTCTCTGAGCTAACATTATAAGAATTGTATGGTTGATAGTAAGGAGAATTACAAATTTGGTCAGAGATTTAAAGGGTTAAAGTTGTGACAACTTGAGCATATCCATTTTTCTGTGATGTTTGAAATTAGGTGAAGTCATATCTTCAGAATTTTGCTCTTTGTTTGCTTCTGGATGAAGGAGTTGAAGTAAATTTTGGACCAATTTAAGTCTTTCAAATATCTGAAAGTTGAACTGACTGTCAAGATGTATCTCTTCTTTTCGTTCTCTCAATTTTCTTTTCATGGTATTTGGTTTTATTTTTGTTTTGTTTTGTTTTTGTAAATAAAAAATCTTACCAGTAAATTAGGTTTGTCCATATGAACACCATTGATATTATCAAAGCTTATGTTTCCTATTCTAGCCATATCTTTGCAAAATTTAGTTTGGAAATAATCTCAATTTATCTTCAGATCTGGTACAGTATGCCTAGATGTAATTAACCAAGCTTGGACTGCTCTTTATGGTAAATGGTTGACTGTTGAATTTTTAAGTTGTTACAATTTCAAAAGTGCGGTTTAAAGAAACATTTTGATGTTGTGCGACTAATATTAAAAATTTGTCATAATTCCTTTTAAGTTAATCAGTAGCAAATTGAAAGTGTGGTAGGAAGTGCATGCTATGTGTCAGCAGCTGATTGGCCATATGGGACATGTAAAAGAAACCACTGTTATTTGACACGTGTGCAGTTACAGTTTTTGTCAGGGCTGGAAATCCTTCAGAAGCACTGCTGTTTGTATTACTATATTTTTTTTTGTAGCTTTAAGTTGTTAAATATAATGTATGGTATTGAAATCAATGGTGATTTTATTGCAGATTTGTCAAATATCTTTGAATCATTTCTTCCTCAACTTCTGTCTTATCCTAATCCTGTGGACCCTTTGAATGGAGATGCAGCTGCACTCTACCTGCACAAACCAGAACAATACAAAGCAAAAATTCAAGGTAGCCATTCCCATTGTCACTTCAATGGAGTAATCAATTTAACAAAGAAATGCCATGTTGCCTTGTGTTTGTTCAGTAATAGATCACAGATGACATCAAAATGTGGTAAGAACAAATAAGTCGCTGATGAGGTGCAGCAGACTGTGTCACTATTGTTCTCAGCACATTCTGACATATTCTGTGATCTGTCACCGTACAGACTGCCAAGCAGTGTGGCACCTGTTGTTTGTTCAAGATTGTAAACTCATGCTATACACCTTTTTTAGAATATATCAAAAAGTATGCAACAGAAGAAGCCCTTAAGGATCAAGAGGAAATGTCGTCATCAAGTGAAAGCTCCATAAGTGACTTTTCAGAGGATGAAGCTCAGGACATGGAGCTCTGACATAAGAAAATATGATAATTTTTTTTGTATTCTAGGTGCTGACAGATATACATAAATTGTAGTAATGATCATTTGGTTCAAGCTTTGGTATCTTCTAGTGGAAGAAATTTCTTTCCTTTTAAGATAATTTCTTTAATTTTTTTAGAGCAAAAAACACAGTTTTCCTCCTTATCTTGGAATATTGCTGTGATATTATTTCTTGAACTTTTTCCTTGTGAAACGTGTAGAAATTTTCAATCTCTTCTTGAATTTTCAGTCAGCAGAGATACCAAACCTTGACCAAAATTAATAACGCTAGCATTGTATAAATATTAAACAGTCTGTAACAGTGTAAATTTTTGCCCTAATTTATAATTACGAGACCCAGAAATGGCTGCCTTGATATAAAAAATCTTAAATACTGTGAGATCTTAAATCTCTAAATTCAGTGCAAGTCCTTTATTTATTTATTCTGAAAACAATTATGTTCACAGTACTTAACATATTCCGTAAACCTGGTAATTTGCATAATAATTGTTATAAATTATAAATTTTTTTGGGAAGAAATCAACTCAGCTCTCGTAATTGTTAATTCTGTATACGTGCGAAATTGTTTTTTTTTTCTGAAAAGAATAATGTATCACCTATTTTACTTCAAATTACCAGTTATGATTCATCCGTTTTTACCAAAAATCTGTGTTTTGAAAATTTAACCTAAAACTTAAATCTGAATCGCTGTTGCATTGAGAGGTTTTTTTTCTTTTTAAGTGAAGAGATATTTTTAGTCAAAACAATTTGGTTGGTCTGGGCAGCCGTATCTGAATACCATTCTTATATAACAATATGGGGAAAGGTTAGATTAAGGACATCTGCTATGCATGACAGTGAAATTCGCCCCATTTTGTTTGGGAATGTATATTGTATTATATTTGTACATAGGGTTTTTGGGGAGTGACTAGTTCTCTGTTATTTGTAGGGAATTGCTGATATAATTGAATCATTACAGTGCAATTTTCAATTGAGTGTCAAAAAGAATTTGGGATTGAATTAGTTCAATTCGCTCCGCTATTGATCGAGAAAATGTGATTCATTCTCAGAACCAATCAAATGAAGATTTGATACGAACCGCGCCATCTTCTCTTGCGTTTTCCTGCGCTTCAGGTAGATTTCATGTCTCGCTGAGTTGTGATTGGCTCGTTGCTATTTTCCGTTTTCGTGATTGGCTCTTGTGATGTCGTTGGTTCTGGTTTTTAGACACTCGATCGAAATTCGCTCTATTGCCAATTACTCTGTGATTTTAAACAACGTCTTAAGTTTGTATGAATTAAACTGGCTGGCTTAAAATTTCAAAATAATGATTTTTCTCCTTTCCAGAATAGCATACTGATTTTGATTATGACTAAACGCTTTTCGTAATGATTGAATATCTATGTGAATGGGGTTGCTGTGGGGAAAATTATCTGTGTTGCTGTACCCAGGTGATGGAAAAAGAACAGCGGCGCCTCCCCCTCTTCAATGATGTGTTCCTTTCTGATCGTAGTCCGTCATTTTGAAATTTAATGGCGGGAGTCGAGGCGCGAGGAGGGCGAGACGTTCATAACGCATGTCAAACTGTTTTTGGAGCCTTATCATTACTGTGAGAGTTAAGATTTGTCGTCTTGTGCTTGCTTGCTTTAATAAAGGAAAGGAAATTGTTGTGTATTCAATAGATGTGAAGTTATTCTGTGTTTATTTATCATTTATCTGATTCACTTGATTTTGATGGGGTCGCGAAAATGGAAGAGAAAGGTTTTGCGGAATATGCTGGAAATTGTGTTTCACTGTCTGGCAAATTTTCCATAAATTTTCCCATTGATTAGTTTCCTTACTGAAGTGTAGCGGCAGAAATGTGGCTGACTTTTCTGTATCAAGTAATTCTTTTCAAAACTTGACAAACCAGGTTTTGATCAAAGAAGATTGTTAAGCACAGTCGATTTGGCCGAAGCGATGCCATACTGAGCACGATCTCGACCTTTCTCAGTGAACGCTAATGATACTGTTATCGATTTTGAGGCGCATAGATTTTAATCGCGTCCAAACTTCAGTTTTTGTCAGCCTCCTCTGAGAGGATATATCATTGCTTACTTGATTTTCATCCACGGGCAAAATGAAATTTATTTCATTACAGATTGTAGTAATCAAGTGAACTGATAAGTCACATGATGTACTAAAATATGTGTTTATTGTTCATCGTGGTGTAAGATAGGAGATGAATTTTTTTTCGTTTGTCTCACGATAGAGTCACTTATGATGTGGATCGCAACGTTTCGACTGCAATACCGCGTCTTCATCGGGCGATGAGGTCGACTGTTTAAGTACGTATCGCTACTTGAAGTACGTTGGTACGTTGCTATTGGTGCATTTCGATCCTCATTATTATTCCGGTTGTTAGATGGTGTTCTCTCATAGGTCCTCATAAATCGGCTGCTGTTGTGTCGTTTGATCGTGGGTATCCAAGCTTCGGGAATTTCGATTCCGTCATCCCTATTAATGTTGTTGGGATGAAGTCTTATATGGATAGCCTCTTTGACCCTACGTGTGTACCAGTAGGGGTCACGATCAATAAACTTAACCTTGCTCCAAATAGGAATATCCCCCGTTTCGTTAGCGAGCTCCGAAACCGCAGAGGTCTGAGTACGAGCAAACCGTATGGAAGAATTTGAGGAAAAGAAACACTTGTCATCAGTACTTGTTCCTAATGATTATCCTTCCTCATTTGTACGAAAACTCGTAAAAACAAGAATGGTAATAGCCAACAGAGAACCCGCGTAGGAATTTAAATCTACTGCCGTTCTCCATTACATTAAGGGTGTATTAGAGTTTCTTCGCCGCTGCCTACAACATCATGGCATACGTACCGTTTTCAAGTCGGACACAACACTTAGGTCTCACTTAGTACGACCTAAAGACGCCCTGGAACCATCAAAACAAGACGGTGTCGTTTAAAAGATCCCATGTGAATGCGGCAAAGTGTATATCGGTGAAACAGGGAGATCAATATGAGAAATGATAAAAGAACATGACAGAGACATCAAGTGACTCTATCGTGAGACAAACGAAAAAAAATTCATCTCCTACCTCACATGATCTCTGTCAAAATACAAGGTTCTCTCGCTCTGTAACATAGACTGTTGTTCACAACTTGTTGCAGTTAAGTAACGATCGCAATCGAATACAGGCCACAATAAGGAGTTTCTAAGCTGACGTTTTGAGTGCTAGCCCTTTGTCAGACCGAAGGCATCTAGCCGCTACTTGCTCTAAAGGCCAACGCTCGAAAAATCAGTTTTAGAAACCCTTTACAGAGGATAATTTACGTTATCAACTCAGTTATTGAAACCGAATTATCTTATATTACCCCCAAATGACGAATCAACACAGTTTCTTTAGAAAACACCCCCTTTATTCATTAATCGAATACAGGGTTCTCGCACTCTGCAACGTTGATTGTAGTTCACTACTTGCTGCAGTTTAGTAACGACACAGCAATCAAATACAGGGTTTCTTCGCACTGTGACATTGATTTTTGTTCAGAACTTGGTGCAGCTAACCAACCAGTGCCCATACGTTTCTTACGATCTAATGCAAGCTGAATTGACGAAGTTTACCGCAGGTAGGCAATCAGTAAACAGTAATCCTTTGCGCTTCGTGAATTTCTAATTTCATATGTTGCTCATTGGATTGCCAAAACGAACAATCATTAATCTTCTCTAACATCAAAACGCCTTCGAAACAAGTTACTAAATATGTTCTTCAACGGCGGGTCGTTTTCTGGTTTACATTATTAAAATTTTACAACAACGTTAAATTTTTTCTCGGAATGTTTCAGGGTAAAACCCGATAAAAGAGAAGAGAAATAACAGTGTAAATTGTTATTATAAAAAACGAACATTTCTACTGTAGGTGACACTACACTAATGAACTCGTGCATGAAATATGCAGAATGTCATAAACTTATTCAGTGACTGTACAGTCTGATCTTCCATATTTAACAACAGTGCGCTAACTTTAATAAAGGTACCTACTCTTCCCAGACTCCTAATGCCGTGCTAAGGCCTCGGGATTTGCATATTGAATCCCCTCGATACTAGTTCCTATGCCTTGCATATCCACGAATTAAAAAAAGCAAGACCACAGATTTCGGTTGGAGCTTTCAACACAATTAATTTCTCAAACTTATACTCGGTTCATTACGTATACTGGGGGACGGGGCGAAGGGGGGGGGGGAGAGGGAATTGTCGGAGGATTTTGATTGTGTCACAATTTAATTTACCTGGCCCTTCCCCCTCCCCTAAGGCTCCATAGTATTCGAATGCTCCCCTCTGATTGGCAGTCAGTTTACTACAGTCGCCCCCCTTTATACTCTGTTAGCGACGCCTGCCCCTCCCCCTATCTGTTCCCCCTGAAAATCATGTGTTACCCCCTGGCTGGCCCCTCGATGACGAGCCTGTTTTCTACATCAACACGTGCACATAAGCAAATGATGCCATTTTCGAACCTTAGAGGAAATGCATAGCCTTTCCAACCTATTTTATCAGGCTTGAATTCGCTGATGGCATTTTATCTCACATTTGTATTTAATCTTATTGCGGGACATCTTTTAGTCAGCAATCCAAGGCTGAGTTATTTGAAGCAAGATTATTGGTTTGAACTGAAGGTTTCAGGGGCGGAGCCAGGATTTTTCAAATGGGAGGGAAGGGGGTCACACGGTGTCAAACAGGGTACTCACCTGATTTTCATGTCGACCTCCACACTGTGTTTTTTACTCAAAAGACTTACAAAAGGAGGGGGGTCACGGGCACTCCAGGACCCCTCCCCCTTCCCTAACTACGCCCTTAGGTTTATTGTACTCTAAATTGTTCTTTAAAAACCTTTCGGATCAATATCAGTATCTGAGCAACTGCGCACCTACGCCTCCCTTAACCCAACAACAGTCCACTAATAATAAGTCAGGGCAGGAGCCCATTACCCGGAGCTTCCATACCAATTGTAACCTTGAATCAACCCTGTCCCGTATCTTTCTATTTTTAGAACTGAGATATTGGGGAGGGGTTCTTTAATTTCCCGCGAAAACACGCTGACGTTCGCATAACACCCTACAAAAATGGCGGCCAAAGGCGAAGGCTGACCTCTATTTCTTCTCTGCATGTAACGTAAACAATAGAGGACCCCGGCTCTCTTATGATTGGCTACTATGTAAACACCCGCGAAAAACCTCATGGGAGGTACTTCTAAAAATAAAAAGATACGTGAAAAGGTTGACTCAGAGGGTAAGTATGGAAGATGGAAGCTCCGGGTAATGGGCTCCTGGTCATGGTTAATGTTGGATTAGGCGAAGAGTACGTGCCCAGTTGCAAAGCTACTGAAATTGATCCAATCCTTTTTGCGACTTGCGAATGATATTAGACACATGTCTAATACATCTTAAGAAAAACTGCAGACACTTAAAGGGAAATTGCGGCTTTGTCAATGGATTGATGTCTAGCATTCGATACCGAGATAAATCAATAGATCACTGAGCATTTTCAGTTTTGTTTCACTGTCAAATTGTCCACTTTCTTCTTCATCTGACGTGATGCTTGGTAGAACGCCTTTGTACAGATGAAAGCGAATGTCGTCCACAACAGGGATGGAGTCCGTCTGTTGGCGATCTCGAACAGAAGATGCATCCGCCAGAATCAGCGCATGAAATTCCTTGTTATCAAGAAACTGCAAATTCAAACAGAACAAAAACGATTTTACTTACCTTATATATGAACTGAACATTAGCTAACATCATTAGTATATAGGCATCATAGAATACCCCTCTTCGGAGAGGAGACGCTAATTCCCTTCACCAAGGGTTACCACAACGTCCCCTCACTCCCTCCCCCTCCACATTTCGTCAGGCTTCCCTGAAAATTCTTTGGTACCCAGTTTTACGCCTGGATGGATGGAGAGAGATACTGAGGAGAGAAAGTGACGATAAAGCGTCTTGCTCAAGAACACAATACAATAACCACGACCCACGACCCACGACCCACGATCCACGACCAGAACTCAGACTCACTCTTCTTCATACGGAGTCCAGAGCACTTGATTCTTCTTCGACTGCTCCGCCTCTTTGGCTGCTCCGCAATAATTATTGGAGGACAGAACTACTCTCGATACGGGGCTGAGGAGCGTGTTTTATGTCTTCTCCCCAGACTTCTTTAATCGGTGGTTTATCTTTCGCATGACAACTACCGAACGATTTTAGCGTAAAGGACAAAGAAATTGTTACCAGTAATCACTACTTACCATTTCTAGATGTTTACTCATGTATTCACAGCAGTCTACTTCAAGTCTGGGTAGGTTGAAGAGACGCGCCGTCCTTAAAACCGTCAAAACGTTTTCTGTGTCGAGAAACGCGCTAATTACACGCGCACAGAGGCGCTTCAAGCCACTCAGTAGATAGATATCAGCAAAGCAAAGTACACTGTAAACATTTTCTTCAGTTACCTGGATAAAAACAAGAATTAAAGCAATAAGTATTGCTATCAACGTTTACTGCTGTTTGAATAACTGACGCCTTCATATAAATTTTTCTTTCAGCGACAGTTTTACAGTTTGGCCAATGTAGAACGAGGCTTACCTAAGTCTACAAACCAATGAGCGAGTTCGCAGTTCATACAAACGTCGTAAATTTCTCATATGTATTACTCTACACACCTTCTCTTGATGTTAACGCGCCAAACGGACCTCTGGGAATAAGGCGCTTGACCTCAGCTCACAGGGTTCCGCGCGGCGCGCTAACGTCACCGATTGGTTTTTACTTGCGCGACGGACATCGCCAAAAAGGAGGGACTGGTCAAAGTCTAAATCTGTTTAAACAACACTCACCAAAGCTTCATCTTGATAAATGAAAGCTACAACAGCGGCAAACACGTCTGGTGTTACATCATTGAGGTAAACTTCAGGAATAGACGCACTAAATAATTGTTTGCCAGGCGAGGTGGATTCCGAAAAGTGACCGTCTAACAACGCTCGAAAATAGTCGCTCCTTCCGCAGAAAAACACCTTCAGTTAAAAAAAAGCTATAGGAGTTAATGTGAGTATTTGAGGGTCAATGAGCTTTCTAACCATAATAATGAACTGTTAAGATATGTAGGAGATTTAAAAAAGGAGCTAAGATTCACCTCGAACAATAAGGGCGTGGCTACGAGGAAGGGGGTTCCCGACAGGTTTTGAACCTCCCTTCCCGATATATTTTTATTTATAAAACTCTTAGGAAACCCCGTTTGAAAAATCATGCATGCGCTAATGACAAATGGAGCACCTCCCCTACCCCCAACCACCTTGGCTGGACTCTGGGTCGAAAGGTCCGGTTTCGGAACCCGGCCAGGTCACGTGAACATGTTAAAGCGGCTTTTTCCCTAAGCGAGACTTTTCCACTTTTTCCTTCGCAATTATATCACGGCAAAGAAATTAAGTTCCTGATAAATTTAGCAAGGAAGTCATGGACGTTGCTACAATTCAGGCATCTTACCTTATGACAGTAGAATCTGTGATTCTCAACGATGAAACACACATCAGAGTACACAGGCGGTTCGTCGCAAACGACTGAAACTAAAACGACGTGGTACAGTCATGTCAAATCAATGTTACCTACTACTCTCCCCTGAGGGAAGATGCAACTTTCTAAATGTTTCTACATCTTTAGGTCGTTCACCTCTGTAGCCGCATTAGCTCTTTAACCCTTCAAGCCCAAAGAGTGACCGGCCTCTATTTTCTCCCTACAGTATCTTACTTAAGTCAAATGTAAAGGTTATGAGAATTAAGGAAATTATCACCAATTTAAGAAGCTCCTGATTTTCCAACAAATTCTCCCTGTCAGAGCCATGAGTAATGAATAGAGAGGATTAGGGAGAATATGAATACCAATGTTTCTCGCTCTAGGGCTTATGCAGGAACTGCTTTAAGGGGCTCGAACAACCCCCCGTAGAAAACCACCCATGAGGCACTCGGGGCACTCCCCCTTGTTTAAGTGATTTTAGACAATTCTAGAATGGTGTACAGAGAACATTTTCAAAGTTACCGTAAACAAAAATATGGATACAAACCATCGAAAACATCGGAGGATATCTCAAATGGAAACTGCTTTGGGAATTGCTGAAAAGGAAATACAAATTATCTGTAACGTCAAGCCGGGGAAAGTCCAAGTTTTCTTTGTCTTGACTCTACATTTTTGCGTCCGTCCAAGAATACGATATAAGCTTTCCCAGAATTTTATCGGGTATGATTAACAGAGACGCATTAGAGACGAGTATAATATAAAACGTGGCTTGACAGTAAAAAAAGGAAATGAAGTACATGCCTCACAAGTTTGGATAACTTATTTCTCGTTGGGAAGTGTCGTATCTACTTCGCGTTTTGTTTTGTTGTTTTTCCTCTTTCCAAACACTAACAAAGAGGTAGAACCAGACTTAGACAAATGGGCAGAAAGAAAAGCAGAAAGGAAGACAGACAGACAGAGAGGAGATAGACAGACAGATGGACTGACACAGACAGGCAGAGAGATAGGTAGACAGACAGAATGACATAGACAGAGAGACAGATAAGACAGGCAGAGCGAAAGAGACAAACCGACGGACAGAGTGAAAGACACAGGTAGACAGACGGGCGGACAGGCAGAAAGATAGGCAGACAGCGATTAAATCTCACCTGAGACACGAGCGCAGGGGGTAAAGCAGACTCTGCTAGACGGGCGAATGCATCTTGCAAGCTTGTGGATCTGGATTCCGGTTCGATGCTCACTACTGTTATTATTCGAGTATTAGTTTTGGACATTCCTACAGAAAATAACACCACAGTATTACAACCAGTCGTCATTTCCGTTGGAGCGGTGCTAAGTTTCAGACTGATTGACAAACATGGGCCAATATGATACAGGGGCAGATCCAGGGATTGCTGATAGGGGTCCAAACTTTGAGTAGGGAGGGTACGGTTTAGCATGAATAGGGGCGGGGGGGGAGGAGAACAGGATGGTTTAGGGTATGAAGTGGAGGGCATGAAGGGTTGACACGAAGAGCGAGGAAAATAATGAAGATAGAGGCATGGGTACCAATAACTTTTCCTCATGCGGCTGCCGAAGATGTAGTCAGCGGCTGTACCCGGAAAAGGGATCGAAAGGCGATATCCAAGAAAGAGTCATTGGGGACTTTTCCCTTCTCTACAAAAATACTCCAACAAGCGGATGAAAGGATCAAAATCACGCAAATGTTACAAAAAAGGAAACTATTCTTCGAGATTTTTCCTAACCAAATAATTCAATGCTGTTTAGTCTGATTTCCAGCTGTGTCCTGAGATCCTCCAGTTTACATTGTTTCGCTAGTCGGATGCAGTCGTCAATTTTATCTTTTTCGATGTATACTCGGTCGGTGTACAAGTATTGCAGAATGGCCTGCATAGCCCACAGTTTGACCTGAAAAGACACAATATTCACCATAAGAAAAGGATAGTCAACATTTAGGAAAGCTGTCTTTCAACAAGCGGATAAGCGCTCGGACAAGCGCTCGGACAAGCGCTAGGACAAGCGCTCGGACAAGCGCTCGGACAAGCGCTCGGACAAGCGCTCGGACAAGCGCTCGGACAAGCGCTAGGACAAGCGCTAGGACAAGCACGACAAGCGCTGGGCGTGATTCGCAATTCGCGCCGTCTCGCGCTTGCCTCCGTTGAACTGAAAAACGCGTTCCGCAAGCTATTTAGATCTGGGGAATAGAAGCGTCAAAAGAGCTTTTATGACGTTCAGCGCCGATGTTTAGAGACCATTACCTGCCTTTTTTTTTTTTTTCTTTTTTTTTGTTAGGGGGGGGGGGGGATTTTGGGAAGATTACCACATGGTTTTCAGGGGGAATAGAGGAAGGATTAGTTGTCGCCTTAAGAGTACAAAGGGAGGACTAGCAAGCAAGCCCTCATTATTAGCGCTTCGGCACGAACATTTCTTCGCCCGCGGTAAAGTATGAGGCATTGATCAACACGAGTCTGCGCGAGGTCTACAAGGGGTCTGGCACTGATAATTAGTGCCAGATTCCCTCTCCCAGACTAATCTCGTCTCACACCCGTCCCACAACGCTACTGATAAAGAGAGCTTATACACAGGCTACCTATAAATAAGCTCTCCGTATACACATTTAAGACCATCAATTTTACTCTCAAATACGACTCGATCTTACCAGTTTGTTCTTCAGTTCGATGATAGGACGATCACGCCATTTACTCATAAACATTTTGGCGAAATACGAGGAGCGTGCAGACAAAATCAAGCGATGAGCAGGTAGAGGAACACCATGGACTATGAAGCATACATCTGCGTACGGCGAGTCCTCCAGACATCTGAAAAACAGGATTAGTTGAGTAAGAACAGTTTTCAAGTGAGTACCGAAAGAAATACATAATTGCTTTGGTTTTACTTAACCTCGCTCTGTGATTGGTCCAGAAAACCGGCGTCACCTTCTCAACCAATCAGATTTAAAAGTAAGAAACAAACGCGACTTAGTCGTTCGCGTTTTCCCGCGTTTCAAGGAGTTCGGTTGTTTTCACTTTAAGTTCTCATTGGCTACCGGTAGTTTATACCTTTGTTTTGATTGGTCGTTGGGATGATTGGTTTTGGTTTTTCGACTTACAACTAACAAATGCTCTATGGAACAATCGCAAACCAAAAGTCGAATCAGTCAAAGGCAAGCGAGGTAACAACACAATGGAAGTTTAGAAAATTCATAGGTGACAAATTCCTGGCGCAAAAAAGGCGCGCCAGTTTCACAAATGAAGTTTAGCTGATCATGGCGGCCAATCGGTACAAATGTTCTACGGAAACACAGAAAATTTGATTATATAGATACAAACCCCTTGAGCCCAGTAAAATGCGAGGGAATAAGTCGTGATTGGTTTTAGCTGCATCTGGTTGGTCGAGGTGCGAGTTCTCTGAGCCAGTCAGAGAGCGCATCAAAGTAAAACCAAAGTAATCCAGTTTTACTTCGAACACTCCATCAATTTTCTTTTTTTAAAGGTACACAGAGGGGAAAAATTATGAACACTTTCTGATGCGTGGGGAAACTCTCCTGGAAATTTCGCCTAAAATTCGCCATTCGAATTATTACCTTCTCAGAAATTCCCTGTAGGAATCTCTTCTCATGCATTCAGATGTAATAGCCTTGTAGCTCTTGAGGAGGCTTCTGATCTTGTCCGTCAACGCTGCATACAAACAACGCTCTCCGTCAAATGTGTTCGGAGCACAACGGGCCCCTAATAGCAGACGAAGAAATGAAGTTGTTCACATGCAATTCAAAATATAATAAGCAAAAATAACAGCCGAAACAATATCTTTCGAAAGAAAAAAATAGACTCGGAAAAACGAAAGGAAACAGTTTTTGCGCATTTTGGATTAAAATAAAAGGTTTTCAGAACGTCAAATGCAAAGGTGATTGTTCTGCCGTTTTCAGGTTATCCGGGCAGCAGGTCTTGCTGTAGTCTCGCGAGAATCTTAAAGTTTCGCAAGAAGTAATTTTCCTAAATACACTTGGTTGCGAATCTTCTCCACAAACGTTCTTTTCCAAACTGACCAAGGCAAAATTTATAAAAAAAATAAAAACTATAATAATAGGAATTATAGCGGAGCTCGCAGAGCGTAGCCCCATAATTATACAAAATAGTAGTAACCCATCAAGCCGAAAAAATTTGGATGTACGACCATACGACCGTACGACCACACAAGGTGCTACTTTTAACATGCGTGGTCAACTGTACCGCGGACACGCCAACGCTACGGCTTTGTTCAGTAGTCCAGTAGCCCACTGGGCTCCGAGTCGGACGACTCAGGTTCTATTCCTGGCTGGGGCAAGGTGTTGTGCCCTTGAGACGTGCGGGAAAAAATGCGAGTTCCACTTTTAGGCTTGGCTATTAGTGTTATATAAAATGTTGTTGTCCATCGTGGTTTTGTAGATAAATGAACTTTTAAACCTTTGTCTAACGAATTTGAGTCCACACAATTGATAGCCTGACTCTACACCGTGAGAGAAGCAATGAAACGTTCATTTATCAATAATAATAATAATAATAATAATGACAAACAGGAGTTAAACCAGTTTCAACCGGAATTGACAAAACTGACCGTTTTGTAAGAGGTACTCCACCAACTCATGATGTCCACAGAGACAAGCGTAGTATCTAGGAAATAATAAAACAAAACAAAAAAATGCAAAAAAACCAATGAGAGAAATGACATCCGTGACAGTCATGTGAGAATCGCATGCAGGTAGCAGACACTGTGTGAATTCTTAATGTTATGCATCAATTTTTTTCATCTATTCGTCTATGGTTGAAGACGACGGCTTATGAAATCAAAAGAGAAGTGCAGGAGCGTGTAGAAATTTTTCTCATCCCACCCTGTATTATAAGAAATTACTCCTCTTTGTTCTCATGGGGTATATAACACGTATGAAAATACCAAACGTTCTACACATACAGTGGTGTGCTGTCCCAGCAATCTCGAAGATTCAACTCTGTTTCTCCACTCTCCACAAGATATCTAAACGGGGAAACAAAAACGAAAAAGGTGAAAGTCACGTGAAAAGGCTACAAAACGTAAATCACCTAAGCAGCAGAGACTTATAAATTTCCAGGCATGTCCAGTATACGAGTTGATGTTCTGGCAGAGAGGGAAAACGTCTACCCGTGGTGTTTCTAGACTTTTGCGTCTTTACAACCTAACAGAATTCTCAATTTGCTACGCAAACTGTTGTAGAAACCCTGTGTTTACACATTTCAATCTCCTTGTTCACTTATAGGAAAGGTATGTTCACGTATGTATGCGACAATGCAAATTGAGATAAAATGGCTTGGAGATCGCTTGAAAAGTGACTAGAAAAACGCTTTACCTGAAAAGCTTTCCAAAATGCTCCAAAAGGCATAAGAGCGTGTTCAAATTTTCAAAAGTTAGGGGAAGGATGCTCCTATTCCGGCCTCCGTTCATACATTACAGTTATGTTCCCCTCAATTCAAATTCGTTGGTACGGGCCCGAAGTTACTAAGCATTTTTAAAACATTTGAAGACGATTTTCGAAAGGTTAGATTACTTTTTGGAGTCTCAAAACGCGATAAGTGTCACAATTTCAAGTGCATTTTTTTGAAGGCGGAGAGAAAAATTTCATGATTTCAGTCGATGCAAGCCTTCCAAGAGAATATGAACTGCATATTATCTTGGCCTTATTATCTCAAATAGCCTTGGACTTGCATGCGAGCAGGTTCAAATTTTCGCTGTGATATGAACCGTCGAGAAGTGCACCAAAAGTTTCTGGCTTAAACTGTTTCTTACGATGTAATTCATCGGTATCCAACCGATCTCCGGTCCCCAGTCTAGTCCACAAGATCGCGACTCAAAATATCGAGGATCTCAAATAGCTAATACAGTAGAACCTCGATTTAACGAACCTCTATTTAATGAATCGAAGTCCTTGGTATAATGAACGATACTCTTCAGCCTGGCCAAAGTTACAGTTTAATGTTAGGGAAAGAACCTCGATTTAACGAAAGCACAAAGGTTTACTCCGCTACAAGGAACAAATGTCAACACATGACGCACGACAACTGCGAAACAGACGAACAAGAATCAAAATCTTTCAATTTTGTAACAATAGGATAACTTTAAATTTAACAGCTCATTATAAATGCCGACACTGACACATTCGACACATCTAAGGATCCGCTTTATCCTCTTTGTGTATGATTATTTTTGAAGGCTTCTTGTAGTAAAAGGTGAAAGAGACAGGAATTTCCAATTCAATGCCCTTGTTTCTTCGTTTGCCAGTGACTTCCACTGAAATTTGTCCTCTGTGCTTTAAAAGCAAGGTGCTGTAGCTATGTACAGACCTGTTCAGTGTACTGTAGCTTCATATAGAAATCAAAGCATTGATGTTATTTACAGTTATCGTTCCGATCCCAAAATGCTGCTGGGTAGCGCGACGTCACACCACACAAAGAAACAAAACGAAACAAAAACAACTATTAATCATCCCTCGATATAACGAGCATTTTGGTTGTTTTCCCACAAATTCGTTAAATCGAAGTTTCCGATATAACGAACTCTCGATATACCGAGCCAATTTCCCCAGTCCGTTGGCACTTCGTTAAATCGCGGTTTAACTAAGCTCAAGCAATTAAGCAATATAATCTCGTGCACATAAGTTGTGTTTAAGCTCTCCGTTTTCAAGCAAGTCTAAAATATTTGTGACAAGTCTAGAATGATAAACGAAAGCCAGTTTCAATGTCTACTTTCTTGTCAAATATATGCATCTTCGTGATTTCTCATGTAGAACACTACAAAGATGCTTGTATAATTAATATTACAATATTAATATTTATTAATTAATGGTTTAAGTGTAAAACCCTCATTCCATGAAGGACTTTTTCAAATCACTTATTTTTTAAGCTGTGAAAATTAAAGGCTGGCTTGCAAATTACTTTTGTTGTTGTCTCAGTTGAAAGCTAGCTTTGTCTTCGTTCAGTTGTCTTGCATTTTCACCGAAATTTGTCGAAATGGCTCGGAAACGCACTGCACTACTTCTTCAGAAGTGTCTAAGTGTCGAGGTGATAAGACTGCAAAGCTACCGAGGAACACATCATTTGTCAAAAGAGACGAGTTTTAGTAACCTTTACAAACTGATTTTACCGACTGTTTGAAAGCAACACTTTGAAACACAACTGAAAGATGTATCGCGTTAAAATTTTGTTTTTGTTATGGTTTGTTTTTTATTTCGTTTCGATCAGCTAAAAAAATTGAACAGGCTTTCTTCGAAAAAAACTGCCTTTATTGGTAGAAAACCTGAAAAGAATTTCAGGTCATTTTGAACTGACCATCTGCAACGTTCCATATATCAAACTTATCAAACTTATAGAAGTTGAAAATCAGCTGCAGTACGGGTGAACTGCAGATGCTCTCACTTGCCTCTAGCGAATTTTAAATTCATATCGGGCGCTTGCTACCAGCTGTTACCATTTTTCGGCAATTTATGCCAGGATATTGAAAGATAACGGTTACTTACATCATTCTTTGGATACAATTTGCGCTCAACCAAGTTGTCAGTTTGAAATGTACGCAAATTTCAACGAGCGTGAAATGTACAACGTCTGAACATGTACATATTTAACTTCGAATCACTAACACAAAAAAATGCACTCATGTTCCTTTAGGATTTCTTACCTGACTCGATCGAGGTCACCTCGACGGCAACTTTGGAAAAGATCCATCGCAAACAATAGTTTTGGACCGAATGGGCCGAATTACAATTATTCCTCCAAAGCTGCTAAAATGGTTTGTTGTGATCGAAGTTTGTTTACAGTTTTTGCGCATGACACATGAATCCGCTGACCCTCTCAAAAGTTCTAAGATACACGAAAATAATTAAGTGTAGTAATAGTGAGGATTTTGACAGGATTTTGACTGAGAAATGCTAGAATTTGCTCGTTTAGAATGCCAAAACGCAATAATAGAGTTCCGAAAGAATCTGATCGAGAAAGAAGACCTCCAGAATTGACGCTAGCAAGCTTTCTGAGCGGTTCCTTGGCTTCGCAAACTTCAGTTGTCAGCGAAGGAGCTTCTTCCTCAGATCAACTGGATTTTGTAGGAACGAGGTCAACTTCAAAAGAGGAGGAAAAAACAAACGAAACTATTGGATTTGCCGTCAAACGCACAAAGAAAGGGAAGATTCCAATTTCGTACGAAAATCGCGCCAAAGGGAAGAAGGTCACAGTTGTAAGTAACGTTACCGGCGATCCTGGCATTTTATTACAAGAACTTAAGAAGAAAATCGGAGCTGGTGGAGTCGTTAGAGGGGAGACTGTGGAGATACAGGGAGATCATCAAGTTTTGGTGGAGAAGTTTTTAACTGGCCATCCCTGTTTGAAATAGAAGCCTTTATTGGAGAGTACAAAAATTTCCTGTCCCCCTACCCGCTGGAGAACATTTTTATCTACCCACAGATCCATGCGCGTCAAAACTCAAGATGGCTGCCGACATGACTTAACAAATTTTGGACGATTTTGCGCGAAATTTGGTTGCATTTGATTGAAATGAAACTGAGAGCTGTCTTGAATAAGCGTAGAGAAGTGCTCGAATTGTCAGGAGATGCAATAACCTTGAGTCACTGTCGCCAAGCTGTCCAAAGAAAATTTGGTTTGAGGTAATGACGACACAAGCGCACTGCATTATTTTTTTTTAATTTGTTTTGAATATTCAGTAATTTCTAATTCTTGTTGAAATTTTCAGAGAAAACAGCTTTAATCTGAGCCTGAATGGGAAAGATATTTTAGAGAATGACTCTGTACTCCTCAGAGACCTGGGAATAGTAAATGGTGACTTGATCCACGTTCTGCTCAACAACGATGAGGAAGAAATAACATCAGATAACCTTAGTGTTCCTGGTTCTTCAAGATCTACTGTGCATAGTACTCGCACACCCTCCTTTCACTCCACAGAACCGGTAGCTGGTCCATCCCAGGTAAAGTGATTTGTTTTAACTCTTTCACTCCCAAGATTTCATTTGTAATTCTCCTTACTGTGAGCCATACAATAATCTTATGATCAATATTAGTTCAGAGAAATTGGTATTGGATCAACCCTTAACCCTTTAATTTTAGTTTTTCTATATTCTCATCACTTGTCTGCTTGATATTGTATTGATATTGTAAGGAGAAATGCTGTTTTGGTCAGTCATAAGAGTTAACTAAGAAGGGTTTTAACCCTTAAAATCCAAGCACAGGTAGTTTCTAGCTAACCCTTCATCAACAAGTGTGTTCTAAGTTGTCTTGCTCTGTTTGCTGGAAGGTCAATTTCTCTGGAAATGTAAAACAAGATCAATCAAACAGCAGATTTGTTTCCATTAGTTCAACCCTTTACTCTCAGAAGTGATTAACATATAACTTCTCCCCATAATATCCATACAGGATCTAGCAAACAGGTCATGAGATTACTCGGACTTATCAGGTTTAAGTTGTTACATTGATCTAACACCAACTTCTCGTAACTAATTTACGAAGAAATGAGTAGTAGAAACAGGGGAGAATTTACAATCAGAACTTGGGAGTTAAAGGGTTAAAAATGTATTTATTTTTTCAAAAATTTTTTTTTTTGCGCCATTAATGTAGGCATCAAAGTGTTTTCTTGAATTTGTCCTAACTGTTTTTGTTATGTATATGGGCACTAGGCAAGGTCAGTGTTGTCTACACATGGAAAACAACATGATGAACAGAGTAAAGAAAAAACCAGAGAGGTAGGAACTGAAAATGTTCAGCATCGTCCAGGATCTTTTTCATTTGTGTCAAGTGCAGGATCTGTGTCATCTGTCAGATCTCTGGTTCTTTGTCGGGAAGGAATTCCACCTATGTTAGAAGACTTATATAGAGCTACAGGGGTTGGAACCATTCACCAGGCTGCATGGGTTGTTATTCGTGTTTTGATGTTAGAGACTGGTTTTATCTGTGAGTCAGAGGTAAGTTGTAATTGCATTTCAGATCAAATGCAACCCTTGGTTAAATGTGGTTTCTATAAATTACCATATTATTATTTGTGGAATGATCTTCCGGGCTCTATCAGAAACACCCAATCTTTAAACAAGTTTAAGAAGGCCATTAAAACTTTTTTATTTGCCAAAGCTTTTTAATTCTTTGTATCTAATTTCATATTTTTACATCTTCTTAGTGATCAGTTTTATTTATTTATTTATTTTTTTAATTTTTTTTTTTTTTTTTTTTTTTTAGTTTTTTTGTATCTATGTAGGGGTTGAGTTTTTAACATTTAATTGTAATGCGCAATTGAAAATTCTTATATTGATAATTGTGCAATATAAGTCTACAAATTATTAAATTATTATTATTATTTTTTTTTTTATTACTATTATTATTATTATTATTATTATTATTTGAAATGTGATGGCTCAATGATAATGGGTGGAGAGGTTCCTGTTTGAGGCCTGACTGGATCATTGTGTTGTGCTGTGTTCTTGGGCAAAACAGTTTACTTTTTAAGTAATTTGGTATTAGGAACTCAGGTGTTAATGTAAATTGGCCAGTGTAAAGATTTTCAAAGCTGACATTTTGAGCGTTACACCCTCGTCAGAGCAAATAGAGAAACTCTTTACGTTGGCCAATTTATGTTATCAACTCACTTGATAACACTAAATTACGTTGTTAACAAACCAACAATCAAAGCAAAAAACAAATAAAAACAATAAGATGCAAAGATATATACTCTTGCCTATCATTTCTGCTATGCCTGGACAAAAATATCAACCAAGCCTTGTGTACAATGCAGAAAAACCTTACAGATTCTACAGACTTTGCAAATCAACATTCACACCCTTTTGCATCAACAGAGATTCTGAACTCACAATGTGCACTAAGAATTAACTCAGACAGCAGTTACACCAACAGTCTGTCATGTAAAAGAAACTAAAGCTTCTTTGGGCATTAATCCTCAGGAACCAACAGAAATGGGGAAAGTGAAGGAACTGAACAGAGATGAACCTTCTAAGGCATGGAAGACAGGTGGTGTTGTTAAAGTGATGTACACACATTCATCGTGTCCTGGTTTAACCTGCTCTCTGACGTGCACCTCTCTTGGTCCGTTCATGATGCTACATGGTGAGCACTCATCATTGTTGAATATTGTTGTCAGGGTACAGATATACAATTAAATATTTTCTTTCTTGCTCTTAGGTCACACTAATTCAGTTGCAAAAAGTGACATTTATCAATGCAAGTTACAACCAACTGACTTTGTCAGGGGAAATGTGGATCTCAAAACAAGTGGTGAGTGCTAATATACATAAGGTACTACTAGCAGTGATGTTGTGAATAGATCAGTATCAGTGCTCCAAGGTGAAAGCCTTTTGAGGCCCATGCTAGCTAGAAAAATTGGGCTTCTAAATTTACAATGCTAGTCAACTTGAGTTCAGTGATCATTTAGCAAGTTGTGATGTTTTATATCCTAGTTTTTGTTCTCAAAGTAAGATAAACATTTTCATAAAATATCACTCATACTCTGTTGCTTTCTTTTATGAAAATTTGCCCCTTTTTCCTTGGATATGAAGAAAGGATTTGGCAAAGAATTACTAAATTCAATTTCCTGATTTTTATAATAGCACAAATAGGGAAACTTAGTATTTTACAGTCAGTGATAATTTCCCTTTTTTTTATCATTTTCTACAGGAGCCTTGTCAGTGTATTATAACCTTCATCGGCTGTCAAGGTTATTTAAGGATCAAGTTGCTTATCCATTGTTGTCCTTTATGAGAGCTGGTGAGGCAGTTTTCCTGTTTCAGTGGTTGGTTTTGTTAGGTTAATCTTTTAACTTTGAAAAGTGATTGACATTTCACTTCTTGCTGTAACATGCATATGTCATCCAGCTAACAGGTTATGAGAATACTCCAACTTATCAGGTAGAAATTGTTGTCTTGATCTGATACCAAATTCTCATAACTAATTTACTTGGAGATGTGTAGCAGCTAGAAGGGAGAATTTACAATTAGATCTAGAGAGTTAAATGGTGAATATTGATTCCAAAACTTCATGATATATATGATAAATAAATTCATGTACATCCATACAGTTGTATGTGCTTAATGCGCTAAAAAACTCATGCAAGGTGCAAATGAAATGCTTGAAAGAACAACTGGCAAGTGAGATTCAAGTTTAGAACCTAAAGATACAAATGGTTCACTTAGGAGTCGCCATTTCTACCAAAAGAAATGATCAACAAATGGTTTCAATTTGCTTGATCTTTATTTATTGAAGGTTTTAGGTGCTTTTGAGACCTTACACAACCCAGTGCATTCCCTCTGAAAGCAGTGCTCCTGTGTATATGTGCCACACCTACAGTTTTCAGCTCAATGCAGCTTTTACATAAAATTTTTATGGTATTTTATGAACAATTTTATAGTAAGTTATGATTAATAAAATATCTTCATGATATTGTTTTCTGACTAGGATCTTATTTCACTCTAATTGTTAATGAGGTATCATAGATATCACTAAGTCTTCTTTTTTGTAGTTTTGATGATGTGACAAATTTGGTGTAGCTTAAAATTTTTTCAAACTTTCTTATTTATTTCTGTCATGTTATTATTTTACAGCTCTAGGACTACCACAGTTATGTGGTTTTATGGCTGTACCTGCAGAAGTTAAGGTACACAAAATATTTTTTCTTTTTTAGTAGTTTGTAAATCTCTTGGTAAAGTGTAGCTCTAATGATATCTTTGACATGTCAAGAGACAAGTAGAATATTTTTCATTGGGCTAAGGTCATGATCTTGTGGTAGGATTGGTGGATTTCTCTCCATGTTGTTTGTGTGCCCTTTGGGATGAGATTTACAGTAAATGTCAGGCATTGAACTCTAGAGCTTACATGCTTCTGAAAATTACAACTTTGCTTGATCAATATGGCAATTTATACAGAAACTAAAACATATACTTTGTTCTTCTCATGATTTCCTTATTGAAAACATTTTTTTTCCCTTTCAGCTGATGATTCTTGGAAATCTTCCAGTTCAGAGCATTATAAATGTTTCTTGCACTTGCAGAGAACTGAGATCTCTTTCAAGTGATTCCACATTATGGCAGCACCTTGTGTTGAGAGATTTTGGTAAGATGCAGCTTGAGATAAAAATTGGGTGCCTTTGTCCCCCTTCCTTCAAAGAAGGTCACAAAAATAAAGGGAGTGATCTCCAACTAAAGAAGCTCTTGATTTTCAAACAAATTATCCTCGTCAGCACTTTAGGAAATTTACAGACAACAACAGGAAGAATGTGCATACCTATTTATGGGGTGTAAATAGTTAACAACATTCAGAGCAGACATAGCTGTGAGGATTGCTGTGACTTTGCTGTACTTCCCTTTGTGAAAACTCACACCATCTTCTCAATCAATCAGATTCAAACTAAAACCTTACTGGTTCCTTGTGGAAATATCTTCACCTCTGATAAGTGGTTGTGAATACTTTGTTTTTGGTTCAAACTTAATCAAACTGTCAATCAGATTCAAACTAAAACCTTATTGGTTCAAATATCTTAATCAAGTGGTTATCAATACTTTGTTTTTGGTTCAAACTATCAAAGATTCCTAAAACCTTATTGGTTCCTTGTGGAAATATCTTCACCTCTGATAAGTGGTTGTGAATACTTTGTTTTTGGTTCAAACTTAATCAAACTATGCCCCACATCTTGATTTCAGATGCAAGTGTTAAGGAACAAACCAGAAGCTGGAAGGCAGTAAGTATTTTGTATTCGCCCTTTAACTCCTAGAGTTGATTAACATGTAACTTCTCCCTATAATATCTGTACACTATCCAGCAAATAAGTAATGAGAATAATCAAAATTATCAGGTAGAAGCTGTTATCTTGATCTAAAACCAAAATTCTCATAACTAATTTAAAAGGAAATATGTAGCAGATAGAAGGGAGAATTAGCAATCAGATCTTGGGAGTGAAAGGGTTTACTCCATGTTCTCCAAACTATGAGTGATTGTTGAAAATTAATAACCAATTTTATTATATCTCTCAGTTAATATGTGGGCTATGATTGGTCAATTAGCAGGCTGTATGTCACTGTACAGCCCACTAAATTCAAAAGTTGGTTTTAATTTACCATATTTTAACCCAGAGATATAATAAACATCTTGCTAGCTTTGATTTCTTGGTCTCTACTGTAAGTTACAGAACCTTGTTTCTTTGTTAACACCTTGGTTTGTTGTCATTAGTACATTCTGAAAGGTGTGTGTATCCCAAAAGTCCTGTAAGGTTCAGCACCCATAACAGTTTTCACAACTCAAAAGCTAATAAAGGATGAAAAAGCAGACAGAATGAATGCAAGCCTAGTGGGAAAACTTAATTCTTCTGAAGCTTTCCTTGGTTCACTGTGCATTTAGTGTCTTGGAATATTGCTACTCCCCTTAGATGGGAAGCCAATCACAGGATTCCTCCCTGCATTTCATATCATTTCAGCAGTTCACTGGTAGCCATTTATACTCACAGGTGGAGGGAGAGGCACTTCAAGTGTTCAGTGTCTCACCCAATCACACAACATAATGACTTAACCAGGTCCTGAGTCAAAAATCTTTTGTTAAGAAGACCTGTTCATCAATCTATGCACTACCAACTATGTCTCCCACAAACAAAATAAAGGAAGTGGTAAATTTTTTCATGAAAAGTGTATCATTAATTTGACTTTTATTGACTCTTGCAGACATACATTCATTTGTACAAACAGAGGAAAACCCAGGAGCAAATGAGGATGCAAGTTATGGTACCGCCTCATGGAATATACCCCCCTGATTATGGTTTAGGTGCACAGCGTTACAGGGGGGACACATTTCCACCTGGTATAATAGGTAGGTGGAACACTTTGTGCCACTTTTACAGCACTTTTTACGCTGGTTTTGGTAATCAGACATGCAAAAGGAAAATTCAAATACTAGGAATAAAAACAACACCCATCAAATGGCAATAGCTAAACAGCTACATTAAAAAAATTCATTTTTTTTTGTGTGGTATTTAATCTATTTTTTTTTAGTTTAGGCTATGAATTTGCTGCTTAACCCTTCAATTCCTATGAGTGACCAAGACAGAATTTCTCCTTACATTATCAATACAATATCAAGCAGACAAGTGATGAGAATAATAAAAAACGAGTCCAATCAGGGAATTACTAGTTGATCCAATACCAAATTCTCTGAACTAACATCATAAGAATTCTATGAGAGGCTGTGAGGGGAATTACTTACAAGAACTTGAGAGTGAAAGGTTTTCAGGTTAAGTTGCCCATTTGGCATCCCGCTCAGTTTGGCCATCAGGTAGTTTGCTTAAATGTTGTTGTTGCCTAGTGCTGAAAATGAGTCTCTGGGGTTCTCATTTGACTTGTAGCTCTTGGTACTAAAGGCTCATTTCTTTCAGGTGGGCACAGAGATCTTTTTCCAAATCTACCATTTATGCCTGGCGGCATTAATCCAACACCTGGCATCTCTCCAGGGACTGGTTTGCCACGACCTCGATTTGACCCTTTTGGACCCTTACCAGACATAAATCAGAATCCTGGGCCATCGCGACGAGGGAGACATCCAGATCGACACTTTAATCCTTCAAGAGGCTTCCCTCCTGGATTCTTGTAGAGTGACACTATTGGGTGCATTCTCTTGAAAAAACAAATTACACACTAAACCACCATGTCAATGTTCAGCACATGCTTCACATCCCCTGAGTCATCAGTGTGGAGCTGTGTGTCACAATAAATCATTTCCAGTTCTGTTGGACAATTTTCACACACTAGGGATTTAGAGCAGTCATGATACAATGCTGAGAGACGTTGATTTAAAAGGGAGTAATGTATTTTGTTAGAATTTTGCGAAAGGATGGATGTGTTTACCACTCTCTTACAGAACCACACCTCAATATCAGCATTGCAAATGGAAACTTAAGGAATTTCTGTTCTCAGGCTATGCAGATTTTGGTTATTTCACATTGTTGTTTTGTAGGGGACAGCCATGAAATGTAAAAGTGTTCAAGTGCAGAGATGGAGCCATTGTTAGATGCCAATTAGATCCTTTGTTTTGCAATATCCTCAATGCCATTACTGTCATCATTTGCTTGAGCTCCCTTCTGTGTTTCTTAGTGTGGCATTCAAGCTTTGTTACTTTTTCAAAATTAGTCATCTCTTGACTAATATGTTTTCCCAATTTTAGCATCAAAGGAAAATATTGGTTGACAGATTTTAAAAAAACATTCTTGGAGAGAAATGTTATCCTTTATATGAAACCAATGTAGTCGCCTCAGGAACATCACCATGGTTACACTGAGGAATAGACAGCTGTGATTACTGTTAGCAGTACATTCCCAGATCATAAAAATGAGTTATGCTGTAGGAACTTGTGTGATCTTTCTCAGATGATTTAGTGCTTTCTTAATGAAGATTTCAAACCTGAGGTTACAAATAAAATGTTTTATTTTAAAATTAAATGTTAAATTCTGTGAGTCATAGTTTTGTCACCACCTGAATACAAAGTTTTCATTACATGTTCAGGACTATTAACTTTTTCGGAGGGGAGGAAACTAATCCAAGTAAAAATATGAAAATCTCGAAACAACAAATTGTTTGAAGACCAAAACATTATTATACACATCCACACCAAAAGAGTCTTTAATTTTTACATGAAGAGGCACGCTTTATATTGCCCAGAAATCAATGAGCAAACTAGTAAAGATTATATCATTTGCTCCTTTAAAAACACAATTGTAAATAAAGCTCAGTTATGAATAAATTAATATATAATTTAAACAAATAACTTATGGTATTATTTATCAAATTTGGTCAGGATCTGCCAAACCTTTTAGAAAGACAAAAGCTATGTGGGACATCTTAAAAATAAGATGTAACACAGTATTTACAGATTCAGTATGTGATTGCATCCTTGTTGAGAGCAGACGGTCAGTCAAATGCAAAAAGAAATATTTCAGGCCCTCTCTAGCAGACATTGACACCTTTCATCCCAATCAAGGAACAGAATCTAAACACCCATCCATATTAATCCTAGGAGGATAATTCGGTTTAACTAATGAGTTGATAAATGTAAATTGGCCACTAAGAGTTTTTAAGCTGACATTTCAAGCATTAGCCCTTTGTTATATGCTCTAATGAAGGGCTAACACTTGAAACATCAACTTAAAAGCTCTTTATGGCAGCCAATTTACATTTTATCAAGCTGAACTCAGTTACTGATGCAGCACGACAGTTTCTTTACAAACTTGCACCCTTAAATCATTAGTAGCATCTCAGTTTGCTGATTCAAAGCCTTGATAAGTGGGCTGAAAAAGCTTCTATTTTGCCTTAACGCCATGCTCACAGTCAAAATTACTTCATAAAATATAATTAAACTTGTTAATCTTAGTGAATTTTACTAATTGCTATCTCTGTTTCTTCTTTTTTTTAAATTTCTCTCGTTAAAATATTTTTCCCTCTGACTTTTCTGACAATTACATCATTAAGCGACAGAACTTCCCAGTAAATAATTAGTATGGATATAAACGTGATTACAAGTGCAATTGGGTGTTTATAAGCATGAGTAAATTTATCAAAGACAACAAAATTGCATGAGCCTGCACTCGTGTTACAACTTCACTCATGTTAAATGAAAAATGCACTTGTTTTAAGCCAATCAGAGGCACATAATTTTTTCATGTATATTTTTAAAATAATAACAATAACTACTATTGATATCATTAATATTAGTATCCTGGACTGAAATGGGGGCCAACTCTCCCTCAACCAATTTTGTTCAATCTATTAAATAAATGTCAAATTCAGGACCAAATGAAGTTTAGAAGACAAATGAGTGAAAAATTCTTCACACCACTGGTGTATGTTTTCCTTAACCCTTTACTCTCATGAGTAACCAAGACAGAATTTCTCCTTACAATATCAATACAATATCAAACAGATAAGAGATGAGAATAAAGAAAAATACCAATTAGGGGGTCATTAGTTGATCCAATACTAAATTCTCTGAACTAACATTGTAAGAATTGTATGGTTGACAGTAAGGAGAATTAAAAATTTGATCTAGGATTTAAAGGGTTAAAACAAGCAATCACCTCTCTTGGTACCAAGATTATTAATGTTATTCCACAAAATATTTTATAATAATTTTTTCTCTTTTTCTTCACATTTTGTTCACATGGTCCATTTTAGACTTTTCTGGTGACTGTTGGCAGAGTCAAATTATTCTGCTCTGCAAGTTTAAAATGTGTGTAAGCTATGATTCCTGCGAGGGTTGTAGCCACACCCATCATTTGGTTGGTACGGAGTGGATCATGAAATATGAAATAACCTCCCATGAGAATAATGCAGAATTTTAAATGTCCCACCATGTTGTATCTGTTTATATTGGTTAAGAAAAAAATTCCAACCAAAAATATACATAAAATTTCAAGAATTATTTTCACAATAACGGTGGAAATTCCAACTTGCATGCTCAATGATCAAGAGCTATATACAAGTATTTTGGTTGGTCCTTGCTTATGATCTATTGGAGGACAGACACATGGATGATTTCATCATTAATATCATTTTCCTTTTTTATTATTTAGAACAATGGATTTCATGTTGCCCTAGGTCTGTACAGAAACAGATTGCAGAGCATGCCAAAATGTGGTAAGAACATCCATTCACTGGCACACACAGCTGCACCTCATGTGCCATTTTTTGTTCTTCCCACATTTTGACATTATCCTTGTTCTATTAATTAAGTCACTATATTAAATAGGCCATTTTACAGTTATGTACTTAGTTGCCAAGCCTTTGATTTGGAGTGAGGCTGAAGTTGACCATGTAGTGATAGAGACCAGTATCTAGTTTGCATAATAACAAAGTCATTTACATTTGAAAAGCAGCAAGGTTTGTTTCATAACTAGGTCACCCTTAGCCTCACTCCTGTTCAAAGGCTTGGCAACCAAGCACGCAACTGTAAAATGGACTATTGTATGAAATAGTAGACTTCATGGAAAAAGAAAATTTGACAGTTTCTTATACAATTATGAACACAAAGAAAATTAAATTTCCTCAAATCTGGCAATGGTCATATATGTAAATCAAGTTAAAATATTGAAATGTTGTGATTAAGGATACGTCACAGGAGATGTGTTTCCAATAATCCAGTATATTGATAGATTCACACTGAAAGCCACCACACCAGATGCTAATACCACCAGCTGAAAAAAAAACAATGCATAAGCCCCAAGGTTAAAATCCACCACTTTCACCAACATTGAGGTCAAGAATTGTTTTTAAATTAGTATAAACCACACAGAAACGATAAAATCAATTTGTTTCTTCAATATACCAAAAAATGGTCAGAAATAAAACTCTTATGTGCAATATTCATGGTCACTTCATGCTCAGTAGAAACTGGAATAAGCTCTGGCAGGAGCTATGCGATCAAGATTGCATACAGACTTTTTGAACACAACTAGTTTGTCAGGAGATTATATGTGGTGAGAATACCTTATTAACCCTTTACCTCCCAGAAGTGATCAACAAGTAACTTCTCCCTAAAGCATTGATACGTTACCCACCAAACAGTTAAGAAGAATACTCAAAATTATCCAGTAGAAGTTGTGATCTTGATCCAATGCTAAATTTTCGTGTTTAATTTACAAGGAAAGATAAGGCAGCTAGAGGGGGGGAGTAAACAATCAGATCATGGGAGTTATAGGGTTCAATAAATTCACCTCATGCCACTTACAATTGAAGATCCAGACCAGGAAGACAGAAGTCCTTTCTCTGATGTTACTGGTTCAAAAATAAGAACAGCTACTGCTAACATGGCTGCAGAAATAGGGGCCTGGGAAGGAGAATTAGAAATGAAATAAGCAAATGACAACCAGTGACACTCAAAGTTAAATCTGAGAGTTTCTTTACACTTTAACTCTCACAAGTGACCAGCAGCTAATTTCTCCTTACAATATCACCCCTGAATCACACATTAAAGTCATGAGAAATAGAAGATATGATCATTAACTAAGGAAGCTCTCACTTGTTAAACAGATTCTCCTTGTCTGCACCTGAGGAAATGTCTAGAGAACAGTATGGAGAATATGCATACTAATGTTAGTGTGCAAAAAAAGTTCACTGACCTGGTAATACAAGAGCTGCATAAAATTTGCTTGGAATTCTTTTTGTTTTGTTCCTACCCACTAAAAAGTAAATTGTTAAACAAACCAGTTAAATTCAGAAATAATTATTTAAATAGCAGTTTAGATGACTTTGTTTAATTCTTTTGTGAAGAAATGTTTCACTATAGATTGCAATATTTTGGAGTCTTCAGGGAATTGATAACAATATGTAGAGTCAAATGCCTTCATATGCAAAGTGCATGGTCTAAGCCAATCATAATTCAGTTATTTCATAAAGCTAAATAAAGGGGTTAAGTTTCTAAAGAAATTGTGGTGCTGCATAGGTGGGAGAGTATAACTGGGTTATTAAGTATTAACAACTGAGTTGATAACATAAATTGGCCACTGTAAAGAGTTACAAAGCTTTGCAACTTTTTACTTCTTTTGTGAAGAAATCTTTCACTATAGATTGCAATATTTTGGAGTCTTCAGGGAATTGATAACAATATGTAGAGTCAAATGCCTTCATATGCAAAGTGCACGGTCTAAGCCAATCATAATTCAGTTATTTCATAAAGCTAAATAAAGGGGTTAAGTTTCTAAAGAAACTGTGGTGCTACGTAGGTGAGAGATTATAACTGGGTTATTAAGTATTAACAACTGAGTTGATAACATAAATTGGCCACTGTAAAGAGTTACAAAACTTTGCAACTTTTTACGGTGGCCAATTTTTACATCATCAACTCAGTTGATAATACTTAATTACCCTATTTCATAAAACTCACCACTTGATAGACAGATGTCACTATCACACCCAAACTTGCATAGAAAGTGCCAACCCAGTTGAACTTGACATCATAGTAAGAGTTTAAAAACACTCCCACAATAATTGGAATCTGCAAGAAATGGCAAGTCAAGTTCAAAAATTAAACTTGGGAAGAAAAAAAAACAGCTATGCACTTTGATTAGAGATTCTTTTTTCCATAAGCCCTTTGATTTGTTAGAGTGACTAGCATCTAATTTCTCCTTACAATTTCACCCCTAAATCACACAATAAGGTCACAAGAACAAAGGAAATGATCACCAACTAAAAAACTTCTTGATTGTTCAACATATTCTCTTTAAAAGCACCTCAGGATATGTATAGCAAACACAACTGAGAATATGCATACTGATGTTAGGGTGTAAAGGTTATCCAACCAAATAATCATAGTAGTACACTCTCAATTAAAGAAATATCATCAGATGTCCATGCATAATCCTACTGAGAAGAGTGGTTGCATGATTGTTAGAATGCTGAACTATCTGTGGATTCAGGAGCTTGTTCTTTATCTTTTCTCTCTTTAAGGGTTAGTCTGTAACTACAATGGATTAGCATCCCCTCTCCAGAAGTAGAAGTATAAGTTATACTAATTTGTACTGCCTCATGCAGTCAGCAGAGTATGGCAGGTGGAAGCACAATTCTGCATGCCAGAATTACATTGCAAGCACAAGATCTCATCCAGTTCTGCCATACTCTGCACACTGGGCCCATGTACACCTTGATAATCTCTAGCTCTTTGTTTGACTTATATATATCTTTACTTCAAGAACAGAGGAATAATATATACAAAAGGCAAGCTGAATGGTGGCTGCATATGAAAGTTTCTGTGAAGGTCTTTGGCCATTTTTCCCCACAGTTTTTGTTGTTCTTGTTGTTATATTTCAATTTAAGCATGAAATTGGAAGATGAAGTTCACAGCCCCTTGCCCTCTCACCTCCAAGGTTTCCCATGCATCCATTCATCTACATATTCAATTTTTTCCTGAATTGACTATGATCATCTCTTTCGTTTCATGCAAGATTTAAAGCTTCAACCTCTCCCATCCCCCCCCAAATTGTGCTGAATTATTAAAGTAAGGATGTTAACTTGTTCATGACAAAAGCTTCACTCACAACTGTTAACTTGATTTGTGTTGAATAACTCTTATTATAAAAGAACGTGTGGATTGCCACAATGGTCGGTGTGGTCAGGGCTTTCGCTAACTGATATGTTCCAACTGTGTTATTCTGAAGGCTGAGATTTGTGAACACCACGAAGCCACAGAACGCCAACGATAGCGGAGCCACTTTAAGTACAGACAACCTTTTTGGCTGAAAAACATTGAAGAAAGCGCACAGGCGGAGACCAATATACGTGGTGGTAAAGTGGATACATGTTAGAGTCATGTTCGGGAAGCCATGATGAACATATAGCCATTTGTTCAGGAAAACGATACAAATCGAGGAACATATGTTAATGAGCAACCCCAGCGTCAGTACAGCTTTATGCATCTTCTGAGCGTGCCCTGTTGGTAAATCTCTGTGGTCAGATTTGTTTTAGCCGCATAAATTATTAAACGAAGTTTACTCCAATATTAGCTGTTCCTTTCGGAGGATCTCTCCAGGTGCTGTAAAATACAGGTGGCTTGAGCTCTTTTCACCTTTTACCCAAGACGCTAGATTGATATTCAAGCAATCTACAGGTATAATTATTTAAAAGAGGATCCCAGAGGAATATAACTAGTGAATGTCTATTTTCCGAAGACGTGTTGATCTTTTGACGCCATCTTGGAACGCTCAATCATTACCAGTCTACCGCGGTAATGAAATAGTTGTACAAGGCAGCCCAAGCTTCAACGTTTGAGTCCACCTGCTCCCACCAACTCTTATCTGCTCGCCATCTGCTTGTTACCCGTTTCACCCCATTCAGATTCGTTTCAGCTTATTTTGCCTAATCTTGACCAACCACAACACGAGTAGCGTGTATTTTTTTTTTTTTTTTTTTTTTTTTCGAGGGAAGGCATAAGTCCATTCCCGGACTCTCTACAAAACACACTAACTGAACTTAAAGAGAAGAACGACAGAAACCATCCTTCAGACTTATTCCCCCAAAAATGATGATCATAATTCTTAAAAGGATATCTCGATGCTTACTGGGAATCGTGAAGCTGTGCCTTTCGTTCTTTTCGTGGTTATATCGGTTCATCATGGGGCCGAATAATCAAAATAAGCTTGAAGCTATTGAGCATGATTATTTTGAAGGTGAGACTAGCTTCGTTTCAGTATGTGACAAAATCGTTTCGATCTAAGTTGAATTTCAGTAATGTTTCTTATCATTTTCTTGAATTTGACGTTGCCAACAAAATATTTTCATTTTTTGTACCTTCCTCTCATTGCAATTAATTACACAATTTAACTTATATACTAGCTGTGAAATAATATTTGCTCCTTTTCCTCTATCTTGTCAGTCAAACCCCCAGTTCCTTGCTCAGAGGATGCAGCAAATGACGGTCTCGTCCAGGAAAAGAAGATGAAAACTCTGAAGTGGACCAACCAAGAATTCTTAAGTCTTGATTCGTGGAAGTCATAATTGCAAACATTCATATAATAGTTGTGATCATCTGACGAAGTTTAATCTCCTCTTTCTAACTATCATGTTGTTTAATAATTAAAATAGTTCTTGTTTAAAAATTGTGTAAGCAACAAGCATTTTGTAATCTATGATAAATCCTTAACTGTCCCACAGTTTCCAACTTGTTGATGAAGAAACTGAAGCTAATATTCAGATGACTATGAACATTTCGACGTCAAGAAAGTAGATTATTTAAGTGGGAATAATTTTAAAAAAAGACAAAACAAAAAAAACTGACGGCACAGATCACCCGGTTACCAAGTCGTCTTTTGGTTTAATGCTCAGTTTAATTTGAGTGAAATCCGTCAAAGTAGTGAAACGTCTTTTAATTTCCTAACGCAAATATAGCAATTAGAAAATACCATAAGTTTTACTGCAGAAAAATAAAACTAAAATTGTTCATTTCATAGGACTAATGGCTTATTTTGTTTGCATATCAGTTAGTATCACTCGTGGTAAGTAGCGACAGAGCATCGAAGAAACCTTCGATCACGAGCCATTTTGCGCGGAGTTTTGTATCTGACTAGTCCCTAACAAGTAATACACGAAAGCTGATAGTGAATAATTGAAAATGCTTTTTCTCTGTAAAAGAAAGAAAGAAGAAAACAGAAAACTCGAAACAACCTCTTTACACTGCTCATTTTTGTTCGGAAGAAGTATAAAAAAAGGTGAAATAAATGTAAAACTGTGGTTTTACGGGGCAATTGACTCAAGTACGTAAGGTATAATTTGAAGATAACAGTGTGACTTTCCAAGAGATTATATTCTCTTGGATTTTCTCTTTGGATGATAAACTAAAGAACAACTCATTTTGAAGTCGAACTTAGTCTGTACTATTAAAACACCATACCACACTTCTTTAAGAACATGTTAAGAACGTTTCCATGCTCAATACCGATAAAGCGGCAAATTTGAATGCCACCTCGCCTTGAAGAGCCCTAAGTTTGAGAAGAATGAGACAAAAATTGGCCCACTAGGCTTCGTAATACTCACTATTCTGTATTTAAGATGTGCTTGCTTCCTAATCAACGCACGGCTTTTCGAAAATTAAAGATGTATCTTCAAAATCCACCTGAAACGAACGACTTTACGAAATAGGAGCATTATCCATTTATACCTGAAAATACTCAAAATTCGGTCATTTTCAAGAGCGATTTTCTGAAAACCCTTATTACCCACGACAAATCAACGCACCACAAATGGCAGATTAATCTTTCCTTTAAGAGAATCCGTTTAATTTCGAAAATTGGCCGACGGGAACCTTTATCCTTTTCAGTTTGAAAATTGTTAGTCAGAGTTGTATTCAAAAATGGCGCGTTTTGAGCGAGTGGCAATGTCTTCATTCCAGCTATGAATAACAATACAATTCGATACAATTGTCAATCCAAACGATACCCTTCGTTGAAACTTTATCCCTTGTAAAATTATTCACAATTGCAGCGAATTTATTTATTGCCACGTGCATCAGCTGTCAAACCTTCGCTTTCTATACTAACTTATACAACGGAAGGTCAACAGCGGAAAAATTGAGATTTCATGGTTTTCTCTCTGATTGAAGTGGGTTTCACTAGTTTAAAATACTGTTATTTTGACGAGTTAATATTATTAATACTACTTAATTTTTTTCACTTGATAGTCTGTTACGTTCCTCGCATAACTTAAGCTGTACTTTCATTTGATTGTTACGTTTGTATTGCGCCAAACTTTATATTCACGAACCATAGTAGAAATATTAAGGCACGACCTATAATTTATCAGGCTTTCAGCAGGATTTACAAAAAGAACGAGATGAGTTAAACTTTTGGGCTCAGCTGAACGCAATGATTGAAATAGAGTGAATCGATGCCGCAAACCGCATGAAAATGTTTGTGCAAGATGATGTCACGCAAGAAGTGTAGCAACCAAGCTAAAGATACGAACGAGGAGTACTAGTAACGACTTTCCGAGTCAGGTGATTATTGTCGGCTAGCAAAAATTTTTTTTGGGATCACTTTCTGAAGGAGCTTAGAAACCAGGCTCAACTCAGTAGCCAAGCCTACTGAATTTGTGCTCAGGCCTTTGCTTGCTTGCGTGACCTTTTTTGCCACTAGCTTATGTCGTCACATTGGAGTATACAAGAAACATCGGCGTGTAGTAAACACAAACTCAAATTTTTACAGCAGTATAGTGAAAAACGTTTTGAGACCGAAGGTAAGTAAGTATTTTAGTGTTTTTCAACCTAAATTTAGTGTTTTGCTTTGTAATTTTACAACGTACAGTGAATTGTCAAATTAATAACTCGAAAAACCTTCAGCCAAAGTTAAACTCTTTATTGATAACCTTATACTTTCTTGATCTGATATCCCAATTAGCGATAACACCAGAAATTATTTGCTTTTGTGATATAAAATATATAACTTGTTAAAGTACGTTGTCACAAAATAATGCACCAAGCAGTAATTAATCTGAATACGCAAAACTTTTTTAATGTTTAAATTGTTCCCTGGACAGCCTGGACATCCTGGACATCTGAGGCAACTGATAATGCATTTTGGGAGTGGTGAGGATGTTTGCTTCATAGTGGCTATGGCTGTACCTTTCCTTGAATCTGCCCTGTTGTTTGTGATAGTTTTTTCCATACATTGTATGTTATTTTTTTCAGAAAATCTAAGTCTGCTAGAAGAAAACTTTTTTACAGAAGAATCATTTTCCTATAACGTGTACAACTGTTGCTTAAATTTGCAGTATTACTGATATTTTTATGATAACAGAATTGTCACAAAAACTATTTGACATTAAGGTGGTGTTGAAAACTGCATTGAGGTCTACTGAATATAGTTAAAGTACTGAATTTCACTCTATGACTTACAACTACAGAATATGGGGCTTTTTTATGATCATGTACCCCCAAAAAAAGCTCTCTTGGCTCATTTGCATCAAGCCACCATATATAATGCAATCAATGTCTTGTTTTTTATATCTTGAGTCAGTGCAGAGTTAGAATCAATATTTGAATGTTAATTATAATCATATAAATCCAACTGAATGTATTTCTTTCATTACCTTTCCACTGACTGCCAAACCAGCAAGCCTTGAGGCATTAAACATTGAGGACTTTTTAAAAGGCCCTGTATTGTATACATGTAGCTGCTTTGGGGAAGGGGAGTGGTAAAGTTTGAAACAATTTGTACAATTGTAGTAGCTTTGACATTCCTAATTTCTTGCACTGGAAGAAAATAGTCTGCTTTGTGCATTGTAGTTTATAGTGTTAAGCACTGTAGCAGTTATCAAAAAAAACAGTTGTATTTGTGTGTCCTTTTGGTGTTAGGTTTAATGCTATTAAAATTTGTTACCTGCTACAGTAATAAGATGATTCCAGCTCCACTGGGTTAGAATAGTCCTTCAGGAAGCTCTGTACAGTACAACCCTTAAGAATGAATAGACAAACACCACTAATGGAACAGGATAAATGTGTGAATAATACTGATTAATAAAGTGTGTGATTGGGTATCAGAAATACTATGGTAGCTTGTCTTTGTGATGAGTATTTGACTTTTCTTGTAGTTATTGGCTAAACTAAAAATGTAAATGTTGGGTGCAAATAGAACTGTTGTCATTGTTGTCAATGTCAATGTTTATGCTCCCACATGCAAAAGAAAAACATCAGGGTGGAAGTGATTATTATAGAGATCATTTTGACCACAAAATTTACTTTTTGTAAGAAAGAATGTGTAGTAAAGGTGTAGTTCTAGAAAGAATTGAAAGATCAACACACTCCCTCCCCAAGTAGGATCATTGAAAATTCCAGGGGAGAGGGGGTCCAAAAGTGCCAAAATTTTTTAAGGAAATGCTTGACATGAAATGAATTTTCAAAGGGGAGGGGGGGTTGAACTCTGCCCCCCCCCCCTCAGAAAAAAAAGGAAACCAAAAACAAAAATATCCATGTGGCAGGGACACCATTCCTGGATTTAATTTTGCTGTCTACAGGTTTGTGATTGTAATTAATTTAATCCACAGGAAATTGGCATAGGCTGTGACCTTGTAACTATAATTGCCCCATACCTTTGTAATATGTAGAGGG